TCTTGTTTGAAGATTTTGTTCTTAACATTGTTCTTAAGCTCCTTATAATAGTATTCCATGAGATTCTTATCTTTCTACGAAAATCTTGCTAAGAGCTGCTTGAACCTAACTATATAAGCAGAAGCTGATTTAGTCTGCCTGAGGTTCATGAGCTGCTAAGCTGTAATGCATTCTTCGTTGGAATTACCAAAGATCTCTTTAAGAGCTTTCTCGAAGCTCTTAAAGGAATCGAATATATCCTTAGTACTCTGAATACATGCATTAGAATTGTTCTGATACTTCAAGTGATTGTATAAAGAAAGCTTGTACTAAATAAGAGCATTCTTTTTGAGATGAGTTCCTGCAAGAATAATTTTTTCAGATTTTATAATAAACTGAATTGCATAATGCAAGAAATATGCTCTGCAGTAGATAAGGAATTCATGCAGCGTTTTCTGATTGCTATTGTATATAGCGAGTTTATTCATCTTGTACGCCTTTTCAGCACCATTGGTGGCTGTAGGGGTGGACTGCGCCTGTTGAGCCTGCTGGGCTAGCTGGGCCTGTTGAGCTAGCTGAGCCTGCTGGTTGGCGATGGTAGCACTTTGGGCCTGCTGTTGTTCGCGCAGATCCTAGATACGCTGAATGAGCTAGTACACCTGATTAACCAGTTCCTCCTAAATAGGAGCGCGCGAGAACAAAGGGATTTCTGGAGAAGCTATCATATTCCGTATTATTCAAGGGGATAATACTGAATCATTCTTGAACAAGAGTTGTCAAAATGTAATAAGCACTGCAGCAATCCGAAGATTCCAAAGTATACAAAGAGGGTTTATGCTAACAAGAGCAGTATCAAAGTGCTAAGTTCTTGAATACGGAACTGTACAAGTCTTAATAAGCGATGCAAGTATTCACTGCCTTTGGAACTATCAGAGTAGAGAGTAATCTAATACTTAGATTGATAACTGAAGAGCTATGTACAATGATCTATCTAATGGTAATGAACGTGTGGTTATATATTCAGCTCTTCAGTTCCTGCTCACTGGTGATCACTCCGGATCACTACTGATCACTGAGCACCGGTGATCACAAGTGATCATCCTGTGATCTGATTGGCTGAGCTCTGTGACCCTAACCCTGGATTACCTAATCGTTGATGGCTGTCCGACGTTGGGTCGTGACACCTGGTCCCTTGTTGCCGGGGTTTGTTTCGTGACCTGCATGTTGGATGAGTCATAACACCTTTCTTTAAGCTTATTGAGTTCATTGTTCATAAGAGATTCTGATAGATTGCTAAATCGTTTAACTTAGCTTAACTCTTCTGTTGCTTGAGAAGCATTCTCGATATTATTCAGATATTTGTACTAATAACTAAGAGAATACTATCTCTTATTCATATCCCTAGTTATAGTATTTAGTATAAGCAATAAGGAATAATAAAGAGTATTATTGCTAAGCTCTTCTTCTAATGCTTGAATACTCTATTCAATAATATCAAAGCAGTTCAAATCATTGCTACTTGTAGTTATACTAAGCATATACTCTCGCTCTGCTATCGCTATCTGCCTGTAGCATCTAGATTTCTGAAAGAACTATTCTGAATCTTTCTTACTCAAGAGATATATTAAGCAGTTATTATTATAGCAGAATGTTCAGCTAAAACTTTTATAATCAATAGAGTTCGATATTTGCTTTAAGAGAATGTTTTTGCTTAGTTAATTAGATTTCTATTGCTAAGCAATATTCATCTAGCATTCTTTCTAAACTGATTGCTATTTATTCTTTCGAGATTAATAGCAATTGTATGCTATATATTCCTATTTATTGCAGTTGTAGCAAGTAATACTGCTTCTTTTGCTATACTGCTTATTAGCTGCATTGAGTTCTATAGAATTAGCATATATAGTGCTGCTCTGAGCTGTATTTGTAATGAGCACTGCAGCAATCCGGAGATTCCAAAGTATACAAAGGGGATTTATGCTAACAAGAGCGGTATCAAAGTGCTAAGTCCTTGAATACGGAACCGTACAAGTCTCAGTAAGTGATGCAAGTGTTCACTGCCTTTGGAGCTATCAGAGTAGAGAGTAGTCTGATACTTAGATTGACAACTGAAGAGCTATGTACTGAATCTATCTAATGGTAATGAATGTGTTCTTATATATCCAGCTCTTCAGTGTGGACCGCAAGAGTCGGTGGTTGGTTGTTACGGTTCACTGCCTGGACCGTGAGGACCGATTGTCGACTGCTCCGGTCCCTTTCTGATTGGCCACAACCCGTAATCCTATCCCTAGGTTATGTAATCCTTGCCGGTTGTCCGTTGTTGAATCATGACACCTGGTTCTTGTTACTTGTGACCTGTTTCGTGACCTGCATGTTGGATGGGTCATAACAGTATTGCTATATTAACTGCTATTTTTGTATTAGAGTTTCTTGCTTGTATTAGCTGAAAATCTCTAAGTCTAGCTTTCTCCTTTCTTAAACTTCTCTATTCATTGTTCATACAAACAGTTATTAATGCGGATTGCTTGATTGGAGAATGTTATAAAATTCTCTAGCTAATCCTGCTTAGAGATTTCGTTCTTAATATTATTCTTGAATCCCTTATAATAATGCTTTATGAGATTCTTATCTTCCCACGAGAGTCTTGCTGATGCTTCAAGTGATTGCGCAGAGAAGGCTTATATCAGATAAGAGCATCTTTTTCAAAATGAGTTCCTGCAAGAATAACTTTCTCAGATTTCATAGTAAACTAGATTGCATAATACAAGAAGTACGCTCTGCAGTAAGTAAGAAATCCATATAGTATTTTCTGATTGCTATTATATATAGCAAGCTTATTCATCTTGTATACTTTCTCAGCATTACTAGTAACTGCAGAAGTAAACTGTGCCTGCTAAGCCTGTTGAGCTAGCTGAGTCTGTTGATTAGCGATGGTGGCGCTCTGAGCCTGCTGTTGATTGCGCAGGTTCTGGATGCGCTGGATGAGCTGGTATATCTGGTTGACCAGTTCTTTCTGAGTAGGAGCGCACGAGGACGAAGGAGTTCCTTGAGGAGCTATCGTATTCCGTATTGCTCAAGGGGATAATACTGAACCATTCTTGAACAAGAGTTGTCAAAATGTAATGAGTACTGCAGCAATCCGAAGATTCCTAAGTATACAAGGGGTTTTTTGCTAACAAGAGCAGTGCTAAGTACAAGCCTTGAATATAGAAACACAACTGTAGTAACTATGCAAGTGTTTACTGCTTTTGAAGCTATCAGAATAAGAGAGTAATCTGATATTTAGATTGATAACTGAAGAGCTATGTACTGAATCTATCTAATGGCAATGAACGAGTCCTTATATATCCATCTCTTCAGTCCTGACTATCCCGACTATGTTCCGATTCCTTATAGTCATTTTTCCAAATATGTTAACTATGTTCATAGTCAACATAGTCGCGCTAGCAATCCTAACCCGGATTACGTAATCCTGCTTGGTATTCGATGTTGGATCGTGACACCTGGTCCCTTGGTTGGTGGGGCCTATCCTGTGACCTGCATGTTGGATGGGTCATAACAATGAGTTATAACACTGAGGCTCACTGCTGCTCACTGAGGCTCGGTGAGCACTGGTGAGCTCTTCTGATTAGTTAGCCTGTATCAATCCTAATCCTAGATTACCTAATCTTGGTTGAGCGTATCCATTCTTTAAACTGTAACTGTCGATTCCTTGTTAGCGGAGCCTGTTCTGTAACCTGCATGTCGGATGGGTTATAACACTAGCGCCGAAAATTCTCTTACTTAAAAAAACTATTCTCTATCTTAAGAATACTTTAACTTTAGAATAGGATTGAAAAAGAGGTCTGAAGATGTGAATACAGTTAAGCTGGAAGGATATAGTAAAGCTGGAATATTTAATAGCCATACTTATCTCTCTAGGCGCTCTTAATCCAGCTGGTTTAAGGAGCGCACGGGCCACTGCGTGTGAGTCGGCTAAGTGGGTCGTGTGAGCCGGTGTGAGAGTCGACAGCCCGCTTTTGCTGACTACGGACGCCACAGCTGTGTGAGTACGGACTCCCCAAAGACTTTCATATGTTAAGGAGTCAGCGGCCCGCTTTTGCTGACTACGGATGCCATGGTTGTGTGAGTACGGGCTCCCTCAAGACTTTCATATGTTAAGGCCGAAACCTCGGGATTCATTAGCTCCGCAGGGAAAGCGGCGGCGGCGGCGGCGGCGGCGGCGGTTGGTCCCAGCGCTATAATTCAACCCTGGGCAGTTATGGCTGAACCCTAGGTGGAAGGATGCAACCTGATTGGATAGGTAGGCGTGGCTTGTGCGCTGACAGGGGTTGGTCACGGGAGTGGAGCTGAGTAGAGCTAGGGTATGGGCGGGGCAGGCAGGCTAGGCGAGGAATACCAAACCGATGCTTAGTGGAGGGGGCTGCGTTGGACGCGGCTGCCCGGCAGCTCAGGGCACCTAGGAGAGGAGAAAAATATATGAGACTGGTCGCTGGATGGCAGCGGGTCCGCTGGTGTCTTTTTTTTCTCCCGATTCCGGTGAGCGGCGGCGGGGAGACGGCAGGGGAGCGCCACGGCCGCCTGTTATTGCCCAGCCCTGGCCCCCCGCCTGCTAGCCCCCTGGCTGGGCCTAGCTCGAGCCCGAATGCTGGCCGAGTAAGATCTTAAAGCTAAATTTTATTCAAAGAGAATATTATTTACAGAAAGAATAGAAATAATCCGAAAGAACAAGCATAATCGCTTAGCTTAACTCTTTATTCTTCATCTTTTGATTTCCCAATTTTCTGTTTTTTAATGAATTCTACTTCTTGTTTGCAGAATAATCCGTGCTTTTTTGTATAGAGTTTCAAGGAATTCTATCATGAGTTCATTGTTGATTTAGAGATAGGAATCTCTATGAATGATATAAACGATTCGATTGGCCCGCTTCTCTTATCCGCTTGGTCAGATAATGAATTCCCTCAATCAGAAGGTTGAAATTTGAGAGACAGTCAAGAATCCCCCTGTGGTGTGTGGCTTTATCATCTCCTGTACATCTGATGCCACGTGTTGCAGATTTCCTCGCGCCAACCGGAGCCGTACTCACTCTCCCAGATCCCCGCAACCTCCCTCATGGCCTCCTCGCTCACGTCTCTCCAGCTCTCCTCCCCCTGGGTCCCCTGGGTCTCGCTGTTGTGCCTCCCAAGGGTTGTGATATCGAAGCAGTGACCCGCCCAGGCGCCCCTCGTAATCCCTCCCTTGTAGCTCATATTGGCTGATGACGATGTAGACCAGCAGATGTGCGACATGATGATCTCGCCAAAGCCCAAAACATCCATGTTGGGCCCGTGGATGTATTCCGGCTTGAGCGCAACAGCGTCCCCGCGGATGAACTCTCTTGTCGTCAAGTTTCGAAGGATCCAGTGCTCGTCCTGGGGCAGGTAGTCTGACTTTCGTATGATAAGTGCTGACCGCGTGGATGATGAAAATGCTGGATCCTTGTGGCTGTTTCGCTCTCTGCAGTCAAAGTAGATCCGTGTTGACTCGGAGTGTAGATCGACTTTCTTTTGTATGCGAGAAACGCTGGGCGATGTAAAGTGATGCAGTGTGAATGGGACGGCAGGATATGCAATCTCGTCCGGATCGTCGTCGTCCCACGGGATGTCGATGGTCTTGCTGCCGAGTTCCTCTCGCTCTTGTGCTGAGAAGAGTCCAGGAGGGAAGTCGCCTGGCATCACGTCTTCTCCTACACAGACGATATTCTCGCCTGCCCACTGCCCCAGGAAGGAAGCATAATAGTCGTGTATGTACTCTTGACTGACCGCCCAGAAGTATCGACTGGTTAGACCGAGGCACACGACATCTTCGACAGACGCAAGATGAGTAAAAATAAGGTGGTGTACCTCGGTCGGAAGAGTAGAGAATTTGATGGGTTGGCCAGTCTCCATCGTGGTGGTGGTGGTGGTGGTGGTGTTACCTTGCGTTTTTGCTCGCTTGTGTTGTTGTGGTGACCCAAAAAGCACCTCGGCCTCACATTTCCGCTTCACATGCTTGTTTGCTGCGCTGTCCTGGACCAAGTCGGTGCAAGTTGTTGTGTTGTTGCTCTGGGGCAGGGGAGTAACTGGCTTGTTGGGAATACAAGGCTTTGGTGGCCGAACAGGCACAGCAAGAAGGTCCACGAGTACGCTGGCTGACCCGTCGAAGAGCATCTCGCCGAGCTTGCCTCCCCACGACAGAGACAGCTTCGCCCGGGGCGCCACGAGATTAAATGTCTGTCCCATTTTTTCAGTCCCCTCTAGAGAGATAATCGCTTGAAGAAAGTGCTGTTGAAGACGCGCACCATTAGTGTGTGTCTGTCTGATGGAGTCAGTGTGAGTGGTTGGTTGGCCTTGGGAATTGTGGTTCATGTGTGTGGAGTTGAGAGGGGGTACAGAAAGTTGGTGGGGGGGGACAGAAACTCGGGGCGGGGTATAAAAAGTTCATAGGTAGGGGGGACAGAAAAGTAGGGTCATGTGACTGTTGGTCAGATAACTAGATAAGAGACTGATAGGATAAGCTCTGATAAGCTCAGATAAGCATATGCTGAGTGTGTGCAGTGCTGCTCATTACCCGTGGGCGCTAGGGCTAGCGCCCACGGGTAGGGCTAGCGCCCACGGGTACAATTTTCCAAAACATTCCAGTCAAGTGTCTGCATCTCAGGGTCAGACACGTCGGCATTGGTGCTAATAGACAACCGCAGTTTGCATCAATCAAACGGAGATATACAAATGAGGACAAGCCTGACCGGCGCCCATAACCGATTGGCCTCCATTTCCAGCTCTGCCGTCCTCACAGTCCCATATTCGTAACGAGAGCTTGCCTGAGCGGTTTTCAAACCTGCCGCCGCTCTCAACGAGCATGAGCAAACCTGGCTGCCCAAGAGGGCTTCCACCTCCATGTCTTCTTGATCCACCACCTCTCCACCCTACAACAAACGCACACGCACGGAGGCTGCACCAGGTGCCGGTTCAGCCGCCGTACCTCGTCCTGCAGGGCGTCCTGCCGCTCCTTGACCTCCTCCCTCCTGCGCCGTCTCGGCTCATCTTCCTCCTCCTCCTCCTCCTCAAGTGCTGCTCCTCTCCTCGCATAGTAGGCAGTGATGATGTTTCCCGCGCCGGATCTGCACCCGATCTTGTTACCACCGTCAACCTTTATGCTGTGCAGCATAGTTCTTTCTATATATTGGCTGGTTTGGTATTAGTCTATGATCTTATCATCATCTGTAGCTCTGGGTATGCAGATTAATGAAAACAGAGAACTCACAGCCAAGGCGCCCCGCGGATCGAGAGCACAAGCTTGGGGATCGCGACAAGTAATCTCGGGTGGGAAGGAGGAGGAGAGGAGGGCACTGCTGATAGGCGCCGGCGCAGGGGTGGTGGTCTCCTCCTCTCCATCCTGCGGCTGCGACATCTGATCGCCGGACGCCTGCGAGCCGGGCACGGGAGCTTGAGGAGGGTGTCCGTCGATGGCTAGGGGGATGATCTCGGCGCCTCCGACCTCCTCTGGAGCCAATAAAGCCGATGGACAGGTACTCTGCAGCCAATCCTGAAGGAAAAGGCGCTTGTCCGCGGGCTGCTGACCACGACCAGGGTTCCCAAAGACCCGCTGCTTAAGAGGCTTCGGCTCTGACCGCGACGCCCTGCCTGGCTGCTGGCGTGCCTTGGGTCGTTGAGAGCGCGGGTTGTGTTTGGGTGACGCAGGGGGGTGGGGTGACGCCCTGCTCGGCTGCGCAGTGGGCGATGGAGTCGGCAGTGGCGGTTGTGGCGGCCGTACACGATGGTGTTTGGTGGCAGGTAGGAGGGAGTCGGAGATGTCGTCTTCACGGGCCCGCTTGCGAGGCTTCGATTCTGATCGCGGTGACGCTCGGGCAGTGGGCGAAGCTGGGAGCCAAGGTTCCAGCTCTTGGCGTCTAATGGTGGCAGGTAGGAGGGATTCGTCTTGAGATGCGCTCACCAGCGGGGCTTTATCGGGGTTTGACGACTCGGCATCGCAGCCCATGACGGGTGAAAAAGTGAGGAGTAGTAGAGACATGGTATTGATTGATTGATTAATTGATAGAATAAAGCTGATGGTGAACCAGAACTAGGGCGCTGTCGCCCTCGAGAAAAGGAACGAACAGCTGCCGAAGCAATGGGCAAGGGCTCGTGCAACCCAAGCGTGCCTGTACAGATGAGGACAGCAAACTAAGGCCACACGGGCACAAGAACAGGGTGAAAACCCTGTCTTAGACCTGTCCAAGGGGTTCAAAATCGAAAAGAAGAGAAAAGGATGCTTGATTGTTGCCTATAGCTAAGGAATTCGAAAAGTGGGTGGTATACTTTATATGTATGAGGACCCTTGACCCACTGCACTCCATGTCCTACGGACTACCACTCTGGCCACCACAACAATAGTGTTATTAAAAAGTAGAATATTTATATGTAAATAGGTAGGGAAGAGGGTGCTCATAAGGGGGGGGTGCCCACAAGGGGGTGCTTTGACTTATTCTGTATTATAGCGCAATAAACTATGGACGTTTGGTTCACGCGATCTACGGTGTGTGATATATCCGAAGATCCCTAAGTAACTCAAAGGTTTATGCTAACAAGAGCGGTGCCAAGTACAGGCCTTCAGTGCGGAAACGTAACTGAAGTATTAGGTGCAAGTGTTCACTGCAGGCTCTGCGTCTTCGCCCTCGAACACATTGCCTGCGCCACCTCGTCCGCTGTGCTGAGTACCCTGGCTCTCGCAGCACGCTACAATAGCTTGAGACTCGTTTTCGGATGTCCATAGGAGAGCTGATAGAAACCTTACGCACAAATCATACACGCCTATTAGTACGAGAGACTTGGGGCTAGAACGTGCCTATCGTCCACAGCAAGTGTAGTTTCCGTAGCAGCATCCCCGGCCCGCTAGACAAGAATGAGAGAATCAAAAATCAAATAAGAACTAACTAAAGCTACAAACGGCAATTCTAAAATGAAAAAGAGAGACCAAAAAGGGTTATATCGTATCTTTTCTGTCATATTATATGTTTGTTCTTGGACAGACTTAACTATACACGATATGAGAGGCGGTGATCAGTCTTTTTCCATAATACTCTAGTTTAGTAGTAGTCCTTGGCGACGCTATCACAAGGGGCTGGGGGAGGAGGAGGGAGAGGCCAACACGGGTCCCTTCAGCCAGATAGAACTATTCCTTAATGCCCACCCCTCCCCACTAGGAAATTCCCTTTCCCAGCACACAGGCTTATCTACGACTCATCTAGATAGCTCGTAGCATCTCCGTTCTTAGATCTCCTAGGTCCCAATTCCTCGTGCTCCCCCCCCCCCCCCCAAAGTTCCTTTCTTTCCCCGGCACCGGCAGGCTTACTGTGGATGTGTTGGATGTAAGCCACTATTCAGGCCGCTCCGGCCATTCCTCGGCCAGGCCGGCCACGCCGTGCCGCCCTCCGGCCGCCTTGAGGATTGACTGATTCAGATATCCCTCAAGGCGAGTCAGGCCCTCAGGGCCTAGTTGAGGATAAAAGAGGGCATATACGACCCTCGTCAGTACATAGAATAGAAGGGACAAGCTTCAATAAACGTTCGTTATTCAACAGTTCTAGCGAGGTAAGCACAAGATAAGAGCGGGGTTAGCAACCAGCCACCGCATTCAAGTCCCCTGTACGCTATGCATTAGGAAGTACAATAGCATTAATCTTCAGGTGAGTCGTCGAGTTCCCCTTCTTTCTGATCCAGTTCTTGGACAATATGGTACAGCGCGATGGCTTCGTCGTCGTCTCATTTCGCAATGCTGACGCCAGACAACCAGCCGGCGCAGAAATGCCTTGCAGTCCTCGTCGACAAGCAGCTCCTGGAACCCGATCAGGTCATCTCCTCTGCCAGCCGTGCTGCTGCGCTCATGCATTAGCTTATCCTCTCGTTTGAGAGACTTGGTGCAACTAGAAGTAAGAGCTGGACGGTGGAAAGCTGGCGCCAGGTATCGACCTGCCTGTCTGCCCGCTCCGCTCACGCCGCCTCAAGGGGCGCATCTTGTGCGAGACCTCGATCCACCCGCAGTCCGGCGCTCTGATGCTGCAGAATCTTTCTGAAGACGAGATTATTGTTTACCTTGTCAGCGATGAGCGCTCTGATATTAAGCTGCAGTATCAGGAAATGCATGTTCTTCATATGCTTGTCAACTACTTCCGTATTGGCTCTCTGTACTTCAAGCTCGAGTTCTGCGTCAAGGATGAGAGCATGTATGAAGCTCAATGCGATAAGCATATATTGAAGTAAAATCCGGACTGGAACCCGCCGCCCTCGCTCGACCCCCTGCTGAGGTCTTCACAGACAACTCGAGAACAATCTAATCATCCACCGCGTGATTGGCCAGGGCGCTTTTGGTCAGGTCAAGGTCGCGGTGGACAGGCTAACTGGACGCGTAGTAGCCTGCAAGACAATTCAGGGCAACAAGCCCAGAGAAATCGCGCTTATGGAGAATGAGCTTGCTATTGCCCAAGGCATACCTGCCAGAGCTGCAGGCCTGATGCGCTTGCTCCGCTCGTGGTGCGATCATAACCAGTCCGTGCTATGCTTCCAAGCCGAGACGGAGCGCATGCATCTCCTCATGCCGTATACGCCCTTCACCTTTCGGACTGCACCCTGGCGCGATATGACCATAGTCACAAGGCTGGCCCTCTTCAGCCAGGTGCTCGAGGGGCTTCACAACCTGCACGCCATGAACATTATGCACCGGGACATCAGCCCGGCCAACTTGCTCATCTTCTGGCCCCGTATCTCTCCTCCTTCGGCTGTAATTTCTGACTACAGCAAGGTCAAGAGGGGTTATTCTGATGATATAAAGGAGGAAGGGACCTGTACCAACCCCTCCGAACTCACCCCCCTCTCGCTTTCCCTGTCCTCACACACCCTCCTCATTATTTGAGCCTTTCGTATCTTATCTGTATTGTTCTTTGAGCCCAGCCATCTCTTACACAACGAGGATGGCGCCTGGTTGCTAGTAGGGGGAGTTGCATGCGGTGGCATGATGGGGTGCCAGATCTCGCGCTCCGCGTCCCACAGATAATAAGGCTGCGCCCATGGTTCATCGAGTTTCCATGGGATGAGCTCCGGTGACTTCTGGACCACAGCCTGCTGAATGGCTTTCTGAACTAGCGCATCCATGCTCGCCATCGTATCCTACAAGAAGCTCTGTCGAATTAGTGTCAGGCCACGGAAGACTGAAAAGAGCAGGAAGAAAGAATCAGACGGAGATGGCGGGACGGGATTGCTATATTATGGGCCAATCGCACGCCATTTGTAACACATACCTTACACACGGGGCGGGGTATGCACATTTGGTTGGTAGCTTTGTTGCCCCTCTTGTCAATTAATGGCTGCACTGGCTTCGATTACTGTTCAGCTTTGTGTGGCTTTGTCTGCTAGGCCCGAGAGTCATGTAGATTTGAGCATTAATTCAAAAACGGAGCCCCCGGTAAAATGTCCTGCTCTCCCAACCTGGTTCTTGGAGTGTTTTCGCGGTGGGTAGCAGGCCGAGGTAGAAACTGTGCAGTGAGGAGGCTACTGCAAAAGCAAGTGGTATAAACATCGGCCCCCTCCCCCCTTCCCTACCCCGCTCAAAAACAAAGAGAAAAAGAAATTGAGAAAGATGAGGTTGGCTCAAGGTTTGCTCAAGTACATGTATTGTACCTGGTAACCCCGCCAAGCGATGCAGTCAGCAGGTATCCAACTGCTTCCAAGCTGTTCGAGCTTTATAACAGATTCGAGTTCGGTATTCCTCAAGACGCATAATTACGACGCATCATTGTTAACAGAGCAACCCAAGAATTTTTAACAGAAATAGTCATGGTTCGCACCATTTCCAGTCCCGAAGGGCATTGGTTGCAGTGTCAACCCGAATTCTCCTGATTAGTTAGTTCTAGCTTGACGAACCTCCGTATGAAGATCGGCTGTGTCGCCTCATAGAGAATTCCGATTCTCGGCCCAATCCGGGCAGCTACTAAGCCAGATTCTTACTAACCGAGCGCGGCAGACGACATGAACCATATCAATTCAAAGCTATTCTGTCTCTACCTGCTTTGGATACATATGGTCTTCATGCTCTAATGATTAAGTACTTCTGTTGAATTAACCGGAGTAACGTTGCACTAATTGGGTTGATACTCCCTCCGGTAGTTGCGCCACGTCCAGCGAACCCGGCCACTTATCGTGACAGTATCGCGACGATTTCGACCGTCTCTATATCAAGTCCAACGGACTGGCATTTGTTTTTCCTGGGTGAGTGCAGCGGGCATTACGTTATACTATTTCCTCACAAAAATAACTGATCTCTTCCCACTTCTATTTATGGAATCTAGCTGGTACTATTGAGAAGCGAGTGGCGTGTGATATAGTCGCTTGGTAGATTATGCCAACGCCTCTGCAGAGAGACTACGACCTAAACTCTCGGACTTGACATTTACATGGGTGTTCACATGGATGCCGCCTTCAAAAATTCTGTCTGTAGAATCGCCATCGCCCATATCTCCCCGTGTTGACATAATCGTGACATTGTAGTCGTGGGTTCTGCGACGGTTCCTACTCATTTCGAAGGCGTCGTTGGCGCCGTGGCCACTCACCGGTATGGAGCCAGGCTTGGAAGGTCCTTTGGACGAATGCGCGTACGAAGAAAAATCGGTTCTTCCTGTCCAGAATCGGCTGCTGAGGGCGGGGCGCACTGAATTATCCATTGGTTAGCATGAAGCGGTACCGAGACCGCATTCAGACACAGCGAAAAACTTTCCATGGTACATACATATAGGAGCTTGTCCAACGAACACGGCGATGAAGTCTTCCCTGCAAGACCAGATCGCTGCCGTAGCGCCGTTCTTTTCCTGTTAACGGAGATTTTGAGTCAGGACCATTCCATACGATAAATGCTCATCCTCAAAAAGATGTCAACTCACAACCAACACTTCTGTGACTCTCAAAATAGCCGCGACCATGACGAAAATGCCGCTAGAAAATAGTAGAACTAGCATTATTTTGCGCGGGAGCGTTGTCTTCGCCGGTAGGACAACCGGAGCGGGTATTGCCATTATACATAGATCCGATACAACGTTCATGATAAGAGTCGGTAGCATGTACAGCGTCGCTTGGGGCTCGCATAGTGCTGTTGGATGATTCCTCACATCAGTTATGCATGTCGCAAAACAATCAGGGAGTCACGAAATCAAAGAGCTGTCATGCACTCACCTCCCTCATCCTCGTAAAAAACCCACATCCGACTATATGGACGGCAGTTTCCAAACAATATGCCAATGGTGATGATGAAGGTAACTCCTACCAGACACATCACTGGAAAAATGAACTTTTCAACCCAAAGACCTGTTGAGTCTGCTTAGCTTCGCACCGATTGAGAAGGCAGAAATATATGAGCTGAGGTACAATACCCTTTACAACCCGCCGGAAGAAGAACAGCATGTTGATCTTGAGTGACCAGACAAAGACGACATATGTCGCTACACCAGCGCAAAACCATTTGGTCACCTTGATATAGGGCTCAGCCTCCTCGGCTGACATCTCCTGCCTTTGAGCAAGCGTGAGAGTGTGTAGGTCGGCATGACGATCACATACGTCGGCTGCGTAAGTCATAATAGTATAGACGACCTGTAGTAGTCAGTTAGTCGGGATCATAGAGGCTGATGGGATGCTCCAAAGCGTAGTCATACCCACGAGAAGCAGACCAAATAATCGTCCGGTTCGAAACCACGGAAGCCTACCATTCTCCATCGGCAAAGACTCCGCAGGAAGATTAGGGCCGACGAGACGCCGTACAGAGCCCAAGTTTCAACAAGAGGCTCGCTGTATGCCATGGTCGGTGTCGCGAATAGCGAAACGCGGAATCGCTCTGAGTGTCGCTAGTTGCAAAATGTGATTATCAACGAAGACTGTAGGTTTTGTGGCTTAAAATCAGGCTCTTCGTGTCGATTAAATCCCGAGCTGATGCACCTGATCGCATGAATCACTTGTTTTCTCGCCTACCTAATCAAGTTCTGCGAGTCACAGTGGAAGAGAAACCCCTGTTTGGGCATCGAAATCAGCAGGATGCCACTTAGATCCTCTGCATCCTTAGCGTAGCTGTCTGCTTATGTACTATTATGTACTGTTCAGGGGGATAGCATGGAACACAATCCTGTTCCACCATGAGAGACTACATGGGTCAGATGAAGCAATCATCCAAGTAATTCTCGAATGATGTTTAGCGTCGATAGAGACGTAGTAACCGGTGAGAAACAACCGGTGGAAGAGGCAATGATCTGATCTGATACAAATCCTTCGAAGACTAGCCTAACCATTGGCTAGCCCTCATTCACTCCCGGAGTCTCGTGTAAGCGAGTAATAATGCAGCATGTTCTGCAACCTCAAAAAGACAGGGTATGGCGTGATTGCGTCAACAGGAGTACGTTGCTGAGTCCCTTGAGCATTCTGGCCCCGAGATAATTTATAATTTGAGTTTGTGCCCAGCGTTGGGTTTCTCGGTGCCGTAATGAAAGTCCACGCCCCGAAATTACATTGATACGTCCGAGGAGTCTCCAGGCATATGTCGCATACGGGTACACATCGGCATCACCACCATATCATACGATCTTGGGAGGCATAAGCCTGAGTCTCCTCGCATCATTGATCGTGACTTCATGCGAAGGCTCAAGAAGGTACACGAGGTAATCTGTGCACGCGTACGGACTTGTAAGGCTTGTACTTGTGATATAGATTAGCTAGCTAGACCAGCGAAGATAGCCAGACGGTGGGTTAGAGTGACTATTCAGAGCTATCATAGCAATCACGAACATGCTAATCAACATGTGGTTGTTCAAGATGCTACAAATAGCACGCACAGTAATATTACTGCGACAAAGTCTGAATGCAATAAAGTAACGTGCTTCCCCGGTTTGAGTGCAATAACCATGCGGGAAGCTTCCTGGGAGATGCCCGAGGAGACCTTTGCTCGCCTCATTAGTACGCAACATGTTCTTTTTGTGGAAGTGATTGCTTACAGCAGATACTACCCCAGCTAGGACCTAATGTTGGAATCAAGCATAAGCTCGCATGTAATCTCATCCGTCCCATGTCCCCAGTGAGTGTTTCTGACACCTCTCGAATCCATCCAATAACAGATACCCAGCATAGATAGCAAATGGTTCACTTGCCTCGGATCCTTCACTTCAAACTCGGCGCTATTGACAGCCTATAATTGTTCCTTCAGCAACGTAGTAGGTCCAGATGCACGCGACTCCAACCGCATTTGGGCGAGCATCGGTTCGCTTAATAACCGAATGTAGCGCTGACAGTTGGTACCCATGTATTCCCAAAAGCGCCAACTCTCGCATATACATAGCCGGGGAGGCGCGCTGTAGCATCCATTCCAGGGACATCTCACTCATGTGTTGATATTGAAGCTGTCGCAGCAATTGTGAGATAGCTCACTGTGGCCTTTTGACATCCTCGCACATACGAGAGCACCAACGGTCCTTCCTACCCACCATGGCCTACAAGCTTGACTTCAAGGTACGTAGCTTTTTGTTTCGGGAATTTTCGCGTAGGACTCGTCATCACACCTGCATTCCTCTAACAGCTCATACCATGTTCAGGCGCCCTACCTTAACGTGATCAACAATGAGCTCACGTCTACAGCGCAAAGGCGCCACGGCGTGGACCCCTCCACAGAGGAGGCTTTGCCCGAGGTCCCTGTGTCCGGCAAGGCCGAGCTCGATCGTGCAGTAGCCGCTGCAAAGACTGCTTATCCTGCATGGCGGTCGCTTTCCTGGGATGAGCGAGGATCGTATCTGCTCAAGCTAGCAGATGCGATTGAAGCCAATCACGACGACTTTCGTGATCTCGATATTGCTGAGACTGGCAAGCCTTTCCAGCATGCTAACTTCGAGATGGTTCTGGTTCTTGCGCATTTGCGTGGTACAGAATCTCTGCGTATCCCGGACGATGTTGTGGAGGATACTCCTGAGAAGACTATGCTAGTTAGGTATAGGCCTCTGGGTGTTGGCGCTGCTATCGTACCGTGGAACTGGCCACTATTGCTAGGTCTTGGTAAGATTGGCCCGGCGGTATTGGCTGGCAATACGTGAGTCAATCCGTCCCACAGCATTATTCCTATCGCATTTTCAGCCTATCAAGAAAGGATCTATGAGATCGCTTTTGATCTAAGCTTGTTCCTTTCGAAGCATATATCTTTGCTAACAAGAAGATGTAAAGCATTATCGTAAAGCCAAGCCCATACGCTCCTTATAGTCTTCTCAGAATAGGCGAGCTTGCAGCCAAGATCTTTCCACCTGGTATTATCCAGGTATTAAGTGGTGATGAGAGTCTTGGTCCGCTGTTTACCGAACATCCAGGAATTGCTAAAGTCAGTTTCACTGGCAGTATTGCAACGGGCAGGAAGGTCGCTGAAGCATGTGGCCGTACACTGAAGAGAGTAACATTGGAATTGGGCGGAAACGATGCAGCTGTTATTTGCGAGGACGCCGACCTTGCCAGAACTGTGCCTGGAGTAGGTTCTTTGTCTTTCCCTACTGTTGCTTCGTGGCTAATAGTTTCCTACAGGTCTCCTTCCTGGCCTTTCTCTGTGCAGGCCAGATTTGCATGAACATCAAACGAGTCTACGTGCATGATAAGATTTATGATGCATTCCTGGCTGCTATGGTTACTTTCATTCGTGATAACATGCCATATGGCCCTGCTGCTGATCCGAAGACGATAATCGGACCTCTCCAGGTATGTGATTATGAGCGAGTTCATTCCTCGTTCATGAACCGAAGCCTAGGCTGCAGAGCTGAGACTCTGCTGCACAAAAGAGATTACTAACATAGACCTTGAGTAGAACTCTGTACAATATGAGAAGGTTAAGAAATTCTTTGCGGAAGCTGAAACGCAAAAGTGGACGATCGCTCTCGGAGGTCTTGAGGAAGAGGCAAAGATCAAGTCCAAGGGTCTATTACTCCCACCAACGCTCATTGATAATCCTAGCGATGATTCGCGCATCGTGGTAGAAGAGCCCTTTGGTCCTATCCTCCCTGTGATGCGCTGGACAGATGAAAAAGAAGTTATCAGCCGTGTCAATGCTGTCGAGGCAGGACTTGGTGCTTCAGTCTGGAGTAGCAATATCGAGAAAGCTACTGAGATTGCTGATGCTCTGGAGGCTGGCAGCGTCTGGATTAACAATCATTTCCAGGTGTCACCAAATATGCCTTTCGGCGGACACAAAGCCAGCGGTATTGGTATGGACTGGGGTGTCGTCGGCCTGAAGGGCTGGTGCAATCCGCAGGGATTTTGGACCTTCAAGAAATAAACAGCACAAGTGATTTTAGAAGCCACTGGTCAAGATAGATCTCAGACGGGTTTGGAAGATATAGCAGTCATTTTGATACGAAGTTGCCCAAAGTCTTTCCAACTGTCAAGATCACCTAGTGATCGTCCCACTTCCCAGACACTGGATCTACACCGTCCACTTCTTCATTGATCTCGAGGCAAGAACTTGCATGACTAGACCCAATGCTCCACCAAAGGCATCACCACCAAAATTGCCCAGTCCTGCATAGCTCATGGCAAAACTACGTACTTCATCCGGCTCTCCAGCCCGACGAAAATCCTCTGCGATTTTATAATTCGTATTGGTCACACCTCCACCAACACAGGCTCCCACCAAGAACATCCACACTACCCAAACTCCGTAATAGGTCAGAAAAGGATGCCATAGCTGCACAATGCCGACAACAGCCAAAGCCAGCTGTGTCAGAGCCCAAGCCCATATCATAGGCATAGGACGGGCTGCAGAAAGTGTGCTAAATATGAATTGAGCACTTCCGTACGAGAAGACTGTTGGTACAAGAGGATAGGTCAGAAACGCTCGGGGTTGATCAATGGGCGCCACGATGAGCTACTTACAAACGATTTCGAATTGCAGGTCTGTGTTCGGTCTCGCCCGGAACCTCTCGAGAGTCTGTAATGTTGTCGATGATCCAAAAAGATTTACGACAGCACTTGTTGTACATACGAAAAGGGGAAATACGTATTTCGGCGTTAGCTCTTTGAATAGCAGTCCCACTCGTGTCCTCTTTGGACCAAACCCGGGTCTCTGAGGCTCCGAGGCGGTATCTAGGCCGTCCTGGACGATATTCGCCGCTGGAACAGCACGTTCTGCAACAGCCTCGACATCGGACACGCGACTAGCGAGTGTGGCCTCACCTACCCCAGTCATTGGACTGCTGCTGGCCGACTCTACTTTTCCCACCGTACCCAATCTCGAGCGTTCAGCCTCGGACCGACCGCATTTGTCGAAGAGGCCCCACCACACGAACGGGATAAGTCCCCCCGTAAACAGAAACAGGAGCAATGCCTTGCGCCAATTCTGGTCGAAAGCGCTCGCAAGGCCGATGAACACGCCCGGCCCCAGGATGATAGAGAAGCTGCTCCCTACGCTGAGAGCAAGCACGGCCTCGGGCTCGAAGAAGGCGGCCACGGCCATGTACGTGTTTGACCCGAAGGCATAAACGAAGCCTGCCAGAACAGTCCCAACGACTGGGCCTGCCTTGTTGAAATGGGATGAGTCCGAGATAGGCTGCGGCAAAGTACATAAGAGGTAGGAGAGCAGCGATGCCAAGGTGCAGATGATCATGCACACGTTATAAGGTATGTAACGAGCGTACATAGGCGTAGTAAAGGAGGCTAGGGCGGCAGAGAGATCGAGGCAGATGCCATAGACTCCGGTCACGCCGGCGAACATTTGGTTGGCCGCTGTCGTGATTACCATTGTAGGCAGGCCAATCTGATATTGAGAGGCTCGCCGTCAGATTGATTCTTTTTTTTTTTTTTTAAAGGTGGACGGCGACCCGTAGAAACTTAACGGTAGTTGGTGGGGATTTCTACTCACGAGCAGTCCCATGGTGAAAAAAGCTATTGTGACTTTGTTCAAACGAAGCCTATTGAGCGTTCTTGGGCCACCGCCCTCGCCTGATGCATGGACAATCGTCTTCCTCTTGTTGCCCATGATATCTTCCATCGAGGATCCTTCAGAATTAACATGTGTTTGGATTTTATTTGTGTGCTTCATCTCCATGATTGCTCTCCGCTGACGCCTACCGTCTGTAGCTTTGCTAGCGGCGTTTTATATCAGACTCAACGCCTGCTTCCAAGTTGAGAATGAAGAGAAAAGGGATAAAAAAGAAAGGTAGGAAAAGGAACCTTTGCTCTAGCCGCATCCCTTACAAGAGGAGCTTTTGCTCTTTCTTTGCCGAGCTACAGATACGCCGGGCAACGGTCGATCTCCACAAAAGGACCCCAGTTCATACATTGACTTTGACGTGGACTAAAAATTCCTTTGTACATAGTACTTTGCAAACTGCGGTGCCCCACTCGTGAGACAAATTTTGTTGCTTCTCCTTGGGCCCCACAGAGCGTTTCCTCCAACCGCGTACAGGGGTAGCACAGCACGAACAATCGCAATAAGGCCGTTCATGCGATCATTACTCCGTGCTCATTCCGGGAACACATACGCAACCTTACAATACTTCATACTTATCGCTTCGAATAGTAGTGCACATCTTGACATGGACGAACGGATTATGTGAATACTCTGTGGCTCGTTCTATCAGGCTTTATTACCTTGTCACAGTGCGTAAGTAGTTTACAACATCTATCTCTCAGTTCCACAAGCCAGCTACAGCATGCAAGTACGCACGAACGCGACGGAGATGTCCCACGAATGGAAGCGCAGGAAGGATTGCTCGGAACAATTCACAATTGGTATTGTGCTCACATTAAACAGGGCAAAATGCTAGAAATGGACAGTTGGGTGCGCAGCGTAAGGGGTTGCAATGCAGTCTGGGGCTGGACCGAGGAATCAGACGATGGGGGCCAGAAGAGTGTTGTACTACATCGTTAGGGGTGCAACGTAACGATGACAATACAAGTAGCGGTCAGATTGCGAGAGACGAGATGATTGGAGCTAGAACTGTTACGCATTCTCGAGTTCTCATTGCATCGGAAATTGGGTGCTACAGGATTCAGATACTTTCTTGCCCCATCCAAATGACAATTCATATTAGCACTAACGATCCGCCCAAAGTATAGCATCGAAGATTGAAAAAGACTCGTGTACTGTAGTGCGAGGTTGAGAGAGCAAGAAGCTGGTAAATTTACTATTTTTTTATATTTTAATTTAGCAGCATCTTGTCATATTCAGTATTTGCATCTAGATTTAGTATCTCTTGTCGCACAAGGAATCTATTTGGGATGGCTGTTGTTAATATAAAGCTCAGACATTTGAAGAAACGTCAAAATTGCTTAGCTCGTGAGACCGCTTGTTCGTCGTCTCTGTGTGCCGCTGTCGATCAACCCCTTTCCGGGACCTTGACACGTCCGGATATGATTGAAGTACTTGTTGTCATCTTCTTGTTTGGGTTCGGACTACCCCTTTGCGACATGGGGGTAAAGAATCAAGTGATCACTCGAGAAAAACTGACCGACGACCGTACAATGAGCCTACCCGCCCCCACGGGGAACATACAGTACGCATACATTTGAATACATACTATATCCGACTGCAGTGCGGCGTCTCATCATTGGCTCCTTCAGGATAGAAACGGAAATAACAGCCGCTATGATGCAAGGAGATCGGTCTGTCAGCCGTTCCTGGGAACTGGGGCGATGATTTACTAACTACCTTCAGATACTCGGCTGATACTGATAAAAGTATCAGCCGAGCTGCATTGCTACTCAAGGACGTACTGAAATTACGTACTGTGTGGTAAAACGTTCTTCGGCCCCTAAAGCTAAGCATGTTCAGAGTTACAGGAGCGTGCATAGTAATTAGCGAGCATCGGCGACGCGCGTTCGCCTTGTTCGTGATTGAATCCTCTCCATGCGGTGCATGGACACGCAAAGCACAATGGCGCTGCTAGCGTCAGATTGAATATATACAGAATGGCATCTCTTCTGAACGAGCACCGCAGCCGAGGTTGTGTGAATAGCAGTCTATCACCTAACTCGTGATACATGCAGTCTTCTTGCCAAGCAAGCATGAACATCCGTTAGCAATTGCGTCACTCTTCCTTTCAAGAAGCAAAACTTCCACTGTGACGCCGAACCGCTGCACGAAGCTTATCCTTTGAGATGCAGTGATTTTCGTTTGCGACTGACACTCCGTCATCTTGATCCTGGCGGGAAAGGTTGCTGTCCAAATATATCTCTGATACTTGTTTAGGAAACTCAAGCCGTCGACCCTGTATGCGCAGTACAAGGTCCGGAGCCCGCGCATAGAGATACGTCAAGGGCAGTTCTATTCTGAGGACTTCGTTAAGTGTGTACATTGATCGTCTCCAGCAAGCCGCAACGGCTCAGAGCACAGTGCGAGACGTTGCCCGTACCATGCTGAAAAGTCGTGAGTGGGAAGTGTGATACTGATGTGATCCTTCGGGCATGCTTGTGCATAAGCAGTAGTTTCGAGGGAAGAATCGTGCAATGCGCAAGGCTCCTCACATGTATGGCTAACGCTTACATTGTACGAGGTAGAGGCCTGGGTTATTGTGGGAATAAAGGCTCATTGCGGAACAGGCGGCCAACCTGTCACAACATTCCTTTGCTCACCGCATTTAATATGAAGGAATCTATACTTGTATTGGAAGCGACAGTCTCTATCAAGGTTACATTTGGAAATACAAATCACGAGCTGGTGATGGATTAGGTGAATAATTCGCCTGCCGGACTTGGTATGATATGTTCGGTCACGTTGAAAGATCCTTTATCTATATGAGCAGAGACTTGTCCGGCTGCGGCCCTAACATACAGCATGCCTTGGGTCTCGGTATCTCTCCTCAGTTGCCCTGAGCTCTCTTCAACCGATACTCACTCTTGTCAAGCGCATGCATTCTTCTACTTGTTGATACCATGGCACCCTCCTTCTTCAATCTTCCCGCGGTCTTGGACGCCAATCATGCTAACGGCTCGCATGTAGAGCGAGTGCTTGGCCCCCGGCAGAATCATGTTCTTCATACACATTGGAGAACTCTGGACGATCAGAGCATGTCCTCTTCTGCTCTCATGGACGCCTTTGCCAACGATATCCCGCTTGTGAGACAGCGAGGCTTCCTCACTCCAGAGGAGTGCGAGAAGATGCTTGACATTGTCAAGACGCACAAGATTGTAGGACTACACAGTAAACCCTGATAGTACGCTCAACATTAAGAGTCCATAGGGCAATTACGATCTCGGCAACGTTTGGCCTCGCGTTGGTTATGTAGGAATAGCCCAATATGATCACACGAACAGTGGGTCTACTCTTTTACTTTGCAAGGCGACACGAGTCATCTGTCCAACCCCAACTTCCTCGCTCGTCTTGTGTTGAGGCAGGACATTCAAATATGCTGACATTGTTGATGCTATAGACAAAGATGACTATTTTAGTGGCATCAAGGAAGCGGAATCTCTCCAGGTCCGTTGGAAAGAAGAGGCTGGTATTGACATTATGCAACGAGTGGCCGATAGCCTGGGTAAAACCACCGGCATGCCAGTCCGCCGGGCGAAGGAAGGAGAAAGAGAGTATTTTGCTGGTGTTCTCCGAGCCCTGGACACCGGTATTCAAATTCATTCTGACTTCGCACCCTATGTAAGGTCTCCACCTCAAACTCTCAGCAAGAGAAAAAGAAAATCACACGTGACGCGGAAGAAGACCAGATTGACAGTTATTTTTATGGGCAGGAAGGCGCAGGTTGGGAGATTGGGCGTGTCGCAGCTCAGCTCTCGTGGAACATCCTGCTGAACAAAGTTCCAGGAGGCGATACGTTCATCTACGACAGAGAGTGGCAAGCCCCTGAGGACGACATGGCATGGCGGAAGGAGTTTCCCAAGTATGCTTATGATCCGAAGGTTGTCGAAGGCCGTGCAATCAAGGTAATGAGTGCTGTAGCTGGTGACTTGACGTTTTTCAACCCAAGGTAAATAGCCGGACATCATGGAGACCCTTCCAGAATTCTCAGGTCAACAATTACTGACAATGATGTTTCTCTTTGGTAGGAATTTTCACGAGGTCCGACCATGTGACGTGTCCAAAGAGGCTCCGACACCTATGCGATTCACCGTAAGTTCATTTGTAGGGTATCTACCTGCTTCGGGATGCGAACCCCCTACACTTGTACTCTGGTCGTGATAGACTAGTCGATGAGTTCTGGTTATCAAAGGATCATGTACACAGTTCTGGGTTGTGATGCGTGCGTGGAGACTAGCACGCTGATAATACTTCATATGTGCATAAACGAAATGTTCAAATTGTCAATTCTCTTCTATACTAGATGTTCAGCCCTTCAAGCTTTGTCTTCCCTTTGCCTGCGTCACTAACCCAGTTACACCACATACTATGCCGGGTAGTGCACATGGCGTCTCGAGACAGAGTAGAGGACGGTCAATATATGGAACACAGGGTGCAAGATCATTATGGGCGCAGTGAACCCAGCCTTCCCGGGAGATATATATCATGTGTGAGTCCGACCGTCTACGCAGCTACATAGGCCACAGTATTTGCCGTGGTATTGATCATCAGTCGCCTGCAGCCATTATGCAACCCACTGAATATTTTCTAGTCTTTCATGTTGTTAATTACCGATTAAGCTGAGCGATAGAGCGCTGCATGCATTTCATCGGCGAAAAGCTTGAGAAGGCCGCAAAACTCATGACCGGATAAGACTGGACACCTCCGGTAAAGCCACCAAACCATTCATCAAGGGCCGTCGTAATTTTGATAGGAACTTACTAAACTAATGCTTACTCACAGCATGACGGCTGGCAATGGCTGATCGAGGAATTAGATGCCAGTCTAATACTTGCTGGACGAGCTTTTCCCGGAGCAAGGAGGGCACCAGTTGCTTATCATGATGTCTAGCTGCTGACGACAAGCTACACGATATTGTATGTGCTATTGACCCAATATTCAGCTCAGATCCATCTTTAGGATACACCGAAATTCTGCGTTACAGGGCCACCAAGGCACCGTATAGAGGCACGGGCGGTGCGTAGACATTTGAGAGTATCAGCAAATTAAGGCTGCTTGACTCTGTGACTCATGGGTCCTTGAGACTTTCGCCCATGGGGCCGCTGATGCTTGCACGGACGGTAAGAAACCCCTGTTGATGGTGTTGGAGCGGGGTGGTTAGCCGTAGACAAAGCCGCTTGATCACAGACACTCTGAGTCCAAGTCATGCAACCGGACGGCATCGACCTTGAGGGGTGCGGAATCAAGGCAGACCAGAATGCAGTGCTGACAGTGCTAATGGAAGCAGTAAATAGTAAATAGTTGCATTCGCTACTTGGAAATAATTTGCTTGTTCAAGACTCGCACTTCGCGCTGCTCTTGTCAGCATCAACCCTTCGGATCACTACTGTGCTCATCACACAATATTATACCAACGAACACTTGCATGCAGACTCCAGTTTACATTTTCGTGTCCAAAGCTTATACTTAGCATTGCTCTTATTTCAGGGTAGGCTCTATCAGTAGTTTAGGATCTTCGGATTACTGAAGCGCTTATTATTCTCACTCTTACCCGCTGCGGACTCCCCGCTTATCTGAAGAACAATATATGGAATCGATTTTATGAGGAATCATGCACCAAAATATACGAATGGTACCCATACATGAGGGTTTTCCGGATAGCGCACTTTCAAAAGCATTACAGCATGTCTCAAAGCCTCAGCAACTCTCCAATCATTTCCTAAGCCTTCTCCGAACGATGCTCGTGCTTCTTCTGATTCAGTCTTTTCCTCGTCCGAGTCATCTTCTGTCCCCGTACTCAATAGCTTTGAGTAAAAAGCCTCAGCTAAAGAGACACATATATCGTCGTCCACTGTCCATAACGAACCAATTACTCCTGAAAACCCAGTCATCTGAAAAGCGCTGGCCAGGTGCAGTCCCTCATCACCGAGCCCCTGCGCTTTAACCTCTGCTGTTGAGCACGCCGACAAGAAGGCGATACGAGGGCCACCATTACCTTTCTCTCCTCTGTCAGACTGTGCCGCCACCACCTTGGCCAAGCGAGCGACTGTGAGTCGATCCACGACCGGGTTGCCTCTTGCACTACCTTGTTCATTGTTCGTTTTACCGCTTTCTGCTTCTTGTCGCTGTAATAAGAGGTGACTGCGAGACGGGTCATTCGAGTCTGAATAGCCGTGGCAGGCGAAGTGGGCCACAACAGAGCTGGCAATGTGAGCGAGCACTTTGTCGGCACTGGGCTGTGGTAATGGTAACACGCGAAGAGATGCTTGCCTCCGCGAGGACGGGTCAGCATTGCTTGCGGTAGCGCGTGCAGCGGCGGCGGTGACAACCGTCTCAATCACTTTGCCCTCACGCTCGGCCCCCTCCAGGGGCTTGCGGCCCGGGGTCGTCGCCATAGTGACCACCAGTATAGTATTGTCACGTGAGGTGTTCTTGTTACCTCTTACACCAACGCTTTCATCATCTGCCACACTCTCTCTGTGATTACTATTCCTCCTGGCCCTTTCCCGAGCGTAGCCCAAGGCTTTCACTGTCGGGGTATAGGATGATATTACACTGTCAAGGGCGCTCTCGCTGGCATTGCCTGCGGCATGGAACGGGAATCGACCGGCTATTCCAGCTCCTATCCACCAAACTCTCTTGGGGCTGTTGTCCCCTGGAAGCGAAGCAAGTCCCATGCCTACCAATCCACTCAGAACGGGTTTCACACAGTGCTCCCAGAGCCAAGTCAGCTGGTCAGATTCTGCGTCCTCGTCGTCCGAATCATCGCTTGGGATATCCCGATCCTTAAAGCCTCCCCGACGGCCGATCTTGTACCGTTGGAACTGGTTCCGTATAGAGAAAGGTGCTGTCGCTGGGGAGAGGGTAGGTAGCGGAATAGATTTTACACCATCGTGTGCGATGATGATAGCGTCCGAGCCCATATCAGTAACATTAACAATGACGATAGGTCCGTTGATGGCGTGGCTTCTTATCTCCTCGATGCTTGGGCCCCGAAGAAACCGACTATAACCCGGAACAGTGTCACGAATGTCATCGATACAAGCTTCGATCGCATAGACGGCCTCCCTTCGTTGTTTGAGAAGTCGCTCCCTTTCTGCATCATCCCAGCCGTCGAACGGCATGGAGGCCTGCGTCCTTAAGGTCCGGTACTGCTGGGCTAAGACTTTGGCGGTGCTTTCGAGGGATGATAAATCATCAAGATTGTCGATCGTATAGCCGAGGATCAGCCCCCGGCCCAGCTCCAACAGCTCAACCGCTTTTTCCACCTCTCCTGCCTTTAGAAGAATGGTACAGGCATCCGAAGCGATACCAGCCGTCTGTGTCACGGCATATTGTTGGTCTTGTCGAGAAGCGTAGCGGGTGCAAATACGCGGCATGAGCTTGACTGCTGCCTCGGCAACCATTGTAGCTTGAGCCCAGTCCTCGCGGAGGCTCAGGAGATGAATCGCCATGCGCATGGCCTCGAACCTCGTCGTCGCTAGGCCAAACGGCTGTTCGGTGGCCCGGAGATAGCACTGGAGCGCTTCACTGAGACTGGCATCTTGATCGATTGGCTCAGCACATTGTAACAGGCTGTTGGCAAGGCGAATAAGGAAGACCGCTCTATCAGGGTGATTCACGGGCGTCGAGTTGACTACCTCTCTTGCAAGCTTAATAGCCCGCTCGTTGTCGCATCCCTGCTTCTTATCTCTGTGGTATCGATGGTCGAGCAGAACCCCCAAAGTGCTAACGCAATTTACCCGACCTCGTGTGGCTTCCGGAGTGCAGCAAATCGAGTTCTCAGCTAGCCGGATAGCCTCGTCAAGGCTCTCGGAGCACTTCTCTCGACGGAAGTTCTCTTCCAGCCTGTTAATGAAGTTATTCACATATATGTTGTAGTTTTTGTCACTCCTTGGCACATTGTGTACCACACGCCTCCCAATCCTAATCGAGGTCTTGAGGTCATCCGTGTCTCCTAGCCGCAGGTATCGCCTGCCGTGCTTGCTGCCCAGGTTGTTTAATCGACTTGTGAGATTCATGTGATTTTCCGGGGTGAGATCAACAGCTTCTTGAGCAATGCGGACTGCCTCATTAATGTAATGCACCTCCCCGGTATGCTCAAATAGTCTCTGGAGCGTGTTAGCCAGATTGATGAGGCTGCTAGCACTTTCCGGGCGGTTTTGAGGCTCCAGAGCCATTGCAGCTTGTGCCTGCCGGATTGACTGTTCCAGGATATTCTGGTTGCCAGTTCGTGAGTATTCAAGTTCCAGGATGCCTGCGAGGTTGTTCAGATAGCTAGCACGGTCTGGGCTTTCTTCCGGGACGAGAGAGATCGCTTCTCGGAGGAGGCCGACCGCCTTCTCCAAGTCACTTGCATCACTTCCTGTTCGGCTCCACTTATCGACCGTCTGTCTACCTAGCCTATCGAGCAGGCTAGCACGCTGTGTGTGACTGGTAGGAATGACTTCCACCGCTTTTTGTGTGCTCTCGATTGCTTCGGAGAGGTCTTGCGGGTCCCACCGCTCTCGGTACCGGTTCGCTAGCAGGTCTCCCATCTCGCCCATGCAAATAGCCCACTCCACGCTGCCAGCTTTGTGGTGGCTGATTGCCGTCCGCCAGGCTTCGATACTTTTGTCGAGATCTTGCCTAGTGCCGGTGCTTCGGTGTTGTTGTTCGAAGCAGATGGCGAGTTGCTTCCAGGCTGTTGGAAGTTCTACATCCCCTTGTGACAAGATCCTAATCACCTCTGTTGTTTCCCGTATACCCTCCTCCAGGTCTTCAGGTGCATCGGATTTCTTGTATGACTCCAGAATTAGTCTTGAAAGAAGGATGGAGTGCCGAGCTTGCTTCTGCCCCCTAGCTGAAGCTAAACTTGACAATTCCCGAGCAGTGCTGATGGCGGTTTTCAGGTCCTCCTCGTCAGAATCTGCTTGGTAGCGAAGCTCCAGCACACTGGCTAGATGTTCCAATCGGTCTACTCGCATGACATGGCCAGGCGGTGTCGTTTGAGTACTTGTCTGAGCACTTCGTACAGCAGCGTTTAGGTCCTCTGGATCGCCAGATTTCTCGAATCGATACTTCAGACCTATACCTAGACTGTCCAGCCACCCCGGTCGATCTGCATGGTCTGTTGAGGTCAGGCTAACGGCTCTTTGAAGAGATCCGATGGCCTTTTCTAGAGCAATAGTTTCATGTGCACGCGTATAGCGCCGTAACAACAGGAGTCCTAGGTTGTTCAGCCTACCCGCGAGTTGTAGATGTGTATCCGCGGGTGTCAGTTCAACGGCCTGTTCTGCAGCCGCTACCGCTTCTTTTAAATCCTCGTCTTTGTCCGTACGCTCGATCCACATGTTGAGCTTGCTAGCGAGGTTGGTCATATACGCAGGTCGATCTGAATGATTCTCCGGGGTGATGGCGACGACCTCACGGGCTAGTCTGATAGCTTCTTCGAGATATCCGAGTCGGGTAGTGTGCTTGTAGAGAAGGGTGAGCTTATTTGATAAGCCATTGAGAGTGGCTGCTCTGGCCGTGGGTTCGTCCCCGCAGAGTCTGACCGCGTCTCGGGATGCTGTTATGGACCTCTCCAGTAGAGGCTGCTCCGTCGTTTGCATGAAATGGAGCTCCAGGGCGTTTCCCAATGTGTCAAGGAACTGCGCTCGAGCCGGGTCATCTTCAGCAGTAAGTTCGACAGCCTGCTGGGCAACTCGGACTGCCTCTTCGGCGAAAAAGACTTGGCCGGAATTGCGACAATGGCTCTGGCAGAACACGGACAGATTGCTCAACAGACCAGGTCGCAAAGGATGCCCCACTGGTATCACGTTTGCCGCAAAGCTTCCGCTGGCAAGGGCTTGATTGAGATGACCCGGATTTCCAGTGCTCTCGAACAGCTCATACTGTGTTTCGGCGTCAAAAGCTGCCGCTTCTGCAACCTGCGAGGGATCCATGCTCGGTGAGGTGTCTAGTTCGAGGAAACTGAGCCAAACGCGACTTTTGCAACCCCGGGGCCAGGTTGATCTTGACTTTCATCGAACTCTCAAAAAGTAGTTTTCAGTAGGTGAGCAAGGTGGGAAAGTGGGCAAAGCCCTATTATATGCAGTAAGCACTAAATTGAGGCTTGCTAGTGCTTATAGATGAGGTATCTAGTGGGTTGAATAGCTGTCCAAGTCCATCAAGTACGTCACTTTTATGCATTGGCTTGTTGTCTCATCGAATTGTACCAACTGCAGCTTGTAAAAGGCAGAACCCTGATGAAACCCAGAATGCTCCGATTAGGATAGCAAGGCTCTTCAAAATAGAAAGACTAAGCTGTCCACACTTTCTTTACGACTACTTATGTCTCATCTTGGTGAGTAGGTCGCAGAAGGAACTGTAGAGGGAACATGGCGTAGCGGATTGCATCGTCGTCGCTAGCCGTGGCGATGCGGCTTCCACCGCTCCATATCTGATATATCAACGTCTCAAGGCTTGACGAGCGCCCCCTTTTTACTTCCTTTGCGGGCTTGGGGCTTCTTAAGTGACTTAGATCCACCGGAGAACTGGTAAGGATGAAGAGGAGATTTTCTTGCACTGCCTGCGTTCGTGGCAGGTCTTTGGGCCACCACACCTTCTTGCCTCGAACCCTTCCTTCTCTATTTGTACCAATGCATTCAAAGCGACCAGGCGGAAGCTCAAGTCCATCTGGGCTAGAGCCAGAGAGAATTCCGATCCTTCCTGCAACGTTGACATCGAATACCCATACATACAAACATTCCACGCCGGTGTTTGCAAGGCTGATGTAGACGCGGTCGCCCTCGGTCACATAACCGTCCCCGTCATCTCCAATAATTCTTTCTGGTTCGCCTCTCTCATTTACGGTTCCAAATTCTATTTCGATCGAATGCTCAAGAGTTTCATGGGCTACTGGATCCTGCAGCGAGAGTAGATGTTGAGCTCGGGCGAGATGTCCTACGGCCTCAAGGCAGCGAGAGTCGCGCTCTGATGTCGATTGGTTGCTGTGGGGTAATATTGAGACGAGTTTGACACCTCCTTTGGCATACAAGGCGAGGACTTGGGAATCCCATCCAAATTCGGCGAGAACCGGACCTTGGTACCCAATCTCCGCGGGTCGGACGAATCTCGATTTTTTTAAAGCTGAATCCAACCATGCAAGGTCGGGAGGGATTCTGACTGGCCATCTGGGGAGGCCGCTTTGGCTGAGAACAGCTAGAGCTCCATCGTCGGGGAACTCATACACCTCACACCCTTCCAGCGGCAAAAGCTCAACGATGGCCTGGAAGGCCGAGACTTGGGTTACCGAGGCTTCTGCAACAGGGGTTTTGTGTCTTCCGCTATCCTCGAGATGTACGATTGTGTAGATGTCGTGTTCGTAAACGCGCGACACATAACCGGCTTGAATAGCCACTTCGCCCGTCTTGGTGTCTTTCTGAAGGCGAAACTCCCCGTCCCCATAAGGGCGCGTCTGCAGGGAGAAATGTAGCCGGTCACCTGGGCCCTCCACCCGTGGGTGCTGCCGCGGGAACTGTATGTTCACCGCTTCGGCGACACGCAGCATGATGGCTCCCCACGTCGTCATGATGCCGTTGCTTTCAGAGAGCACGCGTTCAAGCGCCTCCGTCATGGCGCCGCACCAGTCTCCGTGGGAATTCTGGTATTCCCAGGCTGTCTCGTTGGGCGCGGCTGCGGCGATCCGCACTAGGAATGGATTATCGTCGGTGTGGGTGTCCTGCTGCAGGTCTTGTCGCTGCCGCAGCTGTTCATGCTTCAGGATGTCGTCAAATCTGTACAAAGGGATCGCTCTAGAGACTGCTGTGTCCCCAAGAGCCGGATCGCGAGCCATTCGACCCGCATAACAGCAGTCTAGAATGATTGTCACGTTATGAGTCTTCTCGGTCAGCCTCCACAGCAGAAGTGACAGCTCGAGGCCGAGGATGCCTCCGAACTCGCCGCCTGGGGCCTCGTCAAAGTCCATAGGAACTATAAATTGGTATCGCCATGGTCTCGAAACGGCCACTTCTGCAATGCTCTTCCCATGTTTGTCTTTGACGGACTCTACCATGCCTCCATGGCCGGAATAGTAGATCACGATGGTATCTTCGGAGCTGGCGCTGTCGATGAGCACTTGCAATGCGCGCAGAATTCCCTTTCGTGTTGCATCCTCTTTTTCGCAACGAGTTACTTCGAAATCGAGACCATCGAGTAACTTCCCCATCTTTTCAATGTCGTTTGGGGGGCCTTTCAGTCGTCCGTAGGGGCTACAGATAACAAGACCCCGCTTGATAGGCATGATTTTGACTTCTAGAGGAGGTAAAGGAAGTGGCTAATGTCGGATACTTGACTGATAGATAGGATATTGGAGACAACCCTTCGGCTTTCAAGAACGATAGAGGCATGGGGCCTTTGAAATGAATTTGTAGATTCCTTGGCATGATTTCGCAAGTCGAGAACCAAAGCACGCATAAGCACCCCATGACCTTCTTATTACATAAGATTCATGCCCGCATCCTATATACTACTACCCATAATTCTTTCAGTTAGCTTCTAAGGCTTGGATCTTGTAATTGTGCCCAGAGGGGGAAACTCCAAAGTTGGAGTGATCCAAACAACCTGGTTGCGCTACACTTTGAGTGAGATGAACGCCACACTGACATCATGAGCTGACATCAACGACAGATCTTATTGGTTAAATATGACGTATCGAGCAACAGTTACCATTTACACCATTCAGAGGAGGAGGGAGGAGCGGGGAGCAGCTGAAGTCCACGCATATCAGTTAGAACACATGAGCAGAAAGGGCTACGTGGAAACGTTCACAGCGATGATATGTTTCCTCCGCCTCATCTTTCACCAGCTAATCCAACGCTCTTTATATCATTGTTTCGATACTCTGCAGCTACGAGACATTTACTTGAAAATTATTCCAGCAACTTATTGTATCAACATGGAAAATGTCAGCTCCAGTATAGCGGGACACCATGCCCTGTTAATTGGAATCAATGCATACTCAGGCCAGCCGTTGAGAGGATGTGTTGGAGACGTGAAAGACATGAGAGACCACCTTCAGGAACTCTCCTTCCCCGTCTCTATACGGATGCTCACAGCCACGCCCCCTAGCCCGCCAGACTCCCAAAGCCTCATAGAGGATAGGCGGGTCTGGCCTACATATCTCAACGTTAAAAAATGTATGCAGGACATTGAATCTATAGCGGTACCCGGCGATTTTGTCCTGATCTACTATTCCGGTCATGGTGTGCGGCTGTGGCCATCCACCCAGGTTGGTCACATGTATACTGGCGACATGGCACTTGTAGTGCTTGACGGCGACAGCGGGGACCAGGCACGCTATCTTCGAGGCCTAGAGCTGTCTTGTTGGTTAAAGAAAATGGTGGATAGGGGGTTACTGGTTACCGTCATTCTGGACTGCTGCTTCTCCGGGGCCATCTCTCGAGCTGATGACACCCCGGATACTACTATCCGGGAGTTGCCGTACGATGTATTCGTGGACGAAACCTACCCTATCGACCCAGATGCGGCCGCCTTGGCAGATACTCTTACTGGTGCATACTCTCGCGAGGCCTCGATGCTTCCCAACTGGATTATCAACCCCCGTGGATACACGTTGCTCGCTGCTTGCGGGCCACATGAGTTTGCTAGAGAAGCCCTGGTCAGCAGTGGTCTATATCGTGGAGCGCTGTCTTACTGGCTGTTGTATAGCCTCAGAAGGCCAGGTGCTTCAGACCGATCGCAGCAGGACACATACCACCACATCTGCTCTCAATTTCGAATGAATAACTCGCCACAGTCCCCCATTTTGTATGGAAATAAGGCCTTCCGATTTTTCAACTCGCCTGTGTCGAGTGCGGATCTTACAGCCCCGGTTCAGCTCCTCTACGACGCTCGCTCCCAACTTATTCTGGAAAACGGTCGCGCGCACGGCGTCTGTGAAGGCGACCTCTACCGTGCCTCCCCCCTTCATAAAGGAAAACCCCAGCTTGCTAGTGAGCCAACTCAGAGTGGGGCCACTGTACGCGTTGCCAAGGTCGGGGAGCTCACATCAGCGCTTGAAGTGGTGGATCCGGTAAGGAGCCAAACCCACGTGCGGACCGGATGGATAGCCACGCCGCTGAAGCGCCTAGGCCTTCAACGATATATAGTGCTATTATCTTATGGGCCCAAGCATTCCGAGGAGTGGAAACAAGCGCTGGCGCAACGGCCATCTCTCAACGTCCTCTGTCAAGACCCGGGCGATATTTCTTTTGCCTTCCGTGTCATTGTGAATGAGGGGCGTTTTTACGAGGTCCGCGATGGCACTGGTGCGGAGCTCACATCCGTGCCCAGCATTCCCGTGACAGGTAATCTGGCTGATATTGACGCGGTTCTTGATATGATCGAGCATCTAGCGAGTGTCAAACACATCTTGGACATAGTCAGCCTTCCTGAAGGCCTCTATCGATCTCGCTGGAAGATTCAACTCATCAGTCCTTCAAATGAAGCGATCGAACCGGACAAGTCGATCGAAGTGCGAGATGGAGATAAACTCATTCTCAAGTTTGAAAACTTGGACGCCAAATGTCTCTACCTCTATGTCTACAACGTCGGATCCAAATGGGGTGTCCAGAATATCATCAACGCAACCTGTGAGCCCATTCCGGCTGAGGATCAACGGAAAGGCTACTATGGCAAGACGAGAAGAATTATTAAAATGCAATTAAGTCCCGACGTCCGGGAAAAGAGGGGGCAAGAACTCGATATCCTGAAAGTTTTTATTACCTCTCGTCAAACATCCTTCGCGTCAATAGAATCAACACCTCTGAACGCTACGACTAAGGCGGATAGCTCGACGGGCGTTTCAGTGACCGACGCAGGCGAAAATCGCCTGGATCGTTTGGACTGGCTCGCGATGAATTTTCATATCCGAGTATGTCCCAAATAAATTCTCAAGCTCTGCTTGTGAGATTGCTGAGCCACGCGTTCTGTTAACGCCGTGAAGTATTGGATACGTATCCAAATCGAGGAGTTTTTCTTATCAAAACTTTGAATTCTTTGGTCGAGTTTTCTGTAATGATGTCGCATTAATTGGTTTGCACTTCTCTCATCCCAAATATCTCAAGAACCACCTCATGCAATGCAACCCCAAAATCAGCATAATAATTACTGCTAACGTTGTGATAGCAAGGGTGCGTAACTTCGGGACATGGAATCATTACATGTGTGTCCAGTGGTCTGCATAATAAAATATAAGGATACAACACCCTTCACTTTTCTTTTCGGGGTACGTAGCAACAATGGACATCTTCTCTTCTCTTTCCGACTTTGCGGCCTCTGAACAAGTCTATCACAGGGGTTTCATCCTGCTCTTAGAATACGACATTTTCGTGATTAGAATGTATTTATGACGGGCGCTGGCTAGCCTGCCATATAGCTTGACATGTGCAGTAATCATATGCGATAGCTAAAAGGAGTGACCACTCCCAGCTGACTGGAAATGGCTGTGGCCTATATAGCTGCGTAGAACGGTCGGACTCACACAAATCATGTCCCGACTGAGGTTCATGCAGAAGAAGCCTTCTCTGCTCATTAGTCCACAGTCCACAAGAGCATCATAGTTCTCACTCTGCCAAAGAGCCAGCAGCACAAGAATCAGTTAGGTACAGGCAAGTAAATTTAGCAAATCTTGAGTTGCCCGAGCAACCAAAAGCTGTCGCACTACTGATCGTCACCTCCATTGTCTTTTGTTGACTTCCCACTCTTACGGTGATTGCATCGACTGTTTTTATGACTACTCTTTTTACCGAGGGTTCCGCAGGAGTTGAAATGTTGCGGTAAAGCCAGAATTTCTGCGTCACAGCATTCACATTTCCACCCATAACTGCAATTTCTTAAGCCATTGCTCTTCCCTGCTCTTCTGAATGAGACCTGGGAGAAAAACCCCGCATCCTCATCTGACCTCCTCGTCACTTCCTTCTGCCAAGATAGAAGAGCTCTAAGACCCCGATGACACAATCTGCTTGCTTACTTTCTCTAGGTCAATACCCCTGTCCTCGAAATCATTCGGAACTTGCTACCTTGGTCAATTATACTGGAGGACACTCCGTTGTAGCAGGCTTTTTCGTAATATTTCGCACACGTCTGAGGTCATCCCGCTGCTGTTTTCCCTCCGCCGTCTGGAGACCTGGTATCAGCTAGTATTGAGGAAGCATGCCATACAGTGTAGACGTGCTGTTCCCGGATGATAGCCAACTGGCAGCTGTGAGCGTCAGAACATCGCTTGGCTATTATTCAACATCACTATTGAGTATTTGCGCCTGGCATATTTTCAAGAGATAAAGACACGCAATCCGAATCGTTATAAGTGGCCGAAGAAGGTAATATAGTAGCAATGGCATTGTGTCGCGTAAGTCGCTGTTTGGATAGAAGCGAGCACCGTAACTATAGATGGGTAAGAAGATGATTCTTATTAGTGTCTATAAAGCAAATGTCAAATTGTGCAGAGAGCTTTTTACGGTTCGGCTAATCCACTTTCACAAAAATGCTGATCTGCAAGTGCAACACCATGATCCAATATCGGCTCCGTGAGCAGATAATGTGCGAGGGCCGTGCACGGCCCCGCCAGCCAGCCAACAGCCAGGCCTGTTCATAGCCTCGAATAACTCGGCCTCGTGGCCTTTCTTCTTTTCTCTTTGATGCTCAGCGCACAGCAATATGAGGCTTTTGCCCTCGCATGTATACACGATTATACATACTTAGAATTCCTTTGCTAAGCAATTCCGAAGTTCTGCATTTGATAGTTCTGTTCTTTTCCTTTTCTCCCCCTCTCTTTTGAAAAAGAAAAACAGGGAAAAAAAACCACCTTTGATGGCTTGCTTTAGTTAGCTACTGAGAAATACAATCTAGCGCTCATCTAAGTGTTCATTTGATATATACTTGGATTACTTTAGGAGTAGTGAATACTTCTATTATACTCAGAGATTGTGTATTATTCAAAGCCTGTACTTACCACTGGCAATAGTATATATATGTTAGTCATACTTTGTTTTTTTTTCAAGTTACCATAGTGCTTATTATAAGACTTTACAATACATCAATAAATCTACTAAACTTATAGTCATTCTCCTCAAGATAAAGCTTAGCACACAATCGATTGGCATTTTAAGACTTCACGGCGACTTATTAAACTTGGTTCGTAGTGGGTATATTAAACGAATATCTTAATATTTACAGAGTGTTCGCCAATTTATGTACGGCACATCCTTCCGTCTTCGCTGACAGTCCAGGCCTCACTTCCAACGCCCTTGAGGATGTAGAATAGAGATTCAGGATCCCACTTGTTCTTGATGGCCAAGAGCGCATCGTAGTTGCTACCGAAGAATGTCTCCTGCCAATCTGGCTGATTGAAGTCGGCTTCGTTGACATAAGCGCCACTGTCCGGAGTCACGGCTGTCAGCTGTGGTACGAATTCATCCGTCATCTGCTTCTGTGCTGCCAGCATTGCTGGCCATGCGGCAGCCGATGAGTTCCACGGGGTTGTCAGCTGCAAATGAACCGTGGTGTTGCGCCAAGCTGGGTTTGCGGAGTTGTAGGCACCCTCGGGACCAACGTATGATGCCGAGCTACCAACAGCCAACACTCCGTTCGCAGTCAGATTCTGGAGAACCGTCTGGAGGCCGTCGTTGTTGTCCTCGATGACACTGCGGGGTATCATGCGGCTGCCGAACTGATAATCCTCAACAGCCACATTACCATATGGCAGTGGCCCCATGTATGCATTGTAATGGTCGAGGTAAGACAGTTCTGTGTAAGCGACAGATGCTGGAATGCCTAGCTCAGCCAGCTTGGCAGTAAATGGTGCCAAGACAGTGTTCTCGACATAGTCTGCAGTAGAATTGTAGACTGTAATTGGGTTGATGGCGAACACGGCATCGCTGACATAGTAGACAACCATTGCACCCTGGTCTGTCATGTTCGGTAGAAGGGCGTGGAAGGCGGACACAGCTTCGTTGAAGTTGTCCTGCGTCGTGTAGGCGGCGGCCATCTCGAGGCTGGCGCCACCAACGGTCGCTTCTGGGTATGTCCGAACGGTCATAGACAGAACAACTCCGTAAGTGCCGCCGCCGCCACCGCTCAGGGCCCAATACAAGTCACTGTTATTGGTGCGCGAGGCTGTGACAAGCTCGCCAGCAGCGGTGACCACTTCGAACTCAAGAGTCTGGTCGGCACCAAGTCCAAATGAGGTGCTGAGAGCAGAATGCCCGCCGCCCTGTGTGTAGCCTCCCGCTATTCCAACGGTAGGACATTCGCCCGTGACGACCACTTTGTCTTGGGCGTCCGCGGCCTCTAGGATTTCGTAGCCAAGCACACCAGCTCCCACCTGGACAGCAGGGCCGGTGTAGTACTCATCAGTCCAGTCCGTAAAGCTGATGGTTTTCAGATTGTGAGTCCAAATGGCTAGAGCACCGGCACCGGTGGACCGGCCAAGGAAGCTGTGAACGTCTTGTTAGTTTTGACTTCCAAGAAGAAGAAAAAAGGTCTCTGCACTTACTCATGACCGGTGTTACGGACAAGGACACGGATGTTGTTGGTCTGAGCAAAGGTCAAGGCTTCGGCGACTTGGGCTGCAGAGGACACGTTGACGGCATATGAAACATAATTGCCCAAGACACAGGGCCGGGATTGAGCAGTGAAAGGATCGCAGCTCTGGTTTGCAAAGTATGCCTGCATGACCGACGAAGTCGACGGGAAACTGCATTGTCATTACTGTCAGCAACTTCCTCTCGGGCTTGCAGTTAGGCAGAGATGGGCCTTCTTTCTTACTGGGTCTCTGGAAGTGTCCAAGCATTCTGCAGTTCCTCACAGGCGGCCGCATCATAGTTGGGATCATGGCAAGGCGAGCCAATGGGAACCGTGGCAATAAGGGCTCCACCCAGAGACGCATTGAAAGCACTCCAGGTAGAATCGGACGGCCAACAAGCATCACCAGGCAAGCATCGGCACTGTGCGGATACTGCCGCCGACGCAACGGATTGCAGCCCGAATGCCAAGATGGCGACAACCGATAGGAGCCTCATGACTGTTCCCGATAAGTTCTGGTGAGTATGTCTGGATGCCACAATGAGACTGAGCTTGAAGGAAACTTCCATCTGTCGGCCATCACTTGAATTATATTCTCTTTTTAGATGCTATGGTCAAGCACAATATCACCCTGCAGACGCCGAGCTATAGGGAGAGAAAGGGGACCAGAACGGAGATAGTCCATTACTACCGGAAATGGGTTTCTCGTCTCGGCTCGTCGTCCGTCGCGGCATGATGGTACTCGGCCTTTTCTAGCCCTTGGTATTTTGTTAGTAATCTCGTTCAGGGCAAAGATTTATGCTTGCACAGGGATAGCAGTAGTCATCCACTATCCTCGGCCTGTATAAGGAATCTGCGCCCTCACGTGCCGCACTCGCACGTGCAATTTGCCACACTGTCTATCTTGGGCTTTAAGCCTAAGGTGGTAAAGTGTCCACCGTTCGTCGCGACGCACAAACGCCAATTGTTGCATCGAATTGGATCTGATACACTTTTGGGCTTACTGTACCAGAGAACGAGTGTACACAGCGAGTACATATACGGAAGGTCGCCAACAAAGTTGAAGATAAAGTTCTGGCGCACGGCTATATCCCTCCTCTACTAACGGCGATAGTACGGGACAGAAATATGGTTCTCTCCACCTCTGATGGACAGCCGAGCGGAGGAACCTGGGGTATGGGTTTTAAAACAAAATTAAAAATGCGAACCCCCATAATTGCACGGCCTAGACGGCCACCCAATATTGACTACTATGTATAGTATGACACTAGTTTGTGAGGAGACCCGGGCCTTGCGACGCTCGTTTAAAATCTTGAACTATGAACAACCCTAGAATAGAGAACCCGACTGGTTACCATCGGATAATAGCAGACCATGATATACATACTTAAGGCTTGGGTGTTTTAGTCCACTGCTACCCAATGAAAACAGTTACCGTGGAAATGCTGTCTCGACTATCTGAGGAAGGCAACATGGCCGACTCTATCGCTTTGTTGATCCAGACAAAGATCTTGGCTCAAGTATAACTTCAGAATTTAGGCCCGCTCTTTATTTTCTTTGGGGAGTTCGTCGGCACCTCGGCTCCGGAGGTCACGGGGGAAGCGGACCGAAGAAACGTGGCTGGCTCTGGAGATAAAGGCCAAGTCCTAGGCGTCTAGCATGGCCGCATCGCTGATACCGCATCCGCATCCGACTTGCTTCACTAGGGTGTTCGTGCCACAATGCACGGGCTCGCAGTTCCTCACTACGTAATATCAGATGTGGAGACTAGGGGTTTTGCTACATAGACTATGGCAGCTGCAGGATGTCGTCTTGCATCAGAGCCATGGTCCCAACTCTGCTAAAGATGAAACGAGGTTGGCGGAAAGATCACGAGCAAGTCTGTTCGGGACCGTACTGTGATTCTCGTGAACGCTCACAGGTTGAATGGTACAAAAAGTGGCGCTTAGCCCACTCTTTTGGTCGCTTGACAGCTCCGCAGAAGCGAGGCTATCCAGGCAAATAAGACAAGCGACCACCTTGCCAGGTCCGCGACGCCAGGCCGCACAGGCACTCGTACACGGCAACATTCCAGGCACTGCTGTCCACAGAGTCTATTAGCAAGACAAACAGAGCAAGCAGTGCTGGCGATCGTCAGGCGCTCTTCACCATGAGGACTTCATTATGGATTTCGACATTAACGGTTGCAGCTGCGCTGCTTCCGAGAGCAATTGCTCAAAGCTCAGCATCATCTGCATTGGCTTTGTTGCCCTCCTGTGCAGTAGGTTCAGTCCAGAAAGTACACTCCGCAATATCCAGAGCATGGCTAAAGCAGCGTTCCACTAGGTCTCATGTCTTGTGTCGGCAATAGAACAGTCACCATGCTCTATTACCAACCAAACTTGCGTTTGCACAAATGCGCCTCTGCAGGCGGACGTAACAGTGTGCGTTACGCAGAACTGTACGGTCAAAGAATCCTTGGGTATGGTGCCCCGACTCGCCCTCAGCTGTGTCACGGCCTCTTGCTAATTGCAGGCCGGAATTTAGTCACCAAGAACGCAACGAATACAGCATGCGGTGTGCCGATACGAGACAGGTCCCAGACCTACAATATCACCTCCATCACACTAGGTGTCATATCAGGCTTCCTCATCCTCCTGCGCCTGGGCTTCAAGCTTTTGGTTACAACAACTGGCCTGACACTGGATGACTGGTTCATCCTTCTTACTATCCTCAGCGGGGTGCCCAGCTCGGTGATAGTCAGTTATGGCACGGTGCCAAATGGCCTGGGACGGGACGTCTGGACTCTAACACCGACAAAGATTACTAATTTTGGACTTTTCTTCCATACCATGGCCGTTCTATACTTCGCACAGGTCATGCTGCTCAAGTTGTCACTGCTATTCTTCTATCTTCGCATCTTTCCTGAGAGGAAGGTTCGTCACTTGCTTTTGGGCACTGCCGCCTTCAACACCCTCGTTGGAATCGTGTTCATCTTCCTCGCCATCTTCCAATGCCATCCGATCAGCTACTTTTGGACAAAATGGGACGGCGAGCATACTGGTACCTGTATGGACATCAATGCAATAGGTTGGGCCAATGCAATTATCAGCATTGCCTTGGATCTATGTATGCTAGCGATCCCGATGTGGCAAGTCAAGAACCTCCATTTGAACTGGAAGAAGAAGATCGGTGTCGGCATCATGTTCGCAACTGGAGCCTTGTAAGTTCAGATGATTTACCCCACCCCGCTCCCAGATGGTATACAACGTGCTCATTCCGTGGTACCAACCTCCATTATAGCGTTACGGTTGTGAGCGTTATCCGTTTGAGCTCTCTGGTCACGTTTGCCAAGTCAGACAACCCGACCTGGGACAATTACGATGTCTCGATTTGGTCGAGCGTCGAAATTAACGTTGGCATCATCTGTGCTTGTATGCCGACCCTACGTCTCCTCCTTGTCCGTGTCTTCCCCGTCTTCGGGTCGACAAGATCTGGAGGGGCATACTACAACTATAGTGGAAACGGCAGTAAAAGCAACCCCAAATCCAAGATGCGCAGTACCAGTCGGGTGGTCGGCGATTCCAGCGTGGTTACAGCCGACGGTAGGGGAGCTCTGTATAAAAATGAGCACGCAGATCACTTCCGCGAAGCCGATTCAAGCCAAGTCGAACTGAGAGATGTTAGCTTCAGGCCTCAGACAACGTCAGATAATGTTAGCAAAGCATCGACTTGATAGGATAGACTGCATTCTCATTCAATTTAGCCGTTCCGTAATTACCTTTTCACAAATCAAGTAGTCAGCAATAATAATTTTGTCAAGATATCCGCTAGACGTCCAAATCGTGCCTGTCAATCTACGGCAAAAGGTACCAGGTCTTCAATGCTTTTGCGGGGTAGCATACAACCTTTGGCTCGCCGACATACTTCTATTAGCCTTGCATTCACTTCTCTCTCAACATTAAGGGCACTGGAGCAACGGCTCCGATTACGTGCCAGCAGCAACGAACTGAATCCGATGTGTGATGTATACGATTGTGAATGTTCCTTGTCCATGAACTTCTACTTCTCCTCCTAGCCCGCTTCCTGTATTTGTTGTTCAAGATAGACTTGTCTCACATTTGCTTTGCCTATACAATGCTCAAAATTGCGGAAGACTCTATAATCACACTGCGATATCTATGGGAAGCTGTGGGAGTCTACTCGAAGTAACGCGTCCTTCCTTGAGCACCGCTAGTATGCCGCCGGAGCCTATGCTGTCAAGTACGCCGATGTTGTCCAGAGGGTTTGATTTCAATATAATGAGATCCGCATAATAGTCAGCTGAAATCTCCCCGACTCGGTCTTCCAAGCCCATCATCCGGGCCGGGTTAATGGTAGCGCTCCGAAGAATGCTTAGATTTGACTGAACCTGCGACCGGATCGTGAATTCGTTGTTTTGAAACGGCTGCATCGAAGCCATAAGATCGGTGCCAAAGCAAATAGTAAGTCCCGCCTTTTCGGCCACCTCAAGCGAGTTAAGGCCGGATTGCATGACCCGGATGTTTTTCTCCATCAGATCTTTGGTGATCCATTGGTCGTATGGCGATCTCATCAATGTATGGTAGGTCGCCAGAGTGGGGGTGAAGAATACCTTCAAAGTGGTCCCTCGGTTAGTAACTCGATGCTTTTGAAAATGAGCTGCTGCTATACCCAAGTCAAGGCAAAGTCTCACATCTTTGCTGGCCATGTACTCGGCCGTCTCCTGGTCGAGGAAGTTGCCGTGTTCAATACCACGAACACCATGCTCCACCGCGTGCCGCATAGCGCGGTTGGAATATGCGTGTGCTGTTACGTAGGTATCGAAGGATGCAGCAGTTCGCACTATGGCTGAAAGTTCCTCGGGCAGGAATTGGGCATGCGCCAAGTTGTTCAGCCTGCTTGAGACTCCGCCACCAGCCATGATCTTGACGAAATCTGCCCCCTTGCGGAGTTCATCGCGGACTGCAGTCATACACTCGGCAGTTCCGTCGCAGAGCCTGCTGATTCCGGACTTGTGACCGGCGCAGCACCGTGTCGTCGGGTCGTCATCCTCGTGGGCGGCTCGTTGATCTCCGTGCCCCCCAGTCTGCGACAGTGCGTGACCTGCGATGACCAGACGCGGACCAACGATGAGCCACTCAGCAATAGCGTCCTTCAGTGCGCCATCCGCGCCTCCGCAGTCCCTGACAGTGGTGAAACCCCTAGCCAGCATCTCTTTCACAACGTATGTCGTTCGGAAGTTGTTCATAGACTGCGATATGTTTTTGTATGTATTCTTAAGGCCTTGCTCACCAGGTGTCGCTGTAACATGCACATGTGCATCGATCAGTCCAGGACAGAGGAAAAGTCCTTGCAAGTCCACCACCACAACATCATTCCCGTCGTCGACATCTGTCGTGACGTTGCTCACTGAACGAATACGGCCCTTGGAGAGCACGACTGTGGCATTCTCGACGATGTTTCCCTTCACTGGGTTGACGAGATTGACATTGATGAACTTGTAATTGGTTTGTTGGGGCAAAAGCCAGGGCTTGTCGATGTTTACCGGAGACGATTCTGGCGCTCTCGCAGTTCTCATCTTGAAAGACTGGTTGTGACGTGAACAGTATGTGAGTGAAATTCTGCTCCTTGCACTCGCAGCACCATAATGAAGGTAGTTGCGACCTCCATGGAAAGAACAAGAAAGAAAAAAAATAGCTAGGAGCCTTATCGGATGAGCATCGCGCAGAGAGCAAAAGCTCGGGTACGTGCACCCGATATTCCGACAAGCCCTCAGAGCACGCCCGATAGGTGTCTTAAATCGACATTATTCAATCCTAGCCAGATAAGAGAGACTTATCACCGCGATAGCCGAGCGAAGACCCCAACAAATAAACCATTTCCATGAAGCGCTATGCATCGTAGCGAATATTTCCCAGATATTTGTTCTGTCTCATTCCTGCATCTGACCTGCAAGTCTCGCATATGATTCACAGGAGAGTCACTGCAATTGAAGACAATTTTTCCTTTGGTTTTTGCTAAGAAAACGAACATGGAGAAGGAGATCATTACGTCGAAAGATGCTTCCGCAATGGCCAACGAGAGCGAGAGCCTCAGTGATTTTGCAGTCGGACAGTCCGACTTGATCGCCGAGAAGGCGGTTCTTCGGAAGATCGACCGCGTTGTGCTCCCATTGATGTGTCTTGTATACTTCTTTCAGTATCTTGACAAGCAGGCCGTCGGCTACGCCGCGGTCTTTGACCTGGCAAAGGACCTCCAGATGAGCAGCGACGAGTATTCCTGGGCCGTGAGCATCTTCTACCTCGGACAACTGACCTCTGAGTATCTTTTTATCTACCTCATGAGCCGTTTCCCCATTTCACGAATGGTTGGATACATGATGTAAGTTTTATGTCCAGCTTTCTCTCGACATCCCTAGAGTAATGGGCTCGACAGAACGATGCTAACTGGGGACGTGTCATTAAAGCATTATATGGGGTATTGTTGCTGGTTGTCTCGCAGCGCCAAAGGATTTTGCTGGCTTCGCTGCCGTTCGCTTCATACTTGGAGCCTGCGAAGGAGCGGTTTCTCCAGCGTTCGTTATGATCACAGCGCAATGGTACAAGAAGTCGGAACACCCCATCAGAATAGCGTATGTTCTAGGATTTTGGCTCGCACTACATGTCAATCTCACGATTCAGACATTTCAAAATTAACAGATGATTCTTTGTAGGGCATGGGTAAGCTGCAACGGCGGCGCATCTATTGTTGGGGCGCTGATCATGTACGGCGTCGGACTCGCAGACAATGTCGCTATTGCCAACTGGAGGGTCATGTTTCTCATCTGCGGAGGTGCCACCGCCCTTTGTGGAATGCTCTTTGTGCTTTTCATGCCCCAGGGGCCTGAGACTGCGTGGTTTCTTACCGAAACCGAGAGGAAAATTGCCTGTCAGCGCCTTTTGGATGACGGCGGTGTTGCCACGGAGGACAAGCCCAAGTTTCAAAAGTCGCAGGTCCTGGAGGCTCTGACAGACCCATTCTGCTGGGCTGCCGTTCTCATCGGCTTCTTGGGCACATTTGCATCCCCTGTCCTCAAGTTTGCTTCTCTCGTCATCAGCGGCTTCGGATGGTCTCCTTTCAACACGATGCTTGTCGGACTACCCTCAGGTTTCCTGCAGATCCTCTTCATCTGGGTTACTGTTTTGGGAATTCGTGTCACCAAAATCCCTCGGTGCTACTGGGGAGTTGCTCTCACCGTGCTCCCCCTTATCGGCAACATAGGCATCTATCTTATTCCAGCAAGCAACAAGTGGGGAGTTGTGGCCTTCACCTGGCTCGCTACTGTCATCTCCCCAGTCTTGGTGGTTAGTCTGAGCCTGATGGCTTCCAACATAAAGGGAACCACAAAGAAGTCGGCTGTTAGCAATTCTTACTTCAGTATGTCCTTTCCTCTCCGAATTCTTCATTCCCCCTTGAGACACAACCCGAGGAGTTAGGATCCTCCTCCAAACGCAGTCCCCTGGCGTACTCTCTCATTGTTGCATCTGCTGACAAGAACCAAAATAGTCGCGTATGGCGCTGCTGCTGTCGCCGCACCCCAGCTTTGGCAAACAGCCGACGCCCCCCGATATAGGAAAGGTCTCACGGCAGATGTGATTTGTCTCTCCTGCATTATTGTTGTTTTCCTAGTCTACCGGATTCTTGTACTCAGGGAGAACAAGCGCCGTGATGAGCTGGAGGAAAGTGGTGCCAACAGTGGATCTGAGACTGATGGGACCGCAGACCAGACGGACAGGCAGGATAGAGCACTTCGGTATGTTGGGTGAGAGCAGGGAGCTTTGTGACACGTGGAGGTTGGTAGGCACCTGGGTATTTGTTGGCATTGTAAAATATTCGAACAAAGTGTTTCAACAATACGGCCTAGCCTCTCTCCTTTTGCATTTATCTGCCCACGAAGCCCCATATTTGGTTGCTTGTTTGGTTATAATCGTGTATGTCTCATATAAAGTTCTGATGTCCGTCGTCCAAACTATGGAGAAAGTGGTCGTGAGAATGTGCCGCTTTGTAACATGATGCACCTCATCCGGGTCACGACAGTCTTTCCATGCTTTCACTGAAATCCAATGTTCAGTACATACAACATATGTAGGGTCATGAATGATCTAATGAAACACTCATAGCAAATTACAGTTGCCCAATATCGGCATATCAGGTGCTGCAGTTAGATCTCTGCTAAAGATATTGAAGTCTGGGTTTTCGAGGACCCAAAACGATGGCAAATCAAACATGCCCGATGCATGGCTTCGTTCATCAACCAGAGTCGGTGGATTAGTAGCGTCTTCGTTGTTCACGCTGGGCTGAATCACCAAGACCATGTTAGCGACCTGCTCTCTGATAAAATGAATAATCTTCAGTCTCTTACCATGTCTTCAGAAGAACGAATAGAGTTGACAGTGGATTTTGCTAAGATGCCATGCGGAGATTGTGCGACCCATGCCTTCCATGCCTTCCTTCCCTTTTCGAGCCTTGCTTCTTCGCTAGTTGCCACAACCTCGCTGCCATCTTCTGAGTTACTGATATCATTCTGTAAGCTACGTAAGATGTGTGTCAAAGCGCCGGCGGCGAGTTGGCTGCCCTCGGCGAGGTCCAAAAGAACCAGTACTCCCTGCCGAATCGACTCCTTGATTATATCTAACGAGAACCAGTTGAGGTTCTTAGCAATCAATATGACGTATACAGCAGCGGTACAGTAGAGGGAGTCATGAAAAGAGAACCGACAGAGCTGGGATCTGGCCCTGAGCGAAAACATTATGCGTATCGTTGCCACAGCCGACTTGACGCAGGTCTGCGCCTGTTGCCGAACGAACCCAGAGATTGCATCATTGAGGATCCATGAATGGTTCGCCGCAGCCGCGTAATTGAGGCAAGATCTCGTCAACAGGATCGTGGCCTGCTCGTACGCTAGGGACACATGCGCTACAGAGCGAGAGATTGTATCTTCAGGGCTGGTTCTCAGACGTGGCGGTAGGTTCTTCCGAGACTGTTCCACCTCATCTTGAAGCTGTCGGAACGCCCTTGGGCTCATTATCGTGCCCTCTCCAGATGCCGGCGTGCAATAGACGATGTTGACAATCTTCCCCATCAAATGGCAGAGTTTAATCATGGCGATGAGGCCGTCATTTGTTGGTGATCTTCCGGTTAAATGTCCCCATTCAGGAATGTCCACTGGAAGAGGAGCATCGATCTCGGCATCATTGATTGCCAAAGGACGACCCATTTCCACTGAAAACATACGTTCCGCGACGTAGACAGACCACCAGAGCCTGTTTCGAAGTTCTCGAACGTGCGGGTGCAGAGATTCGGTCCCAAAGGATCGATGCATGCCCATGTTCACTGCCATCCTGAGTGCGAGCCCAAGAAGGTTGTAGCCAGCATCCCTGCTCTTGGCGCTGGGAAGAAATATGCCTTGAAGGACGCACACTTGTACACTTGTCATGGATGATGAGACAATGACGTCGGGAAGCAATTTGCGCGAGATTTCGTAGAAATGCCAGCCTGGAGACTGCGACGGCTTTGGAACGTTCAGCCGCGAGAAGTCGAGAGCTGGCATGCCGGGACTCGCCGAAGCGAACGGCGGTAACTGATCCTCAGTATCCCTTCGACCCGCGTCCGCGTTAGGTATTGCGACTTCGGCAAATTGGCTGCCAATGGCAAACACCATGAACATGAGGCAAATGAACTCGCTGGAACGCTTCGAGTCAGATGCCTTCAGCAGGTCAAACTCATTCGTGCCATCGTATAGGGCGGTCAGCTTTCGCGAGAATATCTCAGGGTGGATGTAAAATTGGTTTGCCTGGGCAGACCGAAAAAAGGTTGCCACCAGGAAGTCGACCACATCTCGGGGTGGTAAAGCAGCAAGCACCGCAGTCTTCAGGTCGGGGGAACACTGTATTGCAGGCCATTGGTGGAGTAGAGAATTCTCATGACACTCCTACTTCCGTTCAAAAGTTAGAACGGCCTATACTTAGGTGGCCACTCAGAAGTGTTTTCCTTTATTTCTTCAATCAAAGAGCGTGTAGTTGACTTGCCTCTGATTCGCCAGCTTCCATGGTTTCGGTTCCATCATTACCACCACTCTCGGTGTGGGCTTGCCCCTCTGTCACGAGTTGTCGGGCGGATTTGAAAAAGGTCCACGAAGAAAAGCGACCTTCGAAATCTAAAAACAGCATTCGCGCATTTTATGAGCATGGAAGAAAGCTAGGGACCATGTGGATGCAGACTTCTAGAGCGTCAACGTACGAGTCTTGCCCTGATTGATTACAGTGATTGTCGCCGTAGGCATCGGGGTTCTACCTAGAGCATCGTGTCGGCCAAGGTCCACCAGTCCGTCACCAACGTCGGGCTGAGAACTGGTGCTCAAGTATAGCGGTTGATGCCTCGTTTCTTCGGGAGTCACACATTCTGGATGAGCTGGACTAGTCGGGCCATAGTTCCGCAGCGCATTCAAATCATCTGTTCGTACATCGGGGTGGAGCTTGGCAAAAATACTCTCCAAGAGACGCAGCTTTTCTGCACTATGTTGCTGCGCTTGCTGGACACTGTTGATTCGATCCGATTCAGAGTTCATGTCGGGCGATATTTTGCTACTGGCATAAAGACATTGCCTCTGATTGCCTGAGCATCTGCTGCAAGGGCTTCGTCCATCACACCTGAGTTTGTCACGACGGCAAGGCTCGCAACTATCGGACCTCGGATGAGGGAATCAGCCAAGGCTGGTGCCTCCAAACAAGTGAGGGTTGAATCGCACTCACGCTTTCTTCGCTCTCTTCCGCTGATCGAGTGGCACAGTGGGTCTTTTACGGCGTCCAGATCTTGCTACCGTGTGCTTCTCATCATAAGCCGTCCCGGGCCCGGTGCTGGGCGGCTCACAAGAGTCTTCGGTACCAAGGGACGAGGCCATGTTTGGCTGCGACGGAAGACGCGTCCCAGTGATCACCTTGACGGCGTCGACAGTCGCATGAACCGTATGCGGAACGTGTATGGTAGACAAACTGAACGGATGAAACCCAAGCATGATAAGCAAGGGTTGAGACTTGGTCGGGTGCATGTACCCGACTTTTATTCATGCATATCAGAGAGGTGGGGTCCGATAACGGGATGACAAGACTAGCCTAAGATTGGACGCGTGAAGAAATCGCAGAAATGCTGATGCCGATATTACATATACGTTACCTAAATCAGAGTCGCCTTGAGTAAGGAGATAAGGCAACTTTTATGACAAGCGTCCTCGCATCCGAGCCGAGGATTTTGTGACACCGGAGGTACACACAACGGAACAATGGCACGACTATCCATCCGTCAGGCGCAATCTATAATCATTTGACATTTAAGAGACAATGTGACAACGAGGCAATCTTCCTACTAGACTCGGACCTTCTATAACTCATACAAGATATTCTCGTGCTTAATCGCGCCAATAAAGCCATCCCGAGCTTCACCATGGCGTCCTCATCTACTACCCTAAAGCCAGAGAAGACAATAATTGGGAGCTCTCTGGAGATCCCGCGGATGATCAATGGCCTCTGGCAATTAGCGGGTGGGCATGATGAAAAGGTGGACATCGCGGCTGCGGCCGACGCCATGAATCCATTGTAAGTGAAGCATATGATTCACTGGGCTGGCGCTTTGAGCATATTAAATAACGATGGAACATAGAATTGACGCTGGACTGAGTGCGTTCGATATGGCGGATCACTATGGTGATGCAGAATTAGTTATTGGCCAACATCATGCACACGGGTCCCCAGGCCAGGTCACAGCATTCACAAAATGGTGTCCTGCCGAGAATGGCATCAAGACTTTTGAGCATGCAGAGGCGGCCGTGGATCTTGCGCTGACGAGAATGGGCCAAACAAGCATAGCCCTTATGCAATATCATATCTGGGACTATACAGACGATACCTATCTTCACAATCTCGGTCATCTTCGCAGACTGCAGCACCAGGGCAAGATTGGCCACCTGGGGCTCACCAACACAGACGCGGCACATCTCGAGCTCTTGCTACACTCGGGTTACCAGATTGCCACAAATCAAGTATCATGCTCAGTCATTGACCGGCGCGTCGTCAGAGGGAGACTGTCATCAGTCTGTGCAGAGAACAATGTCGGCATTCTTGCGTACGGCACACTACTTGGCGGCTACCTCTCCGAGAAGTGGGTCGGCGCTCCAGAACCGCAAGATATGGAGGCTCTCAACTGGAGTCTACGGAAGTACCTCCGCTTCATTCACGCCGCAGGAGGCTGGCTCCCCTTCCAGCGCGTCCTCCAAAGCCTGGCCACTGTTGCCTCCAAGCACGGTGTGCCTATCGCCGCAGTCGCAACGCGCTGGGTGCTAGACATTCCCGTCGTCAGCGCCGTCATCGTAGGCTGCCGGTTGACCGCAGGTTCCGGCAAGTATACAGAGGCCAACCTAGCGGCATTTTCATTTTCCTTCGATGATGAGGATGTGGCTTTGATCTCAACGGCCCAGGAGGGCTTGTCAGACATTCCCGGCGATTGTGGAGACGAATACAGACGACCTCCATTCCTTACTGCGGCTGGGGACCTGACAGACCACATCAAAGAGACGGACACAATGCGCGCTGTCACGGAGGCTATATCACAAGGGAAGCGAGTTGAGCATTGGTCCGCGAGCAAATGGGAGCCTATCGCAGTAGGTACAGACGGAGAGCCCAGAGGAACTTGAAAACGCATGATGTTGACGTGAACACCCAACAGGGCTACTCCCGAGCCATGAGAGTAGGTGATACAATCCGGGTGTCCGGAACAACCGCCAACTTGCCTCCCACACTAGAAAACGCCGTTCCTTTAGGTGTTCTTGGAGGAAGTTGTGCGCGCTGCCAGACAGTAGCAGCACTCGATATCATTGAAAGGTCTGTCAAGAAGCTGGGTGGGAAGATGACAGATGTGGTCCGCACAAGAGTCATGGTGCGCAGAGAGGAATTGTGTGAGCCTGTCAGCCTCGCACACGGCTGGGTTTTCCAGTCCTGCCTCGGCATTCGGCCTGCCAATACGCTTGTCACAGCCGGAATAATCGGCGACGATTTCCTCGTTGAGATTGAGGCAGAGGCAGTGGTAGGTATTGGCCAAGAGAAAGGCGTCTTAGTTGTATGATGGTAAAAAAAAAATTAAAAAAAGAAGAAGACAGGAAAAGAGGCCGCCGAATTAGCGTGCAATGGAATAAGCATTGAATCAATCCAGAGAGTTCTGGAGCGTGTACAAAATTCATGTAACAACGAATTGGTTCCAGAAACCATGGTCTTCAGAAGCCCAAGATTTAACTGCTAAAGCATTGTCAGCAAATTAATATGATTAGTCTTCCACAACTCAGAGCTGCCATATTGCAGAGCATTTACTCGAAGTTTGCTGGCACGGGCGTTATCTTTACCCACAGTTTTGTATTTTATATCGTCATTGGGCTGGGGCCCGAAGATCTCAGGCCCTATGTGTTTAGGGATCGGCAACCTGACCAGCAATCACTGCGCCATGAGAACGGTCAGGGTTGAGTTTTGATAGACCGCTCCTATCCGCGTGGCTTCATACCGCCAATCTTCGTCGTTGTCAGAATCTTGAATCATGCAGAGACAGTCAATCCATACATATTTGAACCCTACTTGCCGCAGGATGTGAACAACATCCCGGAACATTATGGGCAGCGCAGAGAGGGCTATCCCCGTGCTAAGCCTTTCGTGCAAGTTATGTTGGAGCAGGCTGATCTGGCTTGTCTCTTCGCTCCAGCGATGACTCAGTGTTGCATACTGTTATGACGGCGGCACATTGTCGACTAAAGAGATTGTCTGGCTGTTGGAGTTGCCAATGGACAGGAGCCTTGTAGGGATGAATTCGGGGTCGGTAACGCCGCATACCTGCGTGTGATGAGCGAGACAGCGCTGCAGGCAGACATTTGCCAGGGCAATGGCATCCCCGTTGGTGGCCCTGCAATGGTCCCTAGCCTTGAGGGCCGGGTACCTCTGTTCGCACTCCTCTGCCATCAGCATTTGGCTGCTTTCACTTGGGGAATAAAATAGTTCGAACTTGACATGACGTTTTGCTATTTCGGGATACCTGGGAGGCTGGAAGTTTTGATGTTCCACAGCGGAAAAAGGCACGTGGAGTGATGGCTCCTGGGCATCTTGGGTATGTACGTTGATAGAATGGTATCCGTAAAAACAGCCATCACCAGTAGCCTGAGCGAGGAGTTCCAAGATCGCTGCGCAGCTAAGACAGCTCGGAGGAGATGAGGTGTCAAGATGCCAACAGCCATCTGTGAGCCTCTGAGGAAGAGTGTCACCGCCGCTCTCACCTCGCTCAAACATACAGACTTTACATCTGGGCTTGGAAGGCCGGCGCCGTAGTTTTCCCTTGTAGCGCTTCAGCGTTCGAGACAACCTGTTGTCCGGCGCAGGATCAGGTGCAGTTGGAGCCTCCGACATTATTTGCTTGGGAGAGATGTAGCGTAGTGACGACTCCCTGGGGGCAGAAGCGACAGATGACGCGTCCACTCCAGATCGAATTCAGGGTCCGGTCTGCTGGTCCAAACTGTTAGCAATAGCACTAGCGTCATGCTGGTGAGAGTGATAGCATGAGACTTGTAATCTGCTCTCCAGCCGCCGCTATTGTAAGAGGCGGTCTGCGCCTGCAAGCTCTGTGAGAGAGGCAGGAGGAATGGTTTCCATGAAGAGAGAAAAGGGAACGCAAGAATAACGAGAGGGAAAAAAAAATGCTAGGGACATCACCTGAAGATAATCCTGTCGGTATGCAACGAAGAGTCGTGGTTGAGAGGGTTGGAAGCTTGAAATTAGTCTTGTTATGGATGGTGGATGGCATGCGTTGGAGAACCCAGAATATGCTGGCAATCCTCCCTATATCTAGCGTGAGGTATATTTGTTTTATTGAAGTACGCATTAGAAGTGGATTGCGGAGTCTAGAGCCTCCAGCCAGTATTGAGCGCGAGGGCTAGTATTGCTCTCATCTAGCAGGCGGCGGCAACACTCGTTCCAACAACAGAAGACAGTTTGTGTCAACATTCCTTAATTGTGTCGAAGTCGGAGCGGGGCTTTTCAAGCTGACAGCATTGGTAGGCTACAGTATTGTAGGCCAGCTCAAAGCAGCCTATCACATTAAGCAGATGGTTGGAGAGCAGCGGGACGAGTTACCAAGCAAGAAGCTTTCTGCTAGCATGGCTGTCCTCGGGACATGCCTCGAATAAGTCATGACCTTCATATGGCTTTAAGGTTGTCATTCCTTTTCAAATTTTTTCTTCGTCTTCGGATAGACAGTAATGAGAAGATACTTTGCCCCTTCTTTGTTTTCTTTCCAGTTTACACCCTCTAGACCGATCTAGACCAGCATTTGAGGTTCAGGTTCGAGACACAGACTGGTCTATACAATTTGATACGCAGTGCTCAACAGAGTTAGTTTTCATCGGTTCCATGAAGCTAGGGCTTCTATTGTTCGGGGGCTATGTGCGCTAAAGCTATACGGCGGCAATGTGGGATGGTGTGCTCATCCACAGCCGGTCTCGTTTCTCGATATACATCTTCGGTACTGACGTGTCCAACAGCTGGCGAGTACTGTGATCGTCCGACTTGGAGGTCCAGAAAAGGCTCTTTGCCCAGAAATCAAGAAGATCTGGGACAGCAAGGCGCGGAGTTGCCCAGGTGTTGGCAACAGCCTCATAATGCTCCGCTGAGGTGCCCATGCTTACTGGAGCGAATTTGGAGTCGGCCACCTCGAGCTTCGGGGAACAGCACAGGTTGCCGGCGTCGAGAGCGTCCTCCTTCTGCAGCTCGCCGGCCTTGATCGGGGCCAGCTTGTCGGCAGAGACCTGAGGTGGCGGCGGGGTCAACACTAGGTCAGACCTAAGTTTTATTGTGTTGTTGCCCCCTTCGGTCAGCACCGTCATATTGTTCCCAGACACTGCAGGATCTTTTGATGAATCGTCTAGAAGAAAGGAAAAAAAAAAATAGGTTAGTAAACGTAGGACGGTCTCCACATTGGACCGCAGCTTACACTTATCCCAATATCCTTTGGGCATAGCCTTTGTCGTAGACACCACATTCCAGGCAACCTTTTCGTACGCAGGGTCTAGGTTGCCATCAGATCCTCGGAAGCTCTTCTTGAACACCCTGACATGAAGCTCAGACGAGATGGGGTCGGCGCGTTTCATGGGCTTCGCGAAAAGTGGCGTCTCGTTGATGACCTGCACGATCCGGCCGTCGACGAAGAGAGAGCTGATAGGAAATGAGCACCCGACGGAAAAGGTGAAGAGGCCACTGAGGACGTTCCACCGCTTCTCTCTCTGGTCTTCCTTGGGCTGCTCCTCCTTGTCGGCCGCTTCAGATATCGAGGCGGGGGCGAGCAGGCCCGAGGTCGCGTTGAAGTTGATGCTGCGCTGCGCTGCGGACCTTTGGCGCCAGAGCCCCTGTTGCCCGACCCCAAGACGAGGTCGTAGAACTGCTGCAGGGACTTGAGCTACTCGGGGATCTGGGAGGTGTTGCCAAAGGCAATGTCAAAGGCAAGGACCCAGAATTCGACGCGGGCCCTGCCGCCAAATGGCTGGCCCCCGAGGCATATCTGGGCGCCGAGCTGCGCGTTGATGTTGGTCGACACCCAAAAGGCCTCGATGGTATAGTTGACGCCGACGGTGATGCCGCCACTGACGCTGTAGCGATCCGAGTCGATGTTCAGCAGGGCCCTGAAGAGGATCTTCTTGGTCATTTCCCCCTCCAAGAGGGCCGACAAGTCGAGACTCCCAACCTGAGCCTCAAGCCATAGCATCAGTCTCGGGAGTAGGTCACCACTATTGAGGCTCATGTCAAGGGTGACGAGGTTTTTTCGTATACGCAAGACGACAGAAACAGGCACATCTCCCTGACTAGACGACGCAGGTGCAGCCGCCTCGGAGCCGGGGAGACGCAAGGAGCAGTCAAGAACGAGATCGGTCTGCACATCCCTGAGCACACTCTGGCCTCTACTGGTGACCACCCAGTGACATTCGCTCTTGGAAACCACCTTCACCCCTTTGACGCTCATCCAGGGGACGCGCGAAGCCAGAAACTTGGTCATTGTTGCCGTGCTCTCTGCGTCGCCGAGATACTGGAGTCTCTGAACGGTCCGATAGCTCCGCTCCGGGTCAAACCAGACGGCATTTCTACTGCCTGGCTGGACATCGAGCGTTAGACGGATATCTAGGAGCTGCATCAGCTCTGCGTCCTGAACATCCACAGGCAGGGTAGACAGAGACACGAGATCAGCCAACCGCACAGGACCGGTGTCGCACTTTGGATCCAGGGCGAGAACCAACACTTTCTGGGGACAGACCAAACCGCCCATCTCCTTGCTGATCGTAGAAAGGCTGCTGGAGTCAAACATGTGTCCGATGTGCTCGGTGCAGAACTCGAGTCCGTTGGAGAGCTTCAGCCCGAGGTTGGCGATCTTGTTGGTGGCGCTCGGCGCGAGCTTCAGAGACGTGGCACCGATGGAGGCGCTCAGCCAGCCGTACAGCTCGTCCGTCTTGTCAAACTCGTAGTACTTCTGCGTCTCGCGGGCCGCGACGACCACGGGCTTCTCAGCCAGGTCCAAGCGCGTGTTGTGAAGCGAGCCGACAAACACGTCGGCGTCGCCGGGACTCAGGATCGAAGGCATACCCACGACGCCGCCTTGCAGTTTGAGAAGGGTCGAGGCAATGCAGACTTCCCGCTGGACCGCGGAAAATGTGGACGTGTCGATGGACTTGGCCTCTCGCGAGGCAGCCAGCCGGTCCTACATGGACGGATCTGGGTACACCCAGCGCGGCTCGCGGGGACTGACCAGGCGGGGATTATTTTCGGCCGGGATCTCGAGGGCATCGGCAGGCGGCTCAAGGAGTGTCTCGAGGTTGTAGAAGACGTTGCTGTGGTCGAAGCGTGTCTGGGCGAGGGTGGTCTCGCGCTCCCGGCTCCAGCTCGGAAACTGGCTGAACATGGCTTGATCTGGCGGCGAGGGAGCACTCAGAGCTGACACAGAGGCCGAGTTCACGGCTAATTGGAGGGAGCGGATTGTTGCCACAGACCTGTCTCCAGCGGCGGTCTGGTAGGTCTGTACGTTGTGGCTCCCGAGGTACTTTATGCTCACAGCACCGTCCGAGGCGGCCCTGGGTGGCATCCCGAGACTCGACGCAGATGTACTCGACCATGCCCTTTGCGACCACAGGGTCAAGAGATTACCCGTAGACGGCAGCACCAGCGGCTGGGTAGGACTGTACTGTGATAGGAAGGAGATATCTCAGACCATCGGCTCTCGCACTGATGGATGATCCAGTCCCTGGACTCGTGCTCCGTGCGGGGCCTGGTCTTGTCCTCGCCCCATAGGCAGTACTCTTCGTACACGTTGAGCAGGCCCGGCTGTCCGAGGGCCTCCTGACGCTTGTTCACACGGTAATAGAACTCGTCTAGCTTTCTAAACAAGACGCTGTCCTCTCCGCCAGGGCGGACAAAAGTGTCGAATGAGAGCTGGCCCGTTCCCGAAAAGTCGACATAGCTACAAGCCCCCGTCGGACCGGCCTGCCTGATAAAGTAATAAGGATATTAAGTGGCATAAACTGGCTTGGATGTGGCAACATCTGGTCGCTGGGACATCAAGAGGGTGTGCAGGAGTAGGATGAGCTCCCAGCCTGAAAACCAGCGCCGTCAGTCAGTCTTTCAGACAGCCAGTCATTCAGCGCACTCTGCCACCAGGCCCATCTTTGCTTCTTTTTTTCTTCTTCTTTTTGGGGGGTCTACGACTCACGAGGGTTATTGTATTTGCTCCCATTGAACATGACCAGGCTCTGCAGGCCCAGGATATTCACGGTGTCTGCAACCGAGACTGGGCTCCCGCTGCGTCCGCCAATCTTCATCGACGTGACGGAGAGGACCTCAACGTCGGCGCTTGGAGGAGCAGCCGTGACCAAGTCGACTAGGCCGTTCTGTACCACATCTTCGGCATGACCACCGCCGTAGTAGGAGATGCAGGCTGGTTTGCTGTTCCACATAACCAGGAGCGCGAGAGACGGGTCCGCTTCTGGGCTTACAGAGGTCTCGGATCCCATGACAATATCGCCAGCCACGACAACGTACAGCCCCGGCATATTAGCACCTGGCGGATTCCTTGCCAGCAGGTCATAAGGAGAGGGCGCCGGACGGGCGAGAAAGTCGATCGGCAGGGTTCCGCTGGCGAGCAAGTCACGGCCAAGCAGCTCTCTCTTGTTGCAGACGAAGTTGCAGAAGCCACTGACAAATGCCGGCTGGCTTGCCCTTGGGCGCAGCATTGCGTAGGTCAGGCGGTTCCCTGGCGTCTGCAGCTTCATTTCAGGCACATGCGAAGGGGGCGCACACGGCGCGTACAGAACAGACAGCGGTTTATTCTGCTTGTCGTACTTGAGCCAGCTCACCCGAAAGCTGTCCGACTGCTGGCCCTCCTGAATCTTGGCCCCGATCTCAGCATTGAGCATTTCGAAGAGGCCACCGTAGTAGTCCGAATGCCAGACGGAGAGGACTATGGCATCAAATTGCAGGGTAGCGCAGCCATAACGAGCGGCGACGGACGCGAAGCTGCTGGCGAGAACTTGGCTGCCAAACTGTGACGCTTTCGCTGGGCCGGTGTCGACGAGGACGGCCTTGATGATGGTCTTGTTGGCCGTTGGTGCCGACTACCTCCCTGATCAAGAGGTGGACGGTGCACTCGCCGTCGCCGACGTTGAGATGGATCGAGTCTATGCCATAAGACTCGCCCATGGTTACTCTGGTCTTGGAAAGGTGAATAGACAGACAGTACAACAGAAAAAGGAAGAAGAAACTTGAATCGAGCGGCGAAAACTAAACACAACTTGCAATCAATTCCTTCCAGTTCACGGATCTCGTTGGGTTAAACCTCTCTGTTGATCCAGAAAAGGGTACGCAAACCAACCGAATACGTGAAGGCTGCCCATGCGAATCAGAAATACTACAGGGTTGCTCTTGGTCAACATTGTTCTGTTTCAAGCGGGAACAGATATCGAGGTCTCTCGAGGTGGACAATTGTGGAAAACGATAACATCCAGGTCTGGCGTATCAGCAATCCTAGACCCGATCCAGACGACTTAGCTCTGGGTGATGCTCCAAAACGGAAACACAAGGGGTACGAGATTCTCTTTGATAAACCCACACCGTGGCATGGGGTTTAGCTGCTCCACAAACTCGCCGCCCGCTAATGTGCCCAAGGCCAGCTGAACAATGATCTTCGATATACTATTTAAACGGCATCGTACGACATGTACTATAGTGGCGAACCCCTGCACTGTTGAGCTTGATTACCTATGCTATCCTGGTGACTCGTGGTCTTTTTACGTGTGGGTGTGAAAGACAGCAAAAGTGAGAGGGGAAAAAAGAAGGAAAAAAGAAAGAGAGAGAGAGACACACAGAGAGAGGGAGAGAAAAGAGGAGCTTGGCGTTCAGAGATCTATCTCCCTCGAGAGCTCAAGTTCGAAACACGGACGCCACAATCCGTTTGCTGCCGATTCGCTTTCTCCTCAAAACGCTGCCCAGTTCAAACACCACACCCAACATGTCACAAGCCCCCGTGTCGACCCTCACTCCAGGGGCGCAAGCTGGCCCCTGCCAGGCGGTCTTCCAGGCGCTGGGACAGCCAGGACTCGAGGGTTCGTCCCTCATGGGCGTTCCCGTCAGGCATCTCGCTGCCAATCAGGCTCGCCCACAGCTGAGCACAGGAGAGGAGCAGATATTCTCCTACTTTCGACCCACGCTCGAAGGTGGAGACTACATCGTGTCAACCACCCAGACCATCTCCGCCAGAGACAGCACGGCGATTCTGAAGCAAGAAGAGCAGGAGTTCACTGTGGCCACGCCACGGTTCCGCCTCCCCGACGGCGCCGTCAAGTCAGTGTTTCCGCCGCCGGGCTACACCGCGGCCGTCGAAACCCTGCCGCACATTGTGTTCAGCGATCCATACCTGCCCTGGGAGCGCCAGGCGACCGCAACGAAGCAGACGACGACGAGCAGGGTCCCATGGATGGCCGTCTTGGCTTTCACGGAGGACGAGCTTCTCCTGCCTCAGGACCAGCGGACAGGAGACACCAGCATCTTTAAGAACATATCCTCCCAAGAGTCTTGGGAGCAAGATGCAAGCCTGTCTGTAGCGATCCAACCATCAATCCTTTCCAAGGTGACCAGCTGCAGAACTCCCATCTCGAGCATAGACGGCATCGCCGATACCGACGTCGACAAGGTCAACGCCATCTTCATCCGGTCAAGACTCTTTAACGAGCTTTTCCGCAACAGCACCGCCTCGGCCGGCACGCAGAAGCACCCAGACGTGTCCCGATACGCGTTCCTCTCCCACGTGCGCCGTTTCGACACAACCGGAATGGCAGAGTCAGGGTCCTCCCGTGAAGCCTACTACAGCATCGTCTTGTCACACAGGGTCGGATCGCTGGCCAGTGACGGCACACCAGTGCCCGTACACGTCCACCTCATCTCCCTTGACGGCATCGAGTCCATGGCCTGGCCAGTGCCGGAATCCACCCGCCATGTGGCCGTCGCATCCTTGTACAGTTGGACGTACATGTGCGGTCGCGAGGGCGCCTTTGACGTGAAACAGACGATGCGTGTGCTAGCAGACAGTCTTGGGCCGCTCAGGGCGCCGCTGCCAGACTTAAGTACCCTTGTTGACACCCCAGAGAGGCAGACCATCGTGGACAGGGTCAGGGACGGCTACGTCCTCGGAAGATGCCGCGTGCAGACGGGCGAAACCACGGCGACTTTCTACCGGGGCGTGTTGACACCAAACCAAGTCCAGCACCCCATCTCACCAACATGGAGTCTTCATTCGGACAGCGGCATGGATCTGCAGATCCTGGATGGCAAGCTCGGCATGCTCGACATCACGTACTCGGCCTCGTGGCAGCTGGGGAGGAACACAGCCATCGCCGACCAGGCCTTCTGCCGGGCCATGACCAGTCTACGGCGCCAGATCCACGTCATGGCCATGAACAGGGCCAAGGCCGTCCTGATGCGCGCGCATGGCACGTGCCAGACCCGGGACGACGCGTTGAGGGCTGCCCCGGCCATCGTTCAGGAGCTTGGAAAGCTGCAGAGCACGGAGACCGACCGGCTCCCGTCGAACGGGAATCTCGATATGCTTGACTGGTGGATGTCCAAACCCAAAGAGCCTGTCAACCTGTCACTTGACAACCGTACCCTGGCCGCGCAGTACGATCAGCAGGCCCAAGCAGCGGCGGAGGAGTTCGGGCGCAGTGCCAACGAGGACGACGACGTGTACATCTACAACGAGCTGAATCAGGCGGCAAACCCCGAGTGGTCCGTCGTGCTCGGCTGGGTCCTTGACAAGATGTACCTGTCCAGCATTCCGAGCCAGTACCTGGTGACCGACCCGTCGCATCTGCCCGCCGAGAGTCTGCGCTTCTTCCACATCGACGCCAACTGGGTCGACGCCTTCCTGGATGGCGCCCTCAGCATCGGGAATCACCTCGAGAACCGCTTCGACAGCGTGCGCACTGCCATCAAGCGCCTCGTCAACAACTACCTTCGAACTCCGCTGCCGTCCACGGGCAGGCCGCCCCCAATCCCGACTTACGGGTTTCTCCTGCGCTCTAACCTCATCAGCCACTTCCCAGATCTGCGCGTCGAGGCAGAGTACGACCCTCTGAGAACAGACTCGATTGTTTCCTCGATTCTCCGACAGGCTAGCGTGGCCGATGGGGTTCTCTTGTGTCTCCTGGACGTGTCGCCGCACGGCGGCCAGCCCAGTTGTTCGCGACTGACCAGCCTCAAATTCACCCAGCCTCCTCACCAGCAATCTTTCACCGTTGGTGACCGGCTTGATGAAGATGAGCTTTGGACGTCGTATAGGAGAATATACACGACATTTGACGGATCATCAGATAAGTCGGATCTCTTGTGCAGAGATGAGGTCCTCAAGAGGAACGCGCCTCCGAACAAGGTCGAACCGCCCATCTTCGACTGGGGCCAAGACAACTCGGTGCGGTGCCTGCAATTCCCAGCCTTCTCCGACAAGCTCCTGCGCAACCTGCAGAAATACATGCCCAGAGATGAAGAGGGGACCTTTCGCGCCGACGCTGCCACCTCGGCTATGGTCGGGCTGCAGCTGACGAAGCGCATCTGTGAGCTAGAAGTCACCGCCGCCGCCACCACCGCCTTGTTCTCCTCGTCCACCTCCTCTGTCTCTGCCGGCCCCAGGGCTCTCTGGATACCGAGAAAGCCCGATTCCCTGATGTAGCCCAAGACTGTGGTCACCAACAGCGCCCAGCTGGGTGGTCCGCCCGTGGTACCCCTTGTGACCCCGGAAGAACGACAGCATACATGCGGCTCGGTCTGGTCCAGCAATTCGACACACGTCGGTGCCGCGCGCGGACCTTCGTACAACCTGAGCTCCTTCGTCGACAGCATCATCGACCCGGTTGCCACACTTGCAGAGGCTGTGTCAGACACCTTCAACTCGCCCATCCTGGCCACCGCCCCGGCACTGTCGTAGCCCGTCCGACTCCCCAAATACTCCATTCAGGTCTTCCCCGTCGGCAAGCCTTTCAACCCCGATAAGGACGCCCTTTTCATCCCCGTCGGCCGGCGCCAGGATCTCGTCTTCTCCATCACCTTAGACAATCCCTCCACGGCCACGCCTGGCACCATTGTCGACGAGATGCGCATAGTACTACCCATGGATAAGCCAGACTCGGCTGCTGGCAGGACGCACTGATGCGCGACTACCACGGGCCTGGAGCGGTCATGTTGAGCAACCTACGCTTCAATGTCATCTCAGCCGTGGCTGTTGATTACAGTTACATGCTCTTGAGGCTGATCCCCCGCACAACGGCGCAGAGGGTTGCATACGATTTGAGCAGGCCCTCGAGGCCAGCTTTGTGCTCAACCTGGGGGATGTCAATGACTACCCTGGCGTGAAGAGAGGTTGCTGGACATGACGCTGGTCGGGCGCCTTAGGGATTATGCATACAAGGAACTGCCACTGGTGCCAAGGACGTACAAAGCGCTGTTGAAACAGCCGCTTCCTGAACAGGAAATCAAGCAGTGACCTTTCCTTTCCTTTTCTTTTCTTTTTCCTTTCCTTCCTTTCCTTCCTTTCCTTCCCTTTTTTTTTTTTTTTCCTTTCTTCCTTCTCTTCTCAAGCTACCTTTAACATCGCAGTTCTGTGTATCTCTCATACTTTAGACATCTAGCAACTTACAAATCCGTTGTGTTGTATATGTGTCAAAACTAAAACTCACAAGGCATTATGTTAACACTCAGCCACCCTCTCCATACTATTGATGTAAATTGTCTCATGTCTGGAGCGTTTCTCAAATTACGTAAAATCTGTTCGATACAACCTTTCGCTCGTTAGTAGGACCGTGAATGAGCCGCACTTTCACTTCTTTTCCTAGCTTCGAATCGCGTACGCGGTCTAAGGACAGACCATCGGTGGCTAATAGACTAATCTAAATGTGTCTGATAACAGGTGTGCCGGCAATCACTCGAGTCCCTCGGATGCCCAGCTGCAGGCAACTGTTCTGCTTACGAACCATAGCTTGGCCTAGGAGGGCATGGCTGTAGTGGCTCATATCTACCATGACCAACTTCTTACATACACTGGCCACCGCATCTTTGTGAGCAATCCAATCCGAATTAATTGGGAGACAGGCATGAGTGAATGGCCGGAGCTGGACGGGGCTCGCAATGATGCCTAAATGACGACCGAATGATGAATAAAATTATTGAGCGTGAATGCAGGAACCAAAGACCTGGTACTTATTATTGAAAATTCGGCTATTCACATGATCATATAACAGAAAGGACTTAGAAGAGTAGCTGAAAATGATGTTTGAGGAGGCTTGGAATGCTATGTCTCAGATTTCTTCGAGATAATTGCCATGACCTTCATATTTGCCTCGCCGGTGTATCAATACATGGCTTGAGTAGGACTTGTAAATGATTGTTAATGAAATGAATCTAAGTACTCTTGGTGCGTTTCACTATACTGAAGTCTTGAGGTATTTTTGCATCGTTGTACATCTTGAGATCTGACTCTACTGTAGTGGCGGAATATTGCAATGGCTCCTAGGGTTATATACTCAGCAATAGCCAAAAGGCGTCGGTTGGGGATGTGGGTGGACCGCCCCGGGGGGGGGGGGGTTGCCTCCAGTAGCAAAATCACGAATTGATTGGCGGAGTTCCAGCCGGGTCGGTTCTTTATCACTTGAAAAGAACAACAGAGAATGCCTGGGCTACCTGTCGATTCGGCAGGTCGAGAATGGAGAGGCGCACGGTACTGCTGGCTTGTGATGAAACAAGGCGCTTGAAGGTGAGGTCAGGCGTTGCATTAGAGCGATATTTTTTCCAAAACATGCCGATGAATAAGGCTCATTAACTCGTGCTGTATAGACTCTTACGTTACAGAAGCAGGTAATAGTTTTCCAGAGCCACCTCCGCTATAGTAAGCTCTATTGCTTCCTCAGACGCGTTGCTAGACTCATCATGCGGCCGTATAGAATTCAGTCGCTCTCAGGGTTTGCAATGTTACCGTAGGGCACACCATGGATAATTAAAGGTTACATTACCTCCGAGATGAGAGATCTCATGAATCAACGGACCCCTATCTTATTATTCTACCTTGAGAATCTCAGTCAGTTCGACGAGCTCCCCATCCGGTCCTCTAAGATAGCAGACTCTTTGGCCTCCTCCCTCTGGTGCTTCCTGAGGAACTGTAAAGATACCACTATAAATCTGAAATCCTTCGCTCTTTACACTTTCCACGATCTGATCCAAACCCTGAATCATGAGATTGATATGGAGAGATCCTATATCCCAGCTCCTAGCGTGCGGCGTACGACTCTTCTGTTCTTCAGCAACATCGGGCGGTAGTTCGTACTCTATGAGCTCCAGAGTGGATACGCGGCCAGGGTCGCTGCCTTTCAGTTGGATCCAGACAACACGCATACTTGTGCCGAGCGGGGCTCCCGTCATCGTATGAACTGGGTCGCTGGGAGTGGTGCTCCCGGGAACATCTTGCTGCCAGATGATCTGGAAGCCGAGGATATCCTTCCAGAAGCGCAAGCTTTTGGCCACTGTGATAATTGTCAGTACATAATCTCTCAGTGGCCAGGGGAGACTATTGCAATCCGGCGAGAATGGTTAAGCCAGAGCAAAGTCCAGCTGAAGTAACGCAAGGGCGCGCGGGACGTCGCATCGCGTCTTACTGGAGCGGACCGTCATTCCCGTGTGGCCATGGCCAATGATGTGAAAGGCAGGATTGGTAGCCATAGTCTGCTCGATCATGTATTGGTCTTGCAGCAACAGTTGTATAACGAGTTAGTACGGTCTGCCAGTGGAAAATGAGAATAGTGTGGGCAGAGTAATTGTCAGAGTCTTTATACCTTAGATATTAGCAGCCGGTGAATCAAGGATCCGCAACCTGCAAGGTTCCTTTTTCACACGAGCTGCTGCGGGCCATTCGGAAGGCCGGCATCTGGATTCCAGTCCCATGCTACTGTGGTACTTATGCACCATTGCATTAGTACTCGGTACTTTATTCTTCTTCTTCTCTTCCTCCGGCCAGATTCCAATGGACTCCCAAAGCCGAGAAGGATGTGGTGCGTGCGTGTGGTCTTTTCTAAATATACTATATCAATATAAAAAGCCCTCCTGTTGTCAGTTTCCTCCTGCATACATGCGAAATAAGAGTGTTCTCGACTCAGAACATAGTCACAACGTCGAACTTTTCTTTGGACTCTTTGTAATGGCGTGCTGCATGGCCAGTGGCCACTCACCAGATTCGCAGTCGAAGGCTTCAAGCTTGGACCCAGATTGCTCCTTGAGGCGTAATCGGTGGCTCCAATTCGCAGGTCGATTGAAGAACAGCTCACCTCTTCCACCGATAGCCATATAGCTGTCATATTGACACTTCCACCGGAGTAGATATTTGTCATCCGAAATGCTTCCTGTTGCTAGTCTTGGTGATGATCTTGGATAATGCGGAGCGCGTCGAATCATACTTAGTCAATGCCGAGATAGCTAGTGGTGATGGGTTTGCTTCCTGGAGAGTCTTGGTCAGCTGCACTGGAGTATGTTGGTAAATATCATGCAGGTTCTCTTCCGTGAGGGAGAGGATTTTCTCTTTTCCAAGAAGTGGCTCTGTGTTGCTTATCGGGCGATCTAGTCATATAATTCGTCTCGAGGGCAGAACTGAACGGTTGTGTCGCTTACCGTGACCAGTCTGGTTGATACTACCCCCAAAGCTGCTATCTGGCAGTGCGCATGGTGAATATTGCAGTGATCGAACCAGGATTTGCAGAAAGAGAGAATGTCTTGGATCCTTCTATGGTTTTGCTTTCCATACGATACAACAAACAGAGCATAAGAATGATATCATTCAGCTCGGGGATAATGCACAGCATACATAATCATGTAAGCGGGAAGCACATCTTTTTCTCGGTTCTCATAGCTGCCAGAGCTTTCATTGCTTCCTGCTCTCACGCTACACATTTTACAGCTGTGAACATGAAGAGTCAAAATGACCGCACAATCTCAATTCCATGAAAGTGGAGAATTGGGCAGCCAACATCCTATTATCTTCATCTTCAAAGTGTCGGCCCCCAAGCAGATAGGAGAACCCTTGCAAAAGGAGCCTATCTTTACCGCTCAAGAAGACTGCAAACCGAGTGTAGGAATCCTCCATCTTGTAGTCATCTTTCTGTCGTATCTATCTCATAGTGTTATTCATCGCCTGGCTGACAAAATCGAACTCGCTGATGTGAGGTGACTCTCGAATAACAATCATAGGAGCGTTGAATCGGGACGCAGTGAAGATGCACTAGTCTCCATCCTTGACTGAAGCAGAGAGAATTACCGTGAAACGCTTCGTGTTGTCCAGGTGTCTCAAGGCGTTCTTACAATAATTCCGAGGCTGGACTATCTTGGCTGTGTCATACCCCTCGAAATACCAGTGTGCATTCGTAAATCTGAGTCGCAGTCCATTGATATCCTTGGTTCGTTCGTTTGACGTTGGGGCCATGTGCCGTGGTGATTCGGCTGATAGCAGATTCCTGCATTGTTCGAGTGCTTTTAACGAATCCAAGATTCTGGGGAGTTGCTGCGGCGATCCCTTGCCAACAGGTGTACAGTTCGAAAAGGTCTGCGACTTCCTCCAGCAGGGAGCTGGGGACCAGCAATTTCATTTTTTCCATTATGTCAAGCATCTCCACGGCTATCTCGAAATTGTCCTTGTTATAATCAGGCTTGATGGGTATGTGTTGCTCCTAACGGACAAGCGCTAGAATCCCGAAGCATTTGTCTCTTACGTCTCGACATTGTAGTTTAGCTGTTCTGACGTAGTCGAAGAGATCATATAAACCTGCCCTCGCTTCGCCTGACGATACACTTATGCTCAAGAGCTTTTCGTGTGTTCTCAAGTTGTTACGTGACTCTGTCGAACGTTCAATCTGACAAGACAGTCTGTCGAGCTGGACCTGTAACTTTTCGCGAAGACGTTGTGGCGTTGTGATCCAAGACTGAATCTGCTTCATTAATATTGAGTGCTTAAGCATCGCATCACATTTCGCAGCATCCTCAGCATGGACCAGGAGACGGGCTAGCTGTTTCAGTAGATGGATCGAGACGGAATCACCTCCGCAACAGATGGTAACTCGTTTCCCTAAATATAGCTCCTGGAAGATCCAGAGCCGTTGGAAATAAGGCCGGCCCATGAGGGTTATAACCGGATCACAATAGCTCCGCTCGGTCGCTACAATTTTCTGACGAATCTTTGACAAAAGGCTTGCGTGTTTCCAAGGAATTCTCCTTAAACCTCGTGACTCTGTACGTAGCGCCGCATGTCTCAATCCATCTGAAATGGAGTCGGCCCATTTCAAAATACCACCCTCACGCTATTTGAATGGGACATGCTCTTTGCTGCCGATGAAATGAGAAAGCTCCTCGCTACGTCCGGCCAGGTAACCAGCTCTATCCGGATTGGTGATGAGACCTGGCTTTCATGGGCTGTGTCCCGGGAAAACCTGAAGAGCCTAATATCCTCAACTGCATTGTCGAGAGCGGTGTTGTTGTATTGGTCGGGGGTAGATCTGCTGTGGTTGTCTTCCATATTGTTTGAAGAAACAGACATAGTCTAGTCAAACACGGCGTGTGGAGGAATTATGCATGCTGCAAGTAATCAGGTGACGACATGGAGAAATCTGAGAGAGCACGAGGTTAATGTACTAGACTCTGAGCAGACAGAGTGGATTGGACAGGCAACTTCTCAACGCAGAAGAAGAAGCTGAAAAAAGAACGCTCGGCTGGGCTACTCACAGACTCCCTCCCCGTCTTGGTAAGTCATGCTGCCACTGAGTTGCTTTTTGGACGGACAAATAGCATGCCAGTTCCTAGGTCGTACCGTGATTGCGGGGTAGCTGAGGTCATATATGCGGCTGGATACCCTGTCACGTGCCAGTGCAACTGGACACTCATGATCCTGAATTCCTTGTCAAGTCTGCCTACGCGAAGATTGCCTGAGCCTCAGTGTCCATTGATCGAGGGGGGATTGAGCGCTTTCCATTTGCCCCAGGCCCATTTATAAGCCCAGCCCGACTGTGTCACTCGGCCCTACGTCGGACGTGATAGTATGTATACTAACTGTGGGCCTGCATGCTGCGTGGTGCTTTTGTAACGACCCACACACACGCATAATGTAGCTAAATCCTACCATGTAGTACATGCCAACACCACTGCAGCTGTTGCGACCTTATAACCGCTAAAGTGTTTAACTCCCTCCCGCAGCATTTTGCAGGTTCTAGTCTGCACCGCAGATCAAAACTTCAACTCGAGGTCAAACTCTGAACGGTATTTGAAGACAGGTGCTCCCCTCGAGCTTTGAGACTGTGCAAAATAAAATCACAATTCTATTGCTCTACTTTGGCATTTTACAACTATTCGGTTGATCATACTACACACATGTCATGGCACCACAGACCTGGTTTATTACTGGCTGCTCCAGCGGGTTTGGCGCAGAGTTCGTGCATCAGCTCCGAGCGCTTGGTGATAACGTTATTGCCAGCGGACGAGATGCCAAGACGAAGCTCGCACACCTCAAAGATACCGGTGCCAGTATTCTCGACCTGGATGTAACATCTTCTGAGGATGTTATTGCCTCGAAACTGGCGGAAGCTTGGGAAATCTATCCTGGAGGTATCGATGTCGTCATCAACAATGCTGGATACATTTTGAGTGCGCCATTTGAAGAACTCACGTATGTTCTTACTTTGTTTCTATCTTTGTACTCCCTTACTGTATGGTTAGACGCTCATTTCCGTATAGGCAAAAGGACTTGGAGGTAGTCTTCAATACTAATTTCCACGGACCGCTGAATATAACCCGCGCGTTGTTACCAAAGATGCGGGCTAAAGGAAAAGGGACTCTTCTTTTCATGAGCTCTCAAGCAGGATGGCAGTAAGTTCAGTTCAAGCTAGTTCTGACTATTCTTCAGCGAATGGTATGGTTCGACATGGTCACAAGAGGCCTGAAGTCCTTGTACCTATTCGCAATACCAGACACGAGAAGATGTTCTGACGAGTGGTTAGTGCTGATCCCAGCGCAACGGGATATTGCGCAACAAAATTTGCCCTTGAAGGTTCGAATCTGCCATTCTATATACGCTCAATACTATTGATTATAGTCTGACCAAGCTTTCCACAGGAGCTGTAGAGTGTCTCTCCAAGGAACTCGCAATTTTTGCGCCGGGCCTGAAGGTACTGCTTATCGAGCCTGGCTACTTCAGAACTCGTGCCTTCAGCAACATAAGCCACATTGACCCACGCATTGATGATTATGCCGAATTCAACCTTGGTGTCAAAGCATTTGAGCAAAGTCTTGTGGGAAATGAGCCAGGCGACTCTACGAAGGCTGTCCAACGAATGATCGAAATTGTTAAGGGTACTGGCATGGCTACTGGGAAACAGATTCCTCTGAGAATTCCACTTGGAAGCGATGGTTGGTCAAGAATCAAAGCTGTGTGTGAAGAAACACTAAAGATATGTGAAGATTGGGAGGATGTAGCCAAGAGCACTGATGCTAAATAACCAGGAATGATCAGAGAGACGAATAGCTGCGTGACCGAAATGTATTCTTTTTTCCTCGATTTGTTGTCAGATGAAGCCCAATGCTGATTGCAGGGGTATGGCTGGACTACTTCACTGGTTCCCAAGTCTTGGGGACTGATGACTATGGAGCCAGATTAACCAACATATGTGCGTGATCTAGCTATGCAAGGATCGCGAAGAAAAAGGATGAATTGGAAGTATTGGCGGTGTATCAATGAATATTTGATAGCATTTGGCGTGGCGTCTAAAGCTACTTTGGTGTCAAGAACCAGACCGACCGCCGATAAAATTTCCCTCAAGGCCAATCGGCGAAACCTTCAGAACCCAGCGGCGGTACATACAAGCTTCATGCGCTATCAAGCGTTCGCTGGGTACACTCATGGTACTTTACCCGCGGCGTGTGTTAAGTATCGGATGTTCACTCCCAGGGATTGTCACAATCCACCAGCATTCCCTGCGAATCCTTCCAATGAAACGCAGCCAACTCGTGTGCTGCGCTGCTCTCTATTGGCTCCCAAATGTTGCAGACTACACTCGGAACGGGGGGCAACAATGGTTTTCAGCACGAATAGCCACCATGTGTACTATGGTACACGCCCGGTGTTCATCATATGCAGTTGGTGATCCTCGGCTCATGTATAGCAGCTCAATTTCTAAAATCAAGCAGCATTCAGCTTGGAGGTTCTCGGCATAAAGAGCGATATGTTTTGTACTGTATACGAAGCCCAGCACCAGAAACTGCCGCTTAGTCTCGATTTATCCTAGAAAGAAATATGGACTCCCCAACGGACCTATCACACGGCCCTTTCCAATCGATTTATCGTGGGTGGCTGGAGCATGTGGATGCAAGCTTAACTATACTAAAAGCTTATAATCTCCTATCCGACTCCTGCATCGCGGCAGTTATACAAGTCTAAGCTACTTTTCCAAACCCAACCAGACTTTGCTGATTTTATACTCACACTTCCTCGAGACATCTGCACGACTATAACGTTGTTTAATAATGCCGGCAGGCAGCTCGTCACGCCCGTTGGGCAATCTCGAAGTCTTTTTTCCAAAAGCTTGCTGACCTCGGAGCACCTCTTCAACTGGAGCATTGGGCTGTCCATATAGCCTTCAGCTTGCAGTTCACAGAGCACGGAACTCACGTTTCAGCCTTCGACCCCGTACCTTACCTTCAAACTGCTTGGAAAGCAGTTCGACATCAATACCCAGCTATCGGCTCGGTCATCAGAGCCCCTGATCACTTGGAAGGGGAATCCGATGCTCCTACACGAGGACTTCTGACTATTCCTGTCTGTGATATCGATGCCTGGAACAAAGAAACATTCTTCGTACATCTGAACGAGGTCGATGCAGATGCTTTGTTCTGTGGTCTTCGGCCGGCTCCAACAGCCACCTGTCATTGTCTCCCAAAGTCGTCCGAGATCCTCATTCGCTCCTCGCATTGGCGTCTTGATGGTGTTGGGATAGCTAAGCTTGGCCATGTCTTTTTGGACTTTTTAGCTGAGGCACTATCAGAGAGCTTTAAAGATGATCTTCCTGCATCTACTACGAAGTTGCCTTCCTCTATCCAGTCGCTTCCACCAAGTGTTGAGGAGATAGCCCGCATTTGGAGTGAGAAACAGAGCAAGATAAGAGGACATTCTATGGAAGAAAGCAGAGCCCAATCCCACCATCTCGAGAGTGGAGCGAACGCTCTGGTCGGCGAGTTTCTCCGTGGTGTGCCGAGTATTGGCTTGCCTACCCGAGCCGATTCCATCGACGAAGTCCCAGGTCCTAGCGCACGCGTCTCAACTCAACTGAGTGTGCCAATTACGACAAGGATTATGGAAGCCCAACCATCTAAGAACCTCAGTTTCATGGGCGCAGTTCACGCGGCTATTGTGCGAGTCACTGCAAGTTTTCCTCAGCACCCCCTCTCCAAGTCTTACGCAGCATTCTTCCCAGTGGACTTGCGGCATTCCATAACTTCTTCGGGAGCTGCTTCCGAAGATCAGCTGATGTTTGGGCTGTACTAGCGCTTGATACGACCCTAGATTCCAGCTAGCTGTCGATGAGGAACCGAGTCCTGTCGTTACACCTGTACATGGTCGTCCACCCTATGGCGCCATGGAGTTTCAATGAATGCGTCGGCGGTCACAATGGTCTTGCGGTTCAGATCGCCCTGGCTGATCTGAGCTTCCCCAATATAGATCATGCCAGTGCCTCCGAGCGGGATTGGGCGGCCTTGCGGGTCAAGGATATAGTACGAACAGTTACGGAGCGGATATTTGGTCGGCAGGCTCATGAGTCCAAGTTCCGAAATAGCGTCATACTAATCTATGGTTTCCCCGACCGACATCTCAACATCGACCGAATCGGACAGCGTCTCGGTGAGCTCTGTTACTCAAGACACAATAGACTGATCACACCAGGTGTCTTCCTGTTTGGATGCATCCGGGTTCGGTACGTCAAGCAGAGGCGATGCAGCTCTCCGGGGCCATACATATCGATCTCGTAAACTGGAGGATGGGCGGGCGAAGGGTGAGTGAGTATATATATATATATGCGCGCGCGTGTGTGTGTGTGTGTCTGTGTGTGGAAATGAAGTAATATAATAATGAGCAGTGCTTCGTCTTTCTCCCATAATCAGCCGGGCCTCAGAGTGTATCATATTATATAAAGCTATGACAGAGCCACATTTGGCGTTTGACATTCATCCAACATGGCCACGAATTTTTGTTGTTTTAAAAGCCAGAACCACTCCTCATCAAGTAAGTCCCCCCCTATTTTAGCATTCAAACTAAATGTCCTCGAGGAGTCATCGATTTCATTTGGGTTTGCAAATAGAACATCCAAAACCAGTGCTCATTGAGTGTGTCCGTCTTGCTTAGCGTTCAGGCCAAATAGCTTCAGAGATCGCTATGATGCGCCATAGTGTCGTATTCTTCAATGTATCACAAAGATCAGAGCTGCTAAGATCGCACTAGACTTTTCGTGCAGACATATATAAATCCCTTGGACTATCTTACTCTACTGCCTTATTTCTGGTCAGGGTCGCCCATTGCCTCTATCGGGAACACCTCGTTTTACAACCAATACCTCCTACTCGGCCATTTCAATTAGTCCATTCATCTAGCCCTCCAAGAACTTCCCAAACTACCTCCATCATGCGCTACTTCAAGAACCTCATTGTTATGGCCATGGTGGCTTTCGCTGAGTGAGTTTCATTACTGCACCCCTTCAAATATTGTCACTCGACTGTTATAAATGCGTGCTGCGGCAGAGTGATCGGGCCATCTCCACAAGTGCTGTCCCAACATCCCTCTATGACTTCTTGTACAATTTCAAACCCTCTTCATTACCTCTGTTGCAAGAACATAGCACTCTTTGAACAAATACATGCCTTGGGACGGGGCCACTAACGCCAGACAGATGGGGCGCTGGACATCCGACTGTCCACACTAATTTAACCGTCGTTGATTCGACACACTCCGCCGATCCGCGCGTTACTCCTATGGACGATGAAGTAGCCCGTCATCAAGCCCTCGGACAACGGCACCCGGATTGGAACATCAAGCTGATCGATGCCATAGAGAGTAAGTCTTCCCCAGACTAACCTCATTTACTGAGGCATAGAAGTCAAGTTCTTCGTGCTCTCTTCTTCCTAGTGTCTGCATCCGAACATGTCTGGGAACCCTGATGAGCAAACTAGCAGCAGGGCGTGAGATCTCTAAGTAAAGAAAGTAGGATGCTTACACTGGACCTATAGTGTTCGGCGGCTGGCCTGAGGCCAACAAGTTCTGCCATCGCAAATGGAATGGGTGGGCCGGCATCCACCTTGAATCGACAACTCTTAAGGAGTACTGCAAGACCAAACGTGTCATGATGGATTGGCTTGACAAGCACCTCATCCGCATTTGCGTGCTCAAGCAGGTACAGAAGACGCATGAGCCCAACGTCGCTCCTCGTATGAAGAAGTGGTTGCTGGAGGTGTGCGACTTGAATAACTATTAAAAGAGGTAGATGCTTATCAAGTTACATGAAGTATGCCGAGCTTATAAGCTACTTATTTTATATACTTGGCAGCCATTATTCCCTGGCGGCCGAGTGTACAAGTGCAATCCCATGTTGGAGTCCGGGATCGTCGCAGAGGACGAGACATTTGCGGGCATCAGTACTGTAATTAGTGATGATTCACAAGTGAGGTAATAAGATGTGAGATGCTCCCGAGCAATTTATTCGCAGGTTGCTAGTTCTTTCGAAAGGTGTACGAATTTGCTGCCACTTCCCCCGTTTCTCATAGTCTACTCCTCTGTTCGTCAGTATTTATGTAGTCCTCACTCTTGGGGAACATGGCAATTGTATTATCCATAGCGATTGGCCGCCCTGCGCCCCTTCCGATCCCCTGCTCCAAATTTCCATACGTTGAAGCCAAAGTCTTGACCCCGGGTGTCGACGAGGTGGACGATGCCGTTGGGGTTGCCGCTGGCGCCGGCGCCGGCGATAACCAGGCCTCGGTGCGGACCTGACAGCGTCCATTGTTGGATAAGTGGCCAGACTTTGGCAAGCCGCTTTCTCCCTCAACCTTTATCTGTTTGGAGGGAAGTCCAGAAATAATGAGGATGCTGGTCGCGAGTTCCATGATTGAAGAAAGTATTCATACTTTCTTTTGGTGCCAACCCCCTCCCCCCATTTACATGGATGACTTGAGGCCCCACCAAACAGTGTATGCTTCATTCCTTGTGGTGCGTGCAGGCCGCAAGAACGACCTGTTCAGCACTGCGTCATCAAAAATTTTATACATCCCAGAATCAGCAGAGACTCAGGTATCTGGGGCTCTAAGCGTACTTAATTGGGCACGCATGCGCGGGATGCGTGGATAAATACTCAGTGGCAAGAATGCAGACTCATTGATCCTCCGGGACCATCGATAATTTGGCTGAGGCATTCTCATCTTCTGTTAGAGGTAGTCTGAAGAGATCTCCTGGTCAGCAGCATTCCAGGTCAGATATTGTTAGCAGTCTTGATAGGGTGTGCTTAACCCATGTGTTCGGTAATTCTCCGCAAGACAAAAGGAGTCGTATGCGAGCTTGGTTCTATTTGGAATACGGTCCAGTTAGTCGAAGTAGTCTGCGCTCGGTGAAGAAAATCACTCACATTGTCTCCTGTTGTACAAGTTTCTGCACACTGCTTTTTCGCCACGAAATGAATCGAGACAGCAGAACACCGTTTGAGTCCCAGCAAGCAATGTATCTCTGCCAATTCAGCTTTCGGCCCTGAGAATCCGTGAGGACGGGTTCTGAAATTTGGCAAGCCTGTAATGGAGATAAAGCAACCAATCCTGCGAACGGCATGAAATTGCTAGCCCCGTTCGATACTATGTGTGGACTCTTCGGCGACCACGAAGCCGTGACAATGGCGTAAATACCTGAACAGAGTGATGTCAGCACCTGGTAACAAGTGGGTCGGTCAAAAACAAAAAAAAAAAAAAAAAAAAAAAAAGAAGAAGAAGAAAAGAGAGAGAAAGAGAGGGAGATCATACTGAATTGGTTACGCACCGGAAAGACGCGTGCATTCTTCAAATACATCTGGGTCGTGCTGGCACTAGACCAAACTCAGGTCTACTATAGCACGTCAGTTACTTCGCAAAGGCATGATCAAGAGGGGGGGATGGTTCAGGTGGAGCAGACACGTGTTGGGGCGAGCAACGTACCGGAAATGGTTGACATACATTTGAAGTCGTTGAGAGCAGCAATAAGACCCCAGACTTGTGCAATGACTTCTTGAGAGGTGCACAATTTGAGGCACAGGGGCTGTGCGTGCACAATTGTTCCCGGAGCAAAATCTGAGTGCTAGCGCACGGAGAAGAACCTGATACACTTGGAAGTGTAAAGATTCGCTGAAATGGTCAAGACTGGAGGTTGACGCCGAGAAAAGTTGAAGGAGCACGGCTGGAGAAGCGGGTTGGACCTCGGAGGTGAGCTCGCTTGAGGTAAACCTGTTGCACCGCGGTGATTGAGCCGTAGGGCTTGGAGCTTAACCTGACCTCAAGAGGGACTGGACTGGTTGCGACTTTGTGTTTGCACCATGAATGAGCTGGCGCAAGGACTCAAGTATACATTTACTTGAGAATGGCTGGACTGGTCGCGACTGTGCGTTTGCACCATGACTGAGTTGGCGCAAGAACTCAAGTATGCATTTACTTGAGACGGACTGGACTGGTCGTTTGGCGCTGTAGTGTGAAGTGCAAAAGCGCGAGGCATGCATGTGCTGGAGATGGGACCGGACCGAAACGAGGTTCGTGTTTGCTGTAATGTTTGTTTGTACAAACATACTGCAACAATGGAGCAAGGACGCTCATTAAAGTGAGCGTTGTTGGACTCAAGCATTGCGTGGCTGGGCTGAACTGCAGATATGAAGGTATGTCTTGATTGGAACATGCTTCGGACCTGAGCAGTTGGGAAACTCCAGACGGAGCTGAAACCTCTGGGCTGGAGTGTGTGGCCGCCATGCAGCTGCATACGCAACGGTGGAGATCGTGGCGATGATGGTGAAGGTCATTGCGACGATGGTGAGATAGTGGCTCTTGAAGGCTTCTCGCGTGGCCTAGTCGATGATGACTGTCCGTCTGGAGAAGCTGCGATCACTCCGGCAGTGATCTTCGAGAGCCACTTTGTGGACGTTATAAAGCTGAATTTGCGTGGCCAAAAATGCTTCGCAAACAACTGCGCAATCTGATGGGCCGTAAGGACCAACGGTGATGATGTGTGGCAGTGACATGGTGAAGATGATGAACTTGTGTTGGCCTCCAGGGACAAGAATTGTGTCGTAGCCAATGATGACACCAGACTTGGCCTGTCTGAAGGTTCAAGATGTGCTGGATCAAAAACCCCTGGCGATGTGCAGCAGGTGTGATGAAGACCATATGGTAGACTGATGGTTGATGAAACTGGACTGATGGATGACTTATCCGAAAGATTGGTGGACTCGAGCAATTGGTGGACTCAAGATATGCTGGCTGTACTAGCGAGCTGGCTGTACTGATGAGCTGGCTGTGCTGATGGAGGCTGCTTGCTTGAATCGGTGAGCAGAGCGGCCTCGAAAGTTGTGGTGAAGTCAGGTGTCAGCAGGATTGCTGGACTCGAGTGATTGGATGACTCGAGGTATGCTGGATGGATGTGCTGGCTGTAATGGATACAGCTTGACCCAATGTGTAGTGGACTTGACGATGTGATAGAGTCAGTTGTCCATAGACTCGAGCAGTTGGGGGACTCAAGGTGTGCTGGTTGTAAGAGCTGGCTGTGATGAGAGATGCAGCTTGCTCCAAATTGGTGTAGTGGACGTGATGACGATGGTGGAGTCAGTTGTCCATAGACTCGAGCAATTGGGAGACTCGAGGAGTGCTGGATAGATGAGCTGGCTGCGATGATAGATGTAGCTTGCTCGAACTGATGTGACAGACTGGACAGCTGTGATGAAGTCCAGCCCGACTGGCACATGGATGGTGAATCTCTTCGACATGGTGTGAGTCAAGCCGAATTGATTGGTGATTGGATATGATGGCGGTTCAACCATTCTGGATGATGGCGGTTCGACCATGTTGGATGATGGTGATTGAGCAAGGTTCAGTGATGTATCAGATGACCGTAGCTCGTTGCCATTTTGCTTCTGACTTGGCATCTGTGTGCTGTCCATGATTGACGACGGGCGGTGCCTATGCACACAGAAGTTCCCGGAAGGCACCCACGCGGAGGTGCAGAAAGCGTTGCCTTCCTCCCTTTCCGGGGCTTTGGTACATGAGCCCCAGCAGCCGTCATGTACCGCTCGCGGAAAAGGGAGAGACGTTCAAAGCCCGCCTCAGGCCGTGCGAATGCCCTTAGAGCTCCTAGCCTGTGCCAGAGGACGTAGGAGATAAGGGGAGAGGGATTTCAGGTGGGGATGCTGTGGGCTCCGGAGATGTTGGGAGAGGTGGTGGAGGGGAGGTCCAAAGAGATGCGGGCGGTGGAGCCGGCAGACGTCCAGCAGCAGTCACCGAGCTCGTCAGTTGCCCCTCTTCCTGGTGTTGGTCCAGCGGTGCAACAACAGTAGGCCGCGATCCAGCAGCACGCGACCCCGGATCGGCTCTGACCTCCTCAACCCAACGCCAAAACTCGTCGTTCATTTCGAAATCGCTGATACCACGGGAAACACCGTAACCGACGCACCTGGGCGACTGCCTCCACGGCAGTAAGCAATCCCAGCCTCCAAAGACCTGGTAGAGGTTGCGACGGACCGAGAGGTCCCAAGGATTACGGCCTTCGTGGTACCGTGCGTAAACGAATTCGTCTGTCGGAACGAGCTGAATGGCGAACCATAACCGGCCGCCTAGTCCCGCGGCGTTTTGTCGAAGTTGGTTCATCTCCGGGATCGTGCGGTTCCTCATCGCCAAGTTGTGGATTTTCATGTGCATGTTGTGCCAGCCGAGCCACAGCACGACAGCAACTGCCAGGAGCGTTGTCGGCCCATGCAATGAAAAATCCAATTGTCGTGTCATTGACCACCCAGCGACGGAACACGAGAACACGATGATTGAGTCCAGGAACAGGAAGACCATGCTGAGAAGGTACGGCTTAATAGTGTCCAGGTACACGTTCACCCGTAGCCAACCGCAGAAATGATCGTACACCGCGAGGTGCACGTCTGGTCGTCTTCGAGGATCCTTTCGGCACTTCTTTCCGAGGTGAGAACAGTGGTACACGCGGTCTGCAAGCGGACGTTCCCCATCAACGCAGCCCTCGTTGGAATGGACGTACTTGCAGAACCGTGGTCGTCCAGAGCGGTCCCTTGGATTTCCGGAAAGGTAGCCCATAGCGCAGTGAACATCCGATTGCATCGTCTGTCGCTTCCCCAGGACTCTCGTCGATGGTCGTCGGGAGCCTACGACCGCACAACACCACGAGATGAGCCATTCGAGCCGAAGGAAACCTCCAACGACCCAAAGGAACACCGCAGCGTATGCGGCCGCAGGGCGGAAAAGCCCGAGGCCAAGGTCGATCGTCCCCGTCAACCACAGAGTCTGGTCTGCAAGCAAATGTCAGTCAAGGAAAACTGGGAAAGACAGGGTGAAAAGCTCTGGACAACGGAGACGAAAGTTTGGGAATTGAGAGTAAAAGCTTTTGGACCAAACTTGAGGGAGGCAACATGTCGTCGGCACTCAGAGGACATTCTGCAAGGAACGGGGAAGAAGAAAAGGGTCTTCGTACACGCAAACTCGTAGTAGACGGAGTAGGTCGACACGAGGAGGTAGGAGAGGAGACCCAGCACGACCAGCCAATTAGAATCCATCCCTACCAAAAGACTCGTGCTTGTCGATTGAAATCCCTCAAGCTTGTCGTGTAAACAAATATTGAATAAGAATTTTCAGCGAATGATGCTTAATCGTTCGAATCGTGATACTTGTTATAAAATGACTATTCGGCACTGAAGAAAGAAAAAGAAGAAGAGGGAGAAAAGCCAAGCACGGGAGCGCAATGTTTTTATGAGGAACAACACAAGCACAGCTTGGCAAAAACACTGGAAGGAGGAAGGAGAGAACGACAACACACAGCAGGTGTAGGGAAGGTAGGTACGTCAAGTGAAGGAAAGGGCGATACACCTTGATAGAACACAAAAATAGCACGATCGCGTCAAACTGGAACTCTAGTGACGTCGCACGGGAAGAACGACTACCAAAGCAATGGGAAAGAGCACTCACGACCCAGGCGTGCCTGTGAAAACAACGGCAGAAAATTCAGGCTACAAATACACAAGAACGAGGCGAAAAGCCTCCCTTATACCTGCCCGGAGGGTTTAAGACTAAGGAAAGAAGGGAACGAGTCTTGTGGTTCGCTGTCTATCTTGAGAAAGAGGGTACCCTTATAGTTGTATGAGGACCCAGGACCAACTTCACTCTATGTCCCAACACGCCACTGGCCACAACAATAACATGCAATTTTCTCGTAGCTGCAGTGCTGATTAAAACGTTGTGCACCATTTTGAGTGCTTCTGAAAAGGCACAGGCCACTGTCACCAGTCTTAGGGAGGATAACCGTGAGCTTAGGCGCAGACATGGTCTGAACTGTGGCACGATCCCGATAACGCAGGTACTTTCAAGGCCATTGACACCTGTGCTTTCCGCCTTCGTTTTGATAAAGAGGCATCGGCGAGTGCGGCCCAGCGTCATATGCAGTTTCCCCAGAATGGCCAAGACCACCCAGTTTCCACTCGGTGCACATGTGGTAGGATAAGCTCGTCTAGCTCACAATGACTGTAAATAGCCTTTCGGCAGGTATCTCCGGGCACACGAAGCTGGACGCAATGACTGTGCATTCACTGCAGCATCACATGGTAAAACTCATCTCCTCAAAATTGGGAGAAGAAGTGACAGCCGCCGCGGTGCGTCCGGAATCAGTGGCAGGTCGTATCTGCCAGCTTAGTTGGGATATCAATTCCCGCATCATACAGCGTATCAAATAGATTCAATCTTGTGAAGTAAGTATGCTACGGGCCGTTGGATCACTGCTACATATTCGTCGAGGGCTCGGGTTCTTATCCTCTTCGAGATATACAAATTCCACCCGAACAACTGCCTTACTTGACGATGCTTGTATCGGTATGTTTTGTCCGATGTCTGAACATCTGATCGACAAGATGCAATGTCGGAAACACACCAAGGACAGACAATAGATGGCCTTGTAAGTGTGGCATTATATTTTGCTGGATTAATGGTTCCCAACTTTACATTTCTTGTCTCGAGCTACCACTTAAACATCGTGAGACTACTTGTGGAACACCAAATTAGGTGTGTATAATACAGAATAGTTCCAAAACAGTGATTCCTAACAAAATCCAAACTTGCTAATGTGCGTTGGTCACGAAGCTTGGATCTGACAACTTCATGAGGATGAGCGAGAACTCAATACCCATCTTTGGATCCTTTTACAATCGGACTAAACATGACGTAAAGACTTTATGATCTTTTCAGCCCCAAAACCCGACCAGGGTTACAATATAACAAGCACGGCTGTGCTGGTGAGAAGCTAGGTGCTCAAAAAGCAGATCCATGGAGCATGGAATCCTCCCGTTAGCCGTTTTGAGGAACGCGGGCAGTATGGTATAAGCCATACGGCATAATCCAGTGAAACTTCGAACGACCAACATCAACACAGGCATAAAGGTGTCAGTAGTGGAAATGTGCGAGGGCTGTGCACGGCCCGCCAGCCAGCCAACAGCCAGGCCTGTTGATAGCCTCGGACAGTTCAGTTTCGTGGCTTTCTTCTTCAGCGCATCACAATATGAGCTTTTTTACCTTCGTATAGGTTATGAATCCTTTCGCTTGCTCCCTAATAAATAAGCTACATCTACAGCGAGTTCCTGCTTCGGTAGGGACAACCTAGCCCCACTGAGGAACAGCTTCGTCCGAACTACCATTTGGCCCTACACAGACAAGGCAAGTCTTTAACAATGGCCACACAGACAAGGAAAAGTCTTTCACAGAAAACCACAGACAAGGAAAAGTTCGTTGCCAAAAACCTTCTCTACATCCAGTTCGGCTTCCCAAGTTCGATTCCAGAGCTTGATCATATCTAGAGTAGAGAGGAGGGGGGGGGGGGGGGGTGAGTCCGACCGTCTACACAGCTATATAGGCCATAGTCCCTTCCAGGCAGCTGGGAGTGGTCACTCGTTTTAGCTGTCGCATTATACGTCTACCGCCTAGTTGTACTGACGACTATTGTAAAGGAATAGGACCGTATGTGTACAACATCCGGTCCGGGCGGAAACCCGGTATCCCAGACAGAATGAACCGCTGATGGGATCGAAACCGATCTCGACGTGAATTCGACCTGGATTCGTAAGCTGATAAGCTGCTTCGGAGTGCTCGCCGTACCATGTGACCAAATCCGCGATCATTCTTTTCGTTCTTCATTGTAGCCCTATCATATCCTAACAACATGCCCCATTTTATTCCTTTCCTTGAGCAGATCAGACTGGCCTATCACCAGACTCGAGTGTTTGCGGTGTGGACCAGATGTGTGCGTCGCGCTGTCTACCTTTCTTCTCTACGTTCCACGCAAATAAAGCGTTGGCTGGCACAGCGAGGGCCAGTATAGCGAGGACGAGAATGATAGTCGCCGCCATGGCCAGGAGCACAATCAGGCTGAACTCCCAAGTGGCGCTCATGTAGGCGGCGCGCTGATCGTTGTCGCCCTCAGCCACACTGACGCCGACTTGCAAAGCTCCCAACGTGACAGACAGCCACGCGAACACGGCGAGAAGCCATTTGAAGTTGGTCTCGACAAGACCCAGGTAGTCGCTGTGCTCTACTTGATACCCGCGTACGGCGCTCAGACTTGACGAGGAGCGCTCCATCCCGCCACTGAATAGTACCACCAGCCGGGCGATCATGTTGACCCGGTTCAGGCGAAGCTCGCCAAAGCGCCAGCGTCGAGGCAGTTGGCCAAGCCGAGCCTCGGCGGCACAAGCCACGCGTCGTGCAAAGCGCGTCCAGGCGGCATAAGTGACGTCTTTGGGAACAAGGCCAGCTTCCTTAGCGATGTCCAGATCAATCTGGTAGACAATGAGCTTCGTATACGAGAACAAGAGGCCCAATGCTGCCATTCCATTCAGCTGCCGTTGACCATCTGTCGTTTGTTCCATCGTCTGCTGCATCCGGTGATCCTTATCCCGCAATAGCTCAGGGGCGCAGAAGTATTTCTTGAAACTATGATAGTGCAAGAGAGCTTCATGGAGTGGGGCGAGATAGATCATCCTGGGACGCCATACAAGATGCAGTCGTGCATCGACGACAGGTACTATTGACCTCTCGCGTGCTTTTTGCTGGTGCAGAGGTCGGACACCGTTCCTGAGCCCAGCCACCCAAAGATACGGCTCGAGAAAGTCAAGATCTGGCGTAAGAAGGAGATGCGCAAAGAACGCATGCGGGTCTGACTGCGGATCAACAAATTCAAACGAAGACCCTGGCCGACTGATCTGGTATCGTGCTGGCAATAAGGCAGACGTGGTTACCAACGCCTCATTCTCGTTGAATGGCGGATCCTGTAATTGATGGTTGGGATTCATTTTTTACTTTTCAATGGCGAGACTTGGAAGGGAAAAGGAAGAAAAAGAAGCGTGTTTACCGTTAGTCCACAGTTGCCGCCAGCCATTTGCGTCTCGATACTCGGCTTGGAGAAAAGGGGCTCAGTTCGGATGATTTGCTCCGTCACTCGAAAGAGGGTCTTATTAGAGGAGGACGTGGCTCGCACTCGCGCTCTCTATACTCGGAAACAAAACAAGGTCTTCAGGTCTGAGGGTTGCGGGTTGTGGGTGAAACATAAGAAAACACTACATTTGTAGTACTTGGCGAAATTGAAATCTCTCCGTGTTTATTCGGTCTCTTTTTTTTCTGACGAACATTCACGATTGGCTTGTTAGCAACTCTTAAGCGAGTTTGCAAAATGGTTTAGTCGAATCCAAGCGTCGTGCCTTATCAGCTGCTGAACTCACCGGGTCGTCGGGAGGTTGCCTGAATATTATGAGGAGGCAACAAGTAAGAGGTTACTTACGTACTTAGCTAGCGTCTCTTTTTCTTTCCCAAAAATAAATATGCGGTACCTCAGCTCGGAGCCTGCTGCTTATTTGTGGTTGGCTAGCGGTTTTTTTGGTTCGGATTCTGAACGCCTCGTCTGAGCCGAGCTGGGCAATAAGGATAAAAACTTCAACGAAGGAGCCGAGTTAAGCGCCTCCTAATTTGATGTTCCGGCAGGGGCTACAACGGTTCGCTTATTTCTTATTCAGGCTTCTATATAAGTTTAATTTTACAGCTGTTTGCCCCTGTGAGAGCTGAAGCTGTGTTGTAGAGTTCTCCAATACTACATAAAGGAAGTGCCTCAAGAATTTCTTGTCCCTCTTCAGATCATCACGTCCAAGGGATTTCGAGTCTTTTCTTTTTACTCCTTACTCCATCGTCCGTTTTCATCCGTCATGGGCATCAACATTGGCTTTGTGATAGTCCCGGTCATGATCGTCATCGGGATATTCCTCTCCATTTTCCTCCGATTTACAAGCCAGGGCAGAAATCTTCGGAAACGGCATGACGAATGGAACACTAAACTCAATCTTCGGTTCAACTATCGGTACCGCAAATTGTACAAAAAAAGAGAGCGAGCGCTCCTTGAAGAGGTGGAGAAGCGCGAAAATGAGGAGAAGGAGACGAGTAACGGTGTGCAGGTCTGGTTCTCACGGTACATTAGCCACGGTCAGCTCAAGCATTGGGTCCTGATCATCAACGGTGTGAAATATGAGCTGCGAAGAGACGACGCCGCCAATACGTACATCCACAGCGTCAACCGACATCCCAGTTGGAACTCTGTCAAAATCAAGCGCGACGCAGCCCTTGCGGAGAAGCAGATTCCGGATGTTGACGGCTTTTACATCTGCCTCATTGGCTGGACGCGCCTGTCCGATACCGAGCTGGAAAGGCAATGCCGGACGGTGATGCAGAATTTCCCACCCTACAATATGATTTGGAACAACTGCCAGGACTTTTTGAAGCAATTCGCGGATCTTATTATTAGCACCAAAGCCAGCGACTGGGTGTGGTTCCGAGAGAATACCAAGACTGCGTACCAGTCCAGCCAGGAGCTACCGAAAGCCCCTGAAGCCCTTATTCAAGCGCAATTGAACCTTCAACAACACCATGGTCACCATGCCCTGAGTCACCAAACTCAACAACAACTTATCAATCAGTTACAGATTCAAACTATGATGCAAGCAAATATTGCAACCAACTCACTGGCAGGCTCGAACGGTGGGTGGGCGCCTGGCGCCACTCCAGGAATACAATGCTAAAAGAGACAGAGGAAGAAAAGAACAACCAGAAATGTGTCAGAAATACCGAAGGAATTTGTATAGCGAGGGAAGAAAAGGGAAATCCTGCGTTCAGTAGTCTTCTTTCAATAGGACAATAAGCTGAGTGCCTTGGAAGCGGCTCACACCCTCTTACCTGACTTGTGTGCCCTTTGAGCTTTTTGACCTCGCAATTCAGTCTAGCCTCTTCTCGTAACGCTATGAAAGGCGCTCAGAAAGAACACTCCGTCGTTTTACTAAGCTGTTGGCAAAGGTAGCCATGTTTTAGTAGCATATGTAAGTCTAGATTACTAGTAGTGCCAGTCTGCGCCCGTGTATGCACATCCTTCTCAATATTGACTGATCACCCGCGACAAAGCAGTATCAACCTGTGAAGCAAAGCGAAGCGGATGTGAACTCACAAGTCAGACCATCCTAGTGCTTCCCCATAGACAGGCCAGCGTCAGCATGCAGCACAAAACAATAGCTGAACCTCAACTCCATCAAAAATCGTCACCGCCCTATCTGCGCTATTAGCTTGCACTTCGGGACTTCGCAGGACCACATGTAGATCGGACATATCATCTACCGCTTCTGGAATTGTACTGTATCACTTATTTTTCTTTCTCTTTCACTCATTTCTGTATTCAAGTACTGATATCGAGTTTCTGCACCTTGTGGCAACTTGCGTAGATTGTGCCGCCTTTACCGACTGCTACGTAGGCCCCACTCAAGCAATATGTTGTTAGATGAGTTTGAGACAAAATGGTTCAGGTGCATGTAGATCTCATCCTGTTTTCGAGGGCTCAGGAGTTTATCAGATTCACATGTAAATAGTATTATGCATATCCCCGCAGATCTTCGTCAATAATTGCTGATTGTAGCAGTGGATATAAGGGCTGGTGAGCAAGTTCGCATGTTGCAATTCATAGTTCCCAGCTGACTGTGGAGCTTTGTGAAAATATGATGAACTTTTTCGACATGCTGCATGGTTCTTTCGAAAGCTAAGAACTCGTCCTTTCCGAAGCTACCTCGTTCACTTCGATTAATCCATTTCTATAAAATTCGGGTTTCTCACTTCATGAACTCTTACTTTCTCATACCTTGCAAACTCTTAGATTATTACTTCATTGGCATTTCACGCTATCCAACTTTCTCTAAACCTAGTACTTTCTAGCCAGTTCCCACGTTTCCTGGAAATAATGTCAGATTCTTATGCTGAGGTCATGGCTCGTGATGAGAAGGAGGTAGCAAGGCATGAAAACATCTTGTATTCCCTATTACTCATCGTTTCAAACAGCATCTGATAATGGTCTGTTTTAGGCTCAATGACCAATTTGCCGCCTATACTTCGTATTTCTCTCCCAGATTACAATGGGCAACTCTACTTGCCTAAGAAACAGACGCATCAGCTGATAATATTTATAGGAACATCGGGTACCTCGTACATCCTTCTATTACTGCCACTCTTCCCTCCAAGCCACATATTGCAGACATAGCTACCGGCACCGGCCGTTTCCTACAGTGTGCCCAGGAGCTATATCCACAGGCTAATCTGGACGGCTATGACATATCTCCCGCCCTTTTCCCCAAACAGATCTCGACCACTATCTCTCTGAGACTGCTAGATGTGAAGCAGCCAATTCCCGAGGAACTTCACAACCAGTACGATCTCGTTCATCTCAGACTTCTGTTAGCGGCTATGGATGGAAGCGAATGGGGCACCGTCGTTCGCAATGTCGTTCAGATGCTCAAACCTGGAGGCTGGCTACAGTGGGACGAGGGCGATTACACCTCCTTGAAGTATTACCGAGGCCTTGAGGACTCCAAGGTTGCAACAGCAAGGAAGATCGAAGGAATGGTCAAGGGCACCCTTCTGGGGGAGCGTATGAAGCACGGTTGGAATACGCTACCGGAGCACATGACGGCAGCTGGTCTCGAGCCGGTCATCTCCGACATCGTCAGTTCGGATAGAATGCCGGAGACTCGGCATGCCATGTCAGCTGCCACAACGAAAGCACTCATAAACTTCGCACATATTACTAACGCTCGCGGGAGCCCTGGATCGTTGGCTGACGAAGAAGTCGACGAATTGGAAACGAGGGTGTTCGAGGAGTTTGAATCGGGGTGCTACGTCAGATTCGATATATATGTGGCGGCCGGTCGTAAGCCTTTGTAGAAGAGAGCTCGAGCTTCTTTACATCTTCAAGGTAGAAGGATTGTGGTCTGGTCTATTTCCTTTGTCGAGCTGTCACCTGATTATGAGTTCTCTTAGTCTTCCTTATTATAGTTGATTTAGTTTGTGCTGTGCAACTTTATGCGAATACTAAAAGGTGGCCATCCCAGCCAGTACCTACTGGAAATGATGTGATCTATGTGGATAAATAGTTAGAGAAGATTCGCACAAACTTCCTTGAAATAGAATACGGTGGCTTTGAGTAAAGAGATAGCAAATGATGTTCCATGGAGTCTAATAGTTCATATTCACAAGATAGTGTTCAAATGCTTGCGACGTCACGCATTATAGGTGCTATAGATAGGCGATCACATGGACTGTTGCACTGGCGTCTACTGGCAGGCCAATAATGGCTTGATAATCCTGTAACATTTTGTCGTGACGGAAGCGCTATCTCTGGCACTCGACGCTGAAATGTGCGCATTTCCTAAAAGGTTCCACGATATACGGGAGACTTTCCATTTGAAGGTTCCAATAACGGAACCTAAGCATGTCTGGACGCGTCGGATAAGGCGATACAAGTTCCCTGAAACTTCGAATTGTTGCAACGTGGCGAGAGATGTTGAGCTTACCTAGCCACCAGATACTGGGTCCGGGAGGCATGCATGCGCCGCTTCTGCAGTCTTTGATAGACCTTTTCCAAAATGAGGCTCATTGTGAGAGCTACGCTCTTCCTGACCAGCTCATTGCACCAGAAGTGAACGAGAGACGTAAATGAGAGACGTGAGGGCAGTAGACCTGACCGCACCGGCCAGAGCAGGGCTTTTGGTAGCCGGATTGAAAATGTGCAGAGATATCTCGGTCTTTCACTGACAAGATTCTCAATGGTGGCGTCGAATACACAGCAGCTTACATATCTTACCCCACCATCTTCTGCTAAGTGCCTAACCCATTAACATCGTTAGCGAAGTCAGTCCATCGTTGGCTCGGAATCTCAGGGCCATTGCGAAATGTCCGGATAGTTAGCCAGCCAACAGTTACAGTACAACCGGCTTGAACCGGGGTTTAGAAAGCTCCGGGCAAAGGGGTGTCAATGCGTGGCTTCAGGGGGTATTTGATCGAGAATGTTATATCCGCCATGGATGGCTCCAGGGTCATGAGATGTTGCGCGGCGCTGAAGTATTATTACAAGGAGAACCCCATGCCATATGCAAGGTTCAACAAACACGTAGACAAGGGAGAATGGTCCCTGTTCAGCGAATCCTCTCATGAACGCTTGATGATTAAGCTTGTTGGAAACGGCAAAACAGCTGCGCCGCACACCCTCGAACCACAGCATGTGTTTATACGCGAAAGTTGTACCTTTTGGTGTTAGCACGCGATCCTACCCGGCTGTCATTCACCCGAGGTTACCATACATATTATAAAAGGTTTAGTTCTGGTACCCTCCTGGCCCAAAGAATCCAATACGGGGCGTGTGGGGGAGTCCAATGTGGATCTGGGGAAAATAAATCCGGGGAAACCGGAGCCAACGTACAGAATAAAAGTGGACGGGGATCGCATCTGCTCGTGACCAAGAAGTTCGCCCTCCTTCCTGGACGGCTGTCTTCAATACACATCGACACTGTCACGCGATTTGCGCCACGAATATGGCCGATCTCAGTGTTCAGGCCGGCACAGACGGCCACAATGCCCTCGACGAGAAGCCCGAGCAAGAGGGCATCGAGCGCGCCCTCACCACAGGCGAGGATGATGCAGGCAATATGAAAGGTGACCGCCATGTCATGCGAGCCAGGGCCGATGACTTGGGCATTTGGGAGACTGTTAAACGGTATAGGCTCGTGACACTTGTCGGAATGATTGCAGCCTTCGCGGCCACCCTGGATGGATACCGTGAGTCTACTTTCGTATGGGGAGATTCAATCAAGCATCTCTCGCACTGGACTCTTGCACAGTCCCGCATAAGCGTACCTTGCGGCTGATCATGAAGCAACGAACAGAGATCAATCTGAATGCCGGCATCGTATCGAACAAAGGTTTTATCAAACAGATGGCGTCTCCAGGAACGACAATCATTGCTGGTCAATACATCTCGGCATGGGGAGGCATCCAGTCCGCCGGCCAGACCATAGGCCAAATCGTGCGTCCCCGTTCTAAGTCTTGACTCGGACACTTTTCCAGACACGGTACTAATAAATACCTGCATGGTCCACACATGAGCAGGTTCTGCAATACGCCACTGATTCTCTGGGGCGCAAAGCCGCCCTTTATATTCTCTGGGTCTTCCTGGCAGGAGTAAGTTTCCTGAGAATTAGCTGTGCCATGACTTCTCGTTTCGAACACATCCACTGACTGCAATCGTGGCCAGAGCATCTTTGCAGAGACGTTCGCGACCCAGTGGGATCATTGGCTGGTTGCGAAACTCTTTTCCGGTGCCGGCGTGGGCATGTTACAGTCCACAATGCCGCTATATTTGTGCGAGCTCGCTCCAACTCAGCTAAGAGGTTTCCTCATCAATGCCTATAGCTTGTAAGTTTATATTCAATTGTCTGAATCTGCCCCGGTAAGTGCGAGATGACACTTGCTGATCTGTTTTGTTATATAGCTGGTTCGTTATCGGCCAGCTCTCCGCATCTATTGGACTAAATGTCATGAACACACATGATCCGTACGAGTTTCGGAAGCCGATTTATACTCAGGTATGCCTTGCATGATATTCATGCGCCAGCTTCAGGGCGAGAATTAGCAGAATATCAAATCCAGACTAAACAAAGAAAACTAATCTAGTGGGCGTTTATCGGAGGCATGCTGGTCATCTTCCTTTTACTTCCTGAGTCTCCTTGGTGGCTAGTCAGCAAAGGCAAGACGGACAGGGCCTCTAAGACCCTTCTGCAATACAACGGCCACGTGCCTGGCTATGACGTGCAGGAAGTTATTGTATGGTCTTGCCTGGTTGCTACTTATGACGTGGATCAGTTCTAACTCTGTGGGATAGGGTGTCATGACGTCCACGATAGAGGAGGAGCGTCAACTTGCAAAAGTCCAAAAGGAAGATGGACCATGGGCTATCTTCCAAGGGCGCAACCTAATCCGCTTCGTCATTGCGGGTTGGCCGAAGATAACTCAACAATTTGTGGGTCTCAGTGTCTTCAACACGTATTCAACATATTTTTGTCAGTATTTTCCATGTTATTTTCCCCGTCCTATCCATTTGCAGCCACTGACTCTCGCTTTTGTTCCCACGGATTAGTCCAGGATGCCGGGAACAAGAATCCTTTCTTGGTGACCGTCATCTTGTCTTGCGTCCAATTGCTGTCCATGATCGGCACGTCTACATTGACAGACTCGTTTGGCCGCCGTCCACTGACTGTCTATCCTTACGCCCTCACTTCCGTCTCATTGCTATGCCTCGGCATCGTGGGTTGCTTTGACTACACCACCAAGGCGCTCAGCTCCCTGCTGGTGAGTAACGTTGCCCAGTCCTTGGGCTACGACATTCTTTGTGCAGTCGCAAGCTTTCCCACACTATCCTCCCCTATCTCTAGAGGCGGTCGACTCGTGTGGACCCAGACATAAAGCGAGCACCAGCTTATATTGACCGTCTCCGTTCAATAACGCAGATCTTTTTCGCATGTCTGGCCACTTTCTCCACGACCGGAGCCTCCGCGATCGGCTATGCATACGCGACCGAAATCCCTCAGCAGCGCCTTCGTGCACGAACGGCCGGCTGGTCCTTGGCCGCTTCCAATGCCATCGCCACCATGTTCAGCTTCTGCACCCCCCTCATGATCAACGGGCCCGTCACCAAGTGGGGTCCCAAGACGGGCTTCTTCTTCGCTGCGACGGGTGGCATAGCTACGGTGATCTCCTGGTTCATCCTGCCTGAGGTGGCCCGTCGAACCCCTGCCGAGATTGACGAAATGTGTGTTATTTCCACCCCCATTTTCTTCAATGCTGTTGCTCAAATCCCTCCTTCATGCTGGCGCCATTTCCTTTTGTATTAGCAGCCCCTTATTTGCGTTACCGATGATTGACAATACTTGCGCTCTCTATAGGTTCGAGAAGAGGGTTAACTTCCGGAAATTTGATCGATATGTCTGTGATGTCCAGATCTATGCAGACGAGCAGCACAGAAAGGATGAGCAGGAACACACATAAAGGGTTGTCGGAGGTCTCAAATTTTGCAGTCCCAGAATCTTGAACAAGACAACAGACCTCTTAGGCCTTGAGGATCAGGTCTTTTGAATGACTGAATTTGTTCATGTCGACCCGAGACTTCTAGACTAAATATTTGTGGCACTAGATGAACATTGAAGATCCCAACTGAAAGCAGTAATCACAGTGGTTTATTATTACATCTTTTGTTAATTATTATGTCATATACAGTATCTTTCAAAGACTACCAATTTCCATTCACGGAGCTATTGGAAACTGGTGTTGGAGATCCCATTATATCAGTGCGAGCTGCTACAACTGCAAGGTTGCTGCTTATGTAATTGGTGCAGCTGCTGGGGTTGCCAACACAACAAACAGCAAGGACAAAACCCAAACTCTCCACAAAAACACTACTCGTCTCTTCTTCTCGAACTGCCACCAGCTGTGCACGTTCCTCTCCACGTTTGATTCGCGAGCACAGCATTTCGGAAACCATGGCGCAAACTGACGCAGGTGTCGTCATCCGGGAGTTGCATCAGGACCTGGCGCGGAAATATCGACTGCACGGTCCCACGATTGAGACGCTATGGAGAGGCTTTACCAGAGCGCAGAGGACCAAAGCCATCAAAGAGGGAGCAGCGGAGGGTGTTGTGCTCAAGAATCGTATGGATCCCTCGATGGGCGAAGTCTACAAGCTGCTTCCAGAGTGGAATCTACGAGATGTCACCGAGTCGAGCGACTTCCTCCCCAATCTCCTTCGCTACCGTGCGACGACAAAGTTGATGGAGCAATATAGCGAACATCATCTTATGAATCCAGGAGGCGACCTTGGCTTTATCACGACCATGATGCAGACAAGAAATCTCCGACACGTGGACGAGCGTCGCCTGAACGATAGCTTCACCGTATTTCTCGACGACGACGATCACTATGGAAAATCTTTCACCATCTCAGAAGGGGTGGATCGCAGCCAGGCACTTGGCGGCTTTAGTCCTGCGATACAAGGGGGACTCTGCGTTCCACAGTCCACTGCGGAGCTCATCTTCATGAGACAGAGTGGCCTCCTCCAGGCGCTCAACATCATCATAGAGGACATTTTGGACATTGGATCTAAAACTAGAGCCAAGAAGAAGCAAACTTCCAAAGATGTCGATACGGCGCCGGCGCCGGCCATGAGTCAGTTGTCTATCCAGGCCCAACCAACGAAACGCTCCCTCACCGAACTTCTCGAGGTTGCCAAGGACCAGAAAGCTTTGTCTGACGAGCACCTCTACCTCCTGACTGTGGAGCCGGTTGTGCTCGCGCACGCCGTGAACATCACCTTCTTCAGCCGCCCCGAGCTCGTCGCTGATGAGAAGGGCCGGTCGCTGCCTGTTCATACGGATCGCTTTATCAGCCCTGCCTTCTTCGATGTCATCCATGGGGCCGTTCAAGATGCTGCGATCTGGAATTATCTTCATCGCCTGCTCGAGCTTCTCGAAGAAGCGGCAGCCGACAAAGTCCGCCGAGCCATCATTCTCCAGGAGATCTCCAACGCTGGCCATCTCCAATACGACCGAACGCAGTCTCTCCTCAAGCGTCAGGTTCAGACCGGCACTGGCAAGAGATACTTCAAGAGAGTCTCAAATGTATATGACAAGGGCAATGCACGAGTTGCCATGAAAATCAAACCGGAAGAGTTAACGCGAGCCGATCCCCAGCTGCACTACCTTTTGCGTCTCTGCCAAGCCGATACCACTGCTGCGACAGCCGTGGAATGGATGGAGAAGCTAGGCAGCTTGCACATGTCGCATCCAGACGAGCGCGAGAAGCTCGCGGAGCGGGAATTCAACGCCCTCTGGGACCATACTGCCATCGTCGCTTTCATGCAGGACCTGGCGCTTGCCATTTCCATGCCACCTCGCTCCCGCAAGACGGGTCAAGTCTTTGTAGCACGATACAACGACCTGGAGACCGAGCTTAACAATACGAAGAGCGAGATCGACCTCACACAGTTTGTGGTGCCAATTGACAACTTGGAAGAGCCTGGTGTGGCACCCAATGCGCTGAGAGCCCTAGAAGAGGCCATCATCGACAAGAAGGGAACCAAATTGGGCTTCATGTATCAGGATTTGATAGATGACTGCATTGCCGACCTCGAGAAGCAGTACCAGAAGATACAGACAAAAGTCGAGCAGAAGAAGGAGCACCCTCAGTACCCTGTAGAGGATCCTCAGGTGCGCACGGAGCAGCGGAGACAGAAAGAGAAAACTCGGCCCAGCCATTCATCGGTCTTCGAACTCGTGCGCCCAACAAAAAGCCAAGAGCAGAAGGACACAAACACTTTACAGCAGCGGCAGACATTTGTGGTGAAGAAAACTACGGCAGAGGTCTTCACGACGCTGTTCGACAAGTCGGAGTCCCGGAGGCCCGTCAGCTGGGTCGCGTTCGAAGCAGCCTTGGCCGATCTAGGCTTCTCCGTCGTTCCTAAGTTCGGCTCCGTCTATACCTTTGTCCCACCCGAGACTATGGCCCTGAATAAGTCTCTGACGCTGCACCGACCGCACAAGTCAAACATCGAGGGGTGGCTGGTGCCGATTTTCGCCCGTCGGCTGCACAGATTGTATGGGTGGGGAAAGGATACCTTTCAAGTCGAGTGATGCTGGTTGGCAAAGCATATATGGGGCGGTTTGGTATCGACCTGCAATCTTCTGTGTATTCAAGACCTTTTGCCCTCGAAGCCATGATATGTAAGGCGCGATGGCCGTATCTGGAGGTTTCGAAATCCCTCAGCTGACTCCGTAGATTACTAATGAGCCAGGCTAAGTTGGCTTTGCACCATGCCGCTTTGATGTGAATGAAGCAACATCAGTCTTACTACACATACGCTGGGCTAGAGACTAAGGCTGAAACACCTGTTCTTGCTGCTTTGTACGGAGATTGTATCGCTTGAGCGGGGAACAGTGCAAGTCATGTCAAGGAACATAATCACGACCCAGCAGAGAAGGTTTGCGGTCTTAAAGCGAGCCGCCATCATAGGTTCGATCACAAAGAGCTACATCTTTCTGTATATATATACATCACAATGCAAAGTATTGTCGTTGCTACCCCTTTGTTCATAGCCACTGTTGCCGCGGCTCTCAGCCCTTCCAACTTGGCCGAGAGAAACATTGTCCCTGACTACGACGCAGACATGGACGTTGCTCATCATGAGGACTGCTGGAATCTCTGAGTAGCCCAGCTACGCATCACGGACATCAGCGACAACCAAGGCGAGAGCACCTTCACCTGCTCCAACACCAGCTATTCCGACATCCTCATCTGGAAAGACAAGTAGCAAGGGTGCCTCTGGAACGACAGGCCCGTCTCCGCCGTGACGAACTCCAAGGACCAGATGTTCAGGGAGATGTCTGCCAAGTACGAGCATAGCGACTACATTGTCTGCGATGGGATACTCGCACGAGCCATTGGGTACCAGACTGATCATTAAAAACTGGTCAAGTGTGGTTTCGAATTTAGATTTGGCCGGACGTTTCATATAGGATAGACTTGTGGCATGGAAGACGATTCGAGGCATCGATATTTTCGAGGCCGGCCACGGAACTGAAGGTGATGCGATTGGATTGGCCTAATCTTACTCTCTCTTTACGGTTCATTACAATATCACTCAATGCGACTCACTTCTGTTGTCCCAACATAGTACAAGTGCAGCAGGGGATTCCAAATAAGCATAATTAATGCTTCAAATGTGTCATATAGAGTGTCCACATACGCTGGCTATGAGAGCCACCTACATGACCTGAAAGTTAGGGAACTAGGTGGGTCTACAGAGACGGACCTCGGCAGGATTACAAACTCCATTTAGATCATTTGATTCACGAAAGTGTTATGAAAAGTCCCTATCCAACACTACTGACAGAATTGTTGCTGGCCAGACAGGGGTCAGAAGCATCGGCGTGTAGCCTGGATGACAGCTGACTACATGAAGTATAAGTGGGGGACTGCTGGAGCGGGAGAGGCTGATAACAACGATATAGTTGCTTTACCCTCTAGTCCCAATCTCCTACCTGGCTCCAGCCTGGCGAGCCTGTGTTCTCACCATTTACAGATGACACAGACCCACTAGCGGTCCAAATGAAGCTCCAGTTGGGATCATAAGTAGCTGTCGTGTTGATACCCAGGGTGAGCCACGCAAACAACCCATCAGAGACGTTTGCGCCCAAGTACTCGTACTCGGCCACGCTCTGTGTGGTAGTATTCTCGCTCTCGGTGATAAAAACGCCGTCATCAACGTTCAGAGTCTTAGCTATAGTGTTGGTAACGTACGGGTACGTACTCTCGATCTCGTCAATCAGGTCTTGATCCCAGAAAATCTGGCCAACGTCTATATGTAGGGAGAAGGTCTCAAGGTTAGTTGCTTGAAAGGTTCCCGAGCCAATGTAGAGATGCATTTCTCCCAACTCACGGTCATAGGTGCCACCAGTCAAGGTGTCGTTTGCCAACAGAGTAGCATTGAAATGCACAGCCACGTGCACATGATTTGCCCGCCCTGCGTAGTGTCCAGGGAAGAGCGTTTGGAAAGTCACCACCCCGTCCTCATCTGTGGCCTGCAGACCTCTCAGGAAAGTGGAATTGGCGTTGGACGTATCGTTCCCATTTCCGTTGCCTTCTTCAACGATTCCGCTGTACACACCTGTACTATTGCAATTCCAGATGTCCAAGTACTCTCCCATGATGGGCTCACATGTTGCGACATCAATGAGCTGGATCTCGAAGTACACTGGCACCCCCGCCTCTGCCTCGAGAATATCGGACCGCACGAGCTCTCCTGGGATGTAATACGGTCCTGTCTCGCCCTCGGGGTTGAGCGCGCAGCTGTAGTTCGCAAAGACCGTGGTCTCGGGTGTGGCCGGTGTATATCCTGCATCGGACAGGTGCGACGTATCATTGACGATGTCTGGGTTCTCGCCCCACGTGATGATCTCGCGCTTAGCTTTGGCCGTGGATGGGTCAATGGATCGCTTGCGCCGCTGCTCTGCCACCGCCAAGTGGCGACGGGCAATGTTGCGCGACAAGACGCCGCGCCGTGAGAGTTTGTCGGCGCATGACCCAAGATCACGGCGGACGGAACCCTTGAAAGCGCCCAGGGCAGTGTTTGGCTGGCGCGAGTATGGCTCGCCTGGGTGAGCTGTGGCGCTACCAGCGAGGAAGACAAGAGCCGCCGTGAACAGGGGTGAGAAGTGCATTTCGTTCGCGATTGGGACCGATTTTCCTTCAATAAATGGTTTCAATGTCAGAGCTTGTGGAGCCGGCATAGAGATCAAGCAGGCTGTAAACCATGGGCCACCTGGAAGCTTTATAGAATCTGCGCTTGCTTTCTTTGCGCACGCGTAGTCAACATCTCAGGTTCACCATGCAGGTTGCCTGACTGTGATATCACTGTGCTGCTATGGACGCAGAATTGGCTTCCGACTGCCTGAATGGCGATCCCCAATCTCTTCGTACATCTGTCGTAGATCTTTCTGTAACTACTGCAACGTCGGTGAATCGTCATCATGTGCCGCGCAATCAATACAACCCTGTGATTTTGGGGGCATAAAATGATGTGAACTTCAGGTACTCCTCACGAGATGCAGAAGGCCTTCTTGCTGGGTATCATAATTTATCAGCTACTTCTATGCACTCGACCGTGGTGTGATTGGAGCGAGTAGGTGTGGGCCAGACTTCCCCTATAGGAGCCCGTGGAAGCCGAGAGCACGGCATATGAGCAACGTGTTACATCTCGGACCTTTCAATACGGCCGTGGGTAATTGCATAATGTATAAAGCATGTCTTGTGTAGAAGCAGTGACGTTCTTCAATTCTTGTACATACTGGCCCTCCGCAGAACAATGTTTGCAGATTTTGTCAGATTTCAGCTTGGTAGTCATACGAAATGATGTCTGAATAAGCACGGAATCCTGAATCTCTTTCCACCTCCTGTTACAAAGAGTGAACTGTTTACAACGCTCATCCCTCCGTCACTCTCAAGAGAAAAAGGGAGTATTTTTTATAATAATGTATGAAGCATAAGAGGGATCAAAACTTTGAATTACTTCTCGTGTCCCTCCTTCTGATTGGACACCACCAAATGTCATACAACTACCAGGCCGATAGCAGTGCTAGGTCCCGTCCTGCCGAGCGGGCAGAGGTATGCCGGAGGGCTGGAGCGGGGGTTCAAGGAGAAGGAATGGGTGGCCGACGACGAGTGGTGGGATACGAGAGGTGCCGCCACAGGAGGAGTAGCAGAGGAGCGATGGCGGGAAATAAGAATCTGACCGTCGGCCATGAGGCGCGTGCCCTCGCGGAACGGTGATGATGTTGCCGCTGTCGAGTGAGCCTTGCTAGCAACGCCGCTGGCGTCAGCTGCCAGAAGTGTTTGTGTTGCGTACAGCCCTTGTTTAAACTTTTGGATGACCTTTTCGTTTGCTTTCTTAGTCATAAAGACAAGTTTGACCTGGGTCATGTGTCGAACATATGTCAAGAAATTACAAGACTGTGCTGAGATCGAGGGGAAAGTACTTACAAGGCCAGCGGGTAATGAGCAATTGGCCAAGGCTGACAGGATATTTGTTGTGCATGGCTGTGGACATATGAGCGAAATATCACAGAGCACAAGTACCAAAAGAGACTCAAATATGTCGGGCGAGCGCCAAGCGCTTTGCATTTGTTTTGAAAGTATATGTAATGATACTTCAATGCCCGCGTTCATCCTCCAAAAAGAACAAAAAAGAAAAGAATAGGATAAAAATATAAAAACCAAAACTACTCCTCTCCGCCCCGCTCCTCCTTGGACACGACCCGGCGCCGAGGCACCGGGGCGTCCAGTTGCCGGCCAGCGCCGTGTCTGGACTCCGAGGGGGGGACGGCCTCGGAAGGAGGGGTGTAATATCGAGAGGAGGAGGAAGAGGAGGAGGAGATTATGGTGGCGGCGGCGGGGCCAGAGCCGGCGCCCGCAGGCGAGGAGGCGGCGGAGGCGGCGGCGGGGGAGGAGGCGGCCGGGGAGGCTTGGGTGCCAGTGGCAGGGCCGGAGGAGGAGGGCCCCTGGGGGCGGGAAGAGGGGATGCCCTGGGCGGGCCGGGAGAGAGAGGGAGAGGGACGGCGAGGCCGGTCCTCCAGAGGCCGGCCTGCCTCCGGGTCGTTGGCCGGGCGACTGCCACCACCATCGTCGTCGTCGCCGTCGCCGTCGTCGTCATCGTCATCTTCTTCTTCTTCTTTTTCTTCTTCTTCTTCTTCGTCGTCTTTTCTCTGTCCGTGTATATGTTAGCCTAAGATTGACTGAAGGAGAAGTTGACGCTGTGGGTATCTCACGAACTGTGTGTGTGTGTGTGCGCGTGGGTGTGTGTGAGGGGGGAGGAGGAGAGAATTAGAGAGAGATGGTATGAAGTTTTGTTCAATGTTTACTTCTGTCTGATTTCGGCGTGGCATTTTAAATAGCTCGATTACAGGTCTGCCTAGGTGACTTGCAACTTCCTTTTGCACGTTGAAGCTTTTCAGACGGCAGGTGCTCCTCGATAGGCAAGGTGTGAAGGAGCGATGAACAGCAAGTTCTGTGTGGGTGCGCAGGAGACAGTAGTTGCTGGTCGGGAGTGACGCCTTCCGTCTTGCGTTTTGATGATTTAATTTCTACTGTCAGACGGAAGGCGTGATATACACATCATCAAAGGGCAATGGCATGACGCGGAATGGGAAAATATTGTAAGGCGCTCTTTCTGACCGAGTTCCAAAGGAAGGGCAGGAAGCAGGATGGTTTGTGTTTCCATACCATTGATAGTACATGATATTTAGAATGTACCTGCAGGTTGTAAACAATAAGGACTGAATTGAGCTGCCCATCAACACATGCTGTTCTGCTTTCGAGCACTATATGGGAAACGTTTCTCGGCAGATACACCCCACGCCAAGAAAAGAAAGAAAAAAACATTGTATCAAGAGTACCAGGACGCAATACTCGCTTTTTGACTGTGGTGAAGCACCCACCACATGATCAGATGTCCTTAAACGGCTCCAAAAATTTTACTCGACCGGGTTCCAGTACTTCTTCCTCCCGCAAAACTTCCTCCTCGCATTCTATCCATTCAAGCAGAATAGAAATTCCCTGGGCAACGGCGATATCAACCACATTCTTTACCCACGCCTCAGTTTCGAGGTCTGTCGCGCGTGGGTTCTTTTCGATGAATTTCGCAGTGCCCTTGCAGGCAATAGCCCCTACGTAGCGAAGGGCTTTAAAATAGTAATGCGGCAGGACGAGTCTGGGCTCTCTGCAAGTGATTGGCCGAGCATTCGGGTTATCATATAAAGGCGGGGGATCGTTCAGGTCTTTCTGAACGGTATTGCTGATCGACGCAGAATGTGTTTGATGTTCTTGAGGCTGTACCACTTCGTGAGAAGCAGGTTTCTTGGCGATACGCTGCAGCCAAGCTCGGATATGCTGCTGCATTTTGTCAAAAGAACAGTATTGGAAGTTAACGAAGTTCGAATTAGAGGTGGGGAAAATCAGAGAGAGACAAAGAGGAGGTCAGGGAGACACACTGAAATGTCCCGGAAAGTTCTCTACTTATAGAAACGGGACAATTCGTGCAGATGTAGAAGCTCGTGTGCAAGCTAAATATACGTAGTCTTTGCCTAGTGCGCTCGATAGAAGCCACGAAGGTGGGCAAAGTAGTCACCTGTCACCTTTCACAGCGCCTATCAACAGGCATTTCATTGGCCATTTCCGACAGAGGGCACCGGAATCAATATTAGATAGTGTTATAATAGCCCTCTGATCTGCCCCCTTTTGAGTGACGGAGGAGCAAGAATTGACCCAAAAAAGACCGAGTAAGAGACGGTGCGAGACCCCCATCTCCCTTAGTGCAGATGCTCGCCCACAGCTAGCCCTTCATGGTCAATGTCGTAAAATCTATGTCGGACTATGACGAAAGAGTCGTTAGCCATAGCGAGAGAAAAAAAGTTAGTCACGTGGGAAACTTAACAATAAAGTCACCGCTCTTCTGGTGTATTCGGTACCGTGAGTCGAGAAGATCCAGTTGTCATCTGTCTCTATGTTCGGGTGGTATCTTCATAATTGTACAAGGGCCGATAGGGGCTCAATGGAGTAGACCCTAGGACTATGGTGTATTCTCTCAGCGAGGGTTGCCCATGAGAACCGGTGACAGATAGCGACCACATAATCTCAGTATATTATAAGCTCAAGTATTAAGAAAAGTCATTTTTGTACCTGACACACGTATTGAGGACACTGCGGAAGTTGTTCTTGTGGGGGCCGGAGCGAGGCCAAATACCTTCTTATATCTGCCTAAAGAACTCGGTCATAGTGGAAATATCATGGCTGTTGTCCTCAATCACATGCTGCTGCTTCAAAATTTGCGGTCTGCGCTGCTCAGGTTTTGATGACAAGTTAGCCACGGCAGTAAGTGACTTTTGGCGACAGCAACGACAAGTTCCATACAGTGCCAGCCAAAATCTCATATGATGACTAAAATCAGGTGCTCCACGGATATTACTGGTTTGAATGACAGGGAAGAAGGGATTTTTAGTATCAAGCATTGGGACAAGTCCGTGTTGCAATTGTTTGAGACAATCGTATTGGAAAGAGACTTCACTCAATTAGACTCAAGGTAATGTCCTTTTTCTTCAAATTATGTATCAACTGGCAACCCGGTTTAAACAAGAGAAAACATTCTGCAAAGTTTTACACGAGTGGCAATTCTTTAACTAAGAAGGTGAATGGGCAACCTGGCTTGAATTCGAAAGAAAAGGGTTCTAAAGCCACTGAAACATTCGCAGGCCCTAGTTCATGGTCTTGAGCTGCCGAGCACCCTGGACCGGGACACCGTAGTTTCGGCGATCCTTGGTGAAAAACTCAACCTTGATGGAAATATCCGAAGCATCGTCGTTCAGAGATCCGGCTTTGGTCAGTGTGGTGCCGGCCATAGCCTCAGGTTGGGAGTAGAGACTTGTGCCACAGTCTGGTAAAGATGATACATGTTAGCTCCAAGTTTCGCCTTCGCGGGAAGCATTGTTGTCTCTCTACTTACCACCACAAAAGAAATGAGGGTGATTCAATCCAGAACCACCCTTTCTGACAAATTTCTTGGGGACTCCCTTGGTGATCTTGAAGTCCGTAGTCGAAACGGCCACGTTAGAGCTGTAGCCACCGCCGCCCCAACGTTGGCAGTCGAGGCAATAGCACAGCGCAGTTACCGCTGGCTCAACTATAGTACGTACCACCGTTAGTACATGTCCTGGACACACTGCACCAAGGTAAAGGACAACTATTAAGTCCACGACGTACCGAAATGTTCAAAGCCAATTTTTCCGCACAGACAATCCCCAGAAGGCATATTGATTCGTGAATGAGGTACGTTTAGGGTTTGGATGTTTTGGTCTTCGGAGACTGAAGACAGCAACTAGATCCTTGGGTGTCTTTCTGTGGCCAGTTCTGTCCTGTCACTTCATGAACCTCGGCAGCTCGAAAAGAGAAACGGGCAGAGTATTAATGCAAAGAAGTCAACCCATACCTGAGGGAGGTCTCGTCTCAGGCTACGTTCATCCCTCTTTGTAGTGGTGATGACAGTAGTGACTTGGTTCGTGAATATGATCTCGCGGCAAACCTGTCCGAATGGATTGGCACCTAGCTTATAGACTGGAGACGAACCAGATCTGTATTGCTCCCCACTTTCTGCTGGACGTAAAGACCGCAATATTAGAAAACTTTACAAGCGGTGACCTTCTCCACTAGAAGCAGTGTATAGTAAATGTTTCCTTAACAGTTGTTTTTCTCTTTCCAAAACCTTATTTTTTCCCAAGTTCCAGTCATGTACTCAAGTATTTACAACTGAGCTGGCCCGCGAACCGAGTCTGTCGGAACCGAAGTCAGGTCTAACAGCTCGCGCATAATGGCAATATCCCCGTCTTGTTTCGCAGCGTCAACATCCTTACCGCGCAAGACTTCTAGGAGCTGTAGTCGAGTGAGGGACATGGACAGGTCAGCCCGGCTCCCAGAGCCCTCTCGACCCTTTGATGCCACCGAGGGGCGTATGAGACGGGGGGTCAAGACACCGTTGCTCATGATCAACCTCCACCTCTCGTCTACATCGGTGACATCGAACTCGATGTTGAACGACTTGCACGCAGCCCTCTCTCCATCTACCTGAACCGACAAGATCTCGAACCACTGCCCGACGCTGAGCTGTGGGCCCAACGTGCTCTTGCCTCCAGCCACCATGCCGGTATCTTTCCCGGTCCTGAGTACCTGGGCACCGGTCAGGTAGAAATTGCGCCAGACAGCGTTCTCTGCACCGAAGCCTAGATTCTCATAAGCCGTCGCTAGAAGAGTTCTGGATCTGAGGTTCTCGGGATATGCAGCAACGGCATGAGCAACAAATGTCGCGGCAAAGCGATTGTCTCCCCGGGCAATGAACTGTTCAGCCTTGTCGCATAGAGCGTCAACTCCTCCCATGCACTCTACATATCTCTGGCCTTCTTCGGCGGGGGGATACTGCCATAGATGTGCGGGATTCCCGTCAAACCAGGTCATGTACTTTTGATAAATTCCCTACAAAAATGTGTTAATGGGCTTTACTGGAGTGTACGAGGCCTTTCTCGTCAATGTCATGGGACCCAACTTACCTTGACATTATGGCTCACTGATCCGTAGTACCCTTGACAGTGCCAAGCAGATGAGATGGCCGGAGGCATACGTATCCGCTCGGCAATCTCAACTCCCGTCAAGCCTGATAATGCGAAACAGAGTCAGCCAAGAGATACAGTGGGAGTTATGGTAACCTAAATGAAAGGCGAACGAACCGAGATTCATCATGCGCACAGTCTGGTCATGTAGGTACCCATACATATCTCTCTGCTCAGACAGTCGAGTGATGAGTTCCTTGTTTCCCCAGGTCGGCCAGTTGTGGCTTCCAAAGACAACATCGCAGTCACCGCAGAAAAGCATGATCGCCTCGTCGAGGTAGGTAGACCATGCCTTCGCGTCTCTGACTTGTGCACCTCGAAGAGTTACCTTGACGCGCGGAACAGAAACCCTGTTAGCCGATAACATGTCGCCTAGTTACAATATAAAGGCCGGTGGGCGTATGAATACAACTTACAATGTTGTGCATGCAGTTGGTAGCTGTTTCTGGCACGCATAACGCCTTGAAGTCTGGAAAGTAGAAGTTGATTTCTGCCGGAGCTTCCGTTCCTGGGACCATCTGAAAGACAATGCGGACGCCATCTATGACATGCTCCTCCCCAGTCTTCTGGATCAAGATGTTGGGTGGTATGAGCGATGTGGAACCCGTGCTGGACCCCATCCCCAAGCCAACGCCGATCTGGCCCTTGGGGCCGCGAGGGAGAGCATTCCCGTACATGAATGCGCCACGTCGACGCATTGCTGGACCAGCAAGGACGCTCTCGCTCACGATAGCCTCCAAGAACCCTTCCGGCGCAATGATGGGCACCTTTGTATCCTCGAGAACAACGCCTCGGGCTCCCATGTAGTGGTCACCGTGGGAATGAGAGTAGATCATGCCAGTGATAGGCCTCCCCTTGCCACGATGGCTTTGGTAAAGACCCAGCGCAGCAGCAGCACACTCACACGAGATTAGAGGATCGATGATGATGATCCCTTCCTTGCCCTCAACGATGGTGATGTTGGAGAGATCTAGGGCGCGCACCTGGTAAATGCCTGGAGCAACCTCGAACAGCCCTTGCTTCGTGTTGAGTTGGGCCTGTCTCCATAGCTTGGGGTTGGCTGTTGGTGGACACTCATTCTCAACAAAGGCGTACTCATCGATATCCCACACCTTTTTACCCTCGCTGGTCGTGATCAGGCCCGGTTTCAGTGCCGCTATGAAGCCTCTGGTGGCCTCCTCGAAATCCCGCTTGTCTTCATAGGATGGTTCGTACGCCATGTTGATCTCAATGGGGTTTATCTTTGCGTCGAGCTCGTCGGACGGAGACCTGGGGACCTGACTGCACTCTAAGTGAGGCAGAGGTTTTCGAGATAGCGAGCGATTCGTATCCTTAAACTGCTTTGCCTTGATGGAAGACTTATGGGTGGGCCCAAGATGTGTGTCCACTTCTGGATAGTGCTGTTCTTTCGCTGATGGCACTTATTCGGTAGAAGGCCTCGGCACTGTGAATTACTCGACTCGTCTCGACGCAATGGATATCCAATGCTGTCAAGGGACGCGCTTGTCGAGGAATTTAACGCGGTCCAGTGATTTCAGACAAGGGCAACGATATGAATTCTGGACTGCGTCTTCTTCAGGAAGCTCTCTTCAAATTCATGCTCGGCGTCCGATCTCGTCGATTTTGCTTTAAAGAACTATGCGGCCGTTAGCAGGCTTTCGGCTGTACAGAATAAGGTAGCCGAGCCCGCGGAAGGATTGAAATATTCTGGACATATATTGTCGAAATGTGTAATGTACCTTTCAAGGTCCCATACGGTCAGGCGACCAGAGAAACAGTTAATTCTCCACAGCGGAGCAGCTATATCGACACGTTTGTTCTGGAGCAGAAAATTGATTAGCGTCCTGGCCAGAATCTTTTTTTTTTTTACCCTAACCGAGACTTTGGTCATCCGGTTACAACCTCCCAAACCGCAATCGAGCTTGAACGACGGGGTGAGGACAAACAAGATTTCACCTGATTCTGGTTTTGACATGAGAGCGGCGTGTGTATATATGTACATATATCTGTGTGAGTATGGGTTTTGCAGATGTGTTGGTCGCCTGAGCGGTATGAGATCGATAACATATAAACAATACTATAGCGATTGCGTGATGCCGATAATTATGCCGTGATGCCGGAAGCTACCCATCGCGCAATGCCGCAGCCGGGTTGTGCAATGTCAACAAATTCGATCGAAGGAGTACAGAAACAGTACACACATAGATTTAGGAGTCGATATCGATGGAGAAAAAAAAATACTTTAGAGCCATCTGAACCCAGGCCTATTGTCGCGAAGGTGTCGCGCGAGCTGTAATGGCGTCTCTTTGCTATGTTATTGTTCCCAAGCCGGTTTCTATTAATATCTACTTACAAGAATGGAAACATAGATAATGGCACAGGAAGCAAGAGAGAAAGTTAGTACCCAAATAAGGAAGTACTCAGTATCTAATGAAAAGGAAGAGATGGTGCAGAGGTTAACAGAACGAATGAAAGGTATAGTTCTAAATGATTACGGGTCTTCGGTGACCAATGAGTTGATATTGGGTGCAGCAGCGTATTACATTTCAACATGCTTTGAAATAGTTTCGTTACTGAATGATTACGATAGCTCGTAATTATGGTAGTAGTTTTACGTGCCATTCGTGATAGTCATACCTGGCGTCGCAAGAGTGAACTTCATTAAAAGCGGTGTCTTGACCATGCTATGCCCTCAAGTCTCAGAGTATTCATGTGCGATACTTGCACGATACACTTCCAGTACAATTTCGTCTTCACTAGCTCGAATCATCAAGAATTTTATCCTGAAGCGGGTGGGAGGCTCTGTTACATTTACAGGACCATCAATGTTGAAGGGTACTAATATTATCATTGATGACTACTTAAGCAAGTGAGTAGGGAGCTGACTTGTATGCTATCAACTAATATCTCAGGACTATAGCAAAGAGAAAGACCACGCACACCAGGTGTCTATTGGATCGGCTAATACTGAGACCGCCTTCCCTCACCTCGTCACGAACTTTGAGGTCCATCCGTCAGGGGAACATATCGCACAGCAAACATTTTCCTTTTCTCGACCTTGCCGCTCTCGTCCTTATCTACCCTCCAAATATGCTGTTCCCCGCCCGAGTCGTCGTCATTCACGGGGATGAACATCCTGCCCGGCGCCCTGAGCTGCTCGACCAGCTCGGGGTGCATCGTGACCGCCGAGGCACCGACATGGATGACATCCCATCCCTCACCGCGCCCCTCCTCGCCGGCGGGTTCGACCCATCCCTTGCGCCCATCGCCCACGCGGAGCTTGACCTGTCCGGCGTCAAGGAATTGGCGGCCCTCGGCGCTCTTGCGCATGTTGGCCTCGGCCAGGTCCTGCAGCTGAGGGATATGCTCCAATCCCACTACCGTGCCCTGCGGCCCGACAAGCTCGGCGAAGATGTGGGTCAGGTAGCCGCTGCCGGAGCCAATGTCCAACACGCGTGGGGCCGGGTTGCGGTCTGATGGTACGAGGTAGGGCAGCAGGTCCTCGACGGCAGTCACATGCATGTGCGGTGCGCTGATGGTGGCCCCGTGGCCGATACTCTGGGGACGATCCGCATATGGTGCTGTGGGTGCGTAGTGCCCGCGGTCAACCTGGTTTATTTGCGATCATCAGCAGCAAGGAAACAAATAGGAAGAAGAGAGAAAAAAAAAAGACAGGGACAGAAGGGTCTGTCGGGGTTGCCATGGGATGCATCTCTCTCTACCTTCCGAAAAGCATCTTTGACTCGCTCATCAGTGATGAGCCCATGGTGACACAGCTGTTGAACCATGTTCTCATTCGAGCTGCCGCTGCTTAACCACGCCATCGTGTTAATCCCTTTGGTCCCACTAGTGTTGTGTGTACGTTGGCCAAACGATGCCTGGTTCAGCGGTGTTGGGATGGAGCTGAGGAGCCGCCTCAAGTGTTGTCCCTTTATGAGTGGCGCCACGTTGGCAGATAGGAGGGGGAAGGATGAACAGGTGGGCGAGCACAGGTTGAGAGCCAGTCAAGTCGACGAGGGAGGCAAGAGAGGGGAAAGCCGTCAAGCTGATCCACCTGGATATAAGAATGGTGCCAATCTGGTGTTCAAGGCTTGGGTTTATCGTAAATATGGTGTGTATTGCAGAAGAAAAAAAGAGAGCTTCGCAAAGACTTGTTGGGCACGTCGTCAGAATCAGAGTAAGTAGTCCAAGAAGCCTCAGCATTGAAGCTGTAGCACTGATCCGATGAGGGGGAAGGGAGGGAGCTTTTGGGGTCACGACGTCAACGGCAGGGGCGGGACACGATGTGGCCCACTTTAAATCTCTACGATGCGGGATGGCCCGGTGCCACTCCATAAAGGGTCGGTCGTTGATGTCTCTTCCTCGTGCCTCTCTGCCTGCCTCTCAACCAAGGTCAATCCACAACCAAGATCATTTGCCGGTGTCATGGTCGAATTCAACCTCATGTGTCCTAGAAAGTGCTGATGACAGAAAGAACCGGTCAGGGGGTCTCGTGGGGGTCAAGGACGAGGAAGTAAAGGAAAAAGTCTCCGTGTTTGACAAGACTAGGCGTCGTTTACGAGTCAAGATACACATTTGTGGCTTCGATAGTGCGCAACGTTGATGAGGAGGAGTCGGACATAGTGATTCAATTGCTAATATAGACTCCCTGCAAGCTCGAGTGCGAGGCGTTAGATCCATGCCATGCCAGCTCGAGGCTGCAAGTTAACCCTCGTGATATACGTAATGATTCAGACCCAAGGAGAAATCGAAAGTCGCAAAGAAGGCTCCGGTGCCATGCTGGAGGACGCATATAAGCGTCATTGCCATTTCCTTCTCCCCGCTTGCTGCCTCATGCGTCTCTATCTCCGTCGCCCCATGCCTCTTCTCGAAACCTCCCCACCAGTCCTGAACATTAATTCCCATAGCGTCGACTTCCTGGCCATCTGGACGGCTCAGGGCTTAAGTTGGTGCCCTTGTGGTCGCCCCTCGGGATGCTGGGTATCATGCACCACCAGGGTTGCCCGTGTTTGAGCTTTCTTTGGACGCGTGCGCTCCAAGAAGGATAATAGAAAGTGAACAACTAGTCAAACACGCTCCTCCCTCACACAACTGTCTCGACGTTCTCGCCCTCCGCGATGATTGGTATGCCCAAGCCTCGGTCCGGGCTTTGCAACACAAGCTGCTCGTGCCGCCTGGCCTTGAGATAATCGCTGACGGACCTGATCAAGATGAACCAGCCGACAATCATCAGAATGTACGCAACCCACTCGGAACTCGCGACGTCTGACAAGCCGCCACTACCACTTCCGTCCCCGCCGTTGCCGCCTTGGACGGAGCCAGGGTCGAAATCATGGCTATTTGGATCTGCAGGCGCTGCGTATCCATCGCCACCGGGCATGCCGTCGCCCATACCGCCGCTGTCGCCGGATGAACCCTTCATGTAGAAGCCATACTGAATCAGTGTGATTCCAAGACCGGCACGGGATCCGTTCTTGGCAGCGTGGGTGGAGTGGAGCAGGTAGGTGAGCAGGAAGCCGACTAGCTGGAAGGACATGGAAATCATGCCGTTCCAGATAAAGGAAAAGACGGAGCCGACGGGCATGCCGTCGATGTAAACATCGTCTGGTCCGCCGAGGCCAGGCGCGAGGATAGTGGTCTCCCAATACGGAGGGGCTGCGTCCGCAGCGGCTTGTTCGTAGGACTATTTGACACAAAACCGTTGAGACATGTCAGCAAATAGCAATAGACTGGACAGGGGAAAGAAAGGGGAAAACAAGAACACACCGGAGGCTGTTCCTCCTTCTCACTACTGCCTCTCTCGGGTTTAGCGGTCAGATTGGAAAAGACACCATCGCTTTGGATCCCGCTGCCGAAGACCCTATTCGAATTTGCTGCTGCTGCTGCTGCTGCCGCCGCCGCCGAGGGATGAGCAGTCGAGCCCGTGAGCTGTGAGGGCGGTGTGCTCGCTCCAGAACCACCAGTGGACGACGTTTGTGGCGATCTGGTCATGCTGCCGCTGGCCAGCTGCACGGGATCGGAATTCTGCCTGACAAGTCGTTGTCTATCATCGGGCTCGTCATCCGAATCGGAATCGTCGGCATCGAATGCGTCGGCAAGGGTCGGGTCCTGGACCTGTCTGTTCCTGTTGGTCGGGGAGGAGGCTCTGGAGTGAAAGGAGGGTGGCGGCGAGTGTGTCGCTCGTGATGTTGGTTGGGCCGAGGAGACATGGTCATCCTCATCGTGGGCATTTACCTGTGTGATGGTAATCGAAATCATGTCAGTAAATGTCCCCCTTGTCTCTATACATCCTGCCTATTGATAGGTTTGATGCTGTTTATCGTTGTCGCTGTGATCGTAGGAGTGCTTTTCTTACCCTTTCGTATCGCCCCGACATCTTGCCGGTCGATTAAATGGGGCTTGGGGGGAAAGGCTGCTGTAAGAAAGAAGAGAGAATGAAGAGAGATGTCGATGTCGATGATACGGTCGGAAAACTATCACTTCGGATGTTTGTGCGTTGACGGTTTGTGTCGGGTGCTCCGCTTCTCCTGGCTTGAGTATGCGTCTGGCTTCGTGTCGCTGCAACGGTTACACAGAATCAGGGAGGCGGTGGCGCGTGCGCAAGGCAGAGGATCGAGGGAACAAAAAGAAAGAAGGATAGAAGAGGCCGAACCCGCGAGAAAAGGAGAAGAGCAATCACAACAAAGAAGGAGAAAGAAAAAAAAAAAGGAGAGAGAAGACGTAAACGGTAAAGAATGCAGGAGATGTCGTCGATCGTCGGTTAGATAACTCTCGTTTGGGGGTGAAGAAGGGGAGGGGGTGTCGGAACGCAATTGTTTGTGCTGGTAGTTGGAAGAAGAAGTAAAGTTGAGTCGTCAGCCTAGGGAACGGTAGGAATGAAGGATGGGGAAGAGGGAAAACAGAGTTCCCTTACTCCCGCCGGCTCGGCACAGGGGTCACTACGGCATGTTGGCCCTTTTCCGTGCTCAGGTTTCAAGGTCAGTTAGGCAAGTACTGTGTCACTACACACCAGGGTCAGCCTGCTTTTGCTGTCTTGGGGGGGTGACGACGCACGGTGTCAGCAGATAGATCAGGGGGCTTTGGTGCTTGCCCAGGTGGCTCTCCAGGGGCTCTTCTTAGCGCCGTGTACCGCTGTAGCAGGGCAGGCAGGGTAGTGCACTATCTATGTACAGTCATACTGCAGGGTATCATCCTCCCCCCCCCCCCCAGGCACACCAATAACCCCCCCTCTCCAAGACGCCCCCCGTTCAGGACTGGCACCGACTTGCTGACCAACCAGAGAAGGAGGCGGAAGCCGACTATTTCCACCATCTTCCATAACAGTAGTCCTGCAGCACACTGCAACGCAGCATTGCGATAGTCAAGTCAGTGAAAACAAAGACGAGAAAAAGAGTAAGACTCCTCCTTCTTGTTGGGTCCCTGGAGCAGGAGGAAATTGCGCAGGGGCCCAGCCAAATTCATGCTCGGCTGTCTGCACTGCCACATTTCCCGATCCATTACCCCTGCAAATTAGGCTTGGCTGATAAATCCTTGGCTCCATTACTGCATACAAACATAGCAGCACTATGGTAGTACGTACTGCGCAGTATTGTCCAGGACTACCTGTTAGGAGTTGAAGCACGGGCCAGTCAACGGGAACCGCCGCATCTCGACGTCACCATATTCTGCCCTGTCTATTTTTTTTCTGCCCTCAAATTTTCATTATCGGGAAAAGGACCGCAGCATCCGAGTCCAACCTCAACCTCGTACCTTATGGAGGAGATATAATATATTTCTCTTTTGCTCTCTACTGATCGCCCACCAAGAGTCACCATGGCTTCTAGAGAGGTAGGCAATTCCTGCCTGTTCCGGCCCAGTGCAAAGGGCAGAAAGATAGAATCACTATACTGACGCGACGCGCGAAAAAAAACAAAAAGGCCCTCCGCAGGACTGCCCTCACAGCCCTTGCCACCTGGCCCAAGGACCCCCTCCGACCGACTGCCCAGCTCGGCGAAGTCCTCTCCGCCCGGCTGAACGCCACCCCTCCCCAATTTCCCGGCCGTCCTTCCGCTACCGACGCGAGCTCTCATGACCAGCAGCAGGTCTATGCCATCATGTCCCTGGTCACCAACAAATACAGCAAGAAGTATGCGCTGGACCCGGACAGGAGCATGACTGGGGGGATGATGACGCCCAGGAGCAACCCCGGGTATTATGGGGAGCTGATGAAGGATCTGGAGGAGATTCCCACCAGGACATGGCTGCAGAGAGTCGGCATCCGGCTGAAGGGTATGATCAGGTTCTCGTGATCAGCTGTGACGGATGAGAACGCACAAATCAGACCGCCGCCAATAGATACCGATGACAACCGGGAACACGTCCGAACGCAACTGGCGCCGCTGCTCGAGTCACTGCATGGACTGCTACGATCCACCACATCTCGTGGTCGCAACGAACAAAACACCTTGAAAAGGCTCCCAAAAAGCCCTGAAGTAGAGTTGGGCAACCAGATATGCAGCCATCTGCTCCCTTTTCCGATTCCTCTTCTCTCAGTACAAAGAGGAAGAAGAAAGAATCAGAACAGGATAGCCTCCTGAGATCTTCTGGGGAAGATGGAAGGATTGATGTCTTGCGATAGACCCAGGTCCCTGTCTTTCTCTCTTGGTTTCTCCCCCAAGAGGCTGTCAGTCATGCCATCTTGGCTCCCGTCAAAGACGAGTGTTCCTTTGCGGATGAGGCTGCAGGGTCGAGTAGGTGTGTTCCATGAAGCAGCACTGCGGGTGGCGTGATCTCGGCAACGGAACTGGTACGGTTCGGTAGAAGACAACCCATTTTCTTGCGTGGTATGCGGTGATATTCTTCAGCTGTTACAGATGCATGCTATTACGTGTGGGGTTTGTACTGTACAATACTACCTCGGAAATGTATATCATCATGCTCGTCCGAGATCAGGCCGGTCTTCTTGGCGCATTGTGCAATCCGTGCTTTCCTTTAGGACCCGAGTACCACAGCTGCAATGTGACCACTACTCATCTTGGTCCACTTTATATCATGATGGTCCCTGCTTCATCCACCCCTGTCGGCATCAAATATATTTTCTCTCGGGATCAATCCGATCAAAACCCTCCATGCACTTCTCGTACATGGTAAACACGATTGCGCCACTCATAACCAGGCGCACCAGCCTGGGTGCGACCCCGCTCCAGAAGGTCAACACACCCTCCTCTCGGAAGATCAACCCGGCACACCTCACGCTGTTCCCGTACATCTGTCTCGCCTCGATGCTCTGCATCCGGGTCTTGATCGTGTCTAGTGGCTGCGTCACCAGGACCGTCACCAGCCCGGCCATGGCTCCTATGCCGAATGTCGCAGGAGTGGAGAGCTTCTCGCCTGGCGTCACGTAGGACTGTGCGGCCTGCTTGAAGAAGTTGTAACTGCCGAACCGTACTGCCGAGTTGGCGGCCTGGCGTGCGGTGGTGGGCACGAATCCAGCAAAGAAGCCGGCAATGCCGCGCTCGCGGTAGATTATGGGCACGGCGTGGAGGAAGCCGCGCATCCTCGGCTGGGCGCGCTTGCGGTCATCAATGCTAGGAAACAGAAGCGGGCGAGGAATAAGTACCATGCCGTAAATGTTGACACTCTGCAGTGTATGAAGCAAGAACCTACAGTTGTGTCTTGATGGATTCCGTGGGAGTCACTGCGAGCAGAGATTCTGTCACGCCGGCTGCGAATCCTGCAAGTGCGGCGCGGGGGCCGGTGACTTTCCCCTCGGCGTCGGCGAGAAGACTCTTATACTGGTCGAAAGCAACAAATCCTGTCAAGGAAAAGCACAATAGTCAGTGTCTGGAGATTTCCAAGGAAAAGGAAAAAGCCAGGACATGCAGGGCCAGGGCGGGAGAGAAGAATAGGCCATACGTATGCCAGCCTTAGCCGAGTTGCCAATGATCAGCGTCGTACATCCTGCATACCACTGCTTTCCGAATGGCGGCCATGGGAGCTTCTGGCCGTCCGGTAGCCGGCGGTTCAGCTGTGTTCTTGTTTTCGCAACTACCCAAGAAAACCCCCTTTCTTAGTCTCAATCCATCTGACTGCCGTACGTTTCTCTGACACGCCCCACTATCGCGTCGTAGTGGAGGCAATCATGCCAGCACGACGAGTTGATCACATGTCCACTCCATGCTGCCTTTGTGGGGATGTGAAACGGAGAGGTAAAAGGCCAGGAGGGAAGGGGAGTCGGGAGAACGGGGAGCAGCCAATAGTTTAGACGTACATTCGGCAGGATACGTGATTGCTAGAATTCGTCGTCAGCAGACCTAATCAAACAATACCCAGGGTAGGCAATGAGAGCTAGACTTACCAATCTCAATACCGCCCGCCAAGCTCCCCGCCAGGACCGACCGCAAAGGACTCGGGGGCGACAGCTTGTTCTCTTGCGCCGGCGTCACTGCAGCTGCAGGCGACGTGGTGGTAGCCATTGCTGGCGCCTAAAATCCACAATCTGCGGTCGGGATGAAGAGGAAATTGACCGGAGGATGTTGCAGCGCGAGGCGCGTCGAGCTGTCGTCGAGTTTGCGGTGCTGCTTTGTCTGGAATGAAGAAGAAGAAGGCGGACAGGAAAGGGAAAAAAGTTGCGTCGAGAGTTTGAACCCTGCGTCATCTGTGCAACCGATCGCGGGGCCCCCTGGCCAATCCTCAACCTTGCGACGCTACAGCCGAAGTCGGTGCCGAGGTCGTTTATTGTATTTACCTGCATCATTCGAGAGACGTCGCATCAGCAGACAAAATGGTACGAGGTCGAAAATATCTTGATCCACATATATTCTCTTCGATCAATCCTATCTTATGTATCCCTATTGTCGATAATATATTAATCGCCATGCGAGAACAGGTGCCGTGATGGTCTCCCAGGCATGCCCGCCGCCAAATCACGATGACCACCCAGAAGAAGACAAATGTTTCCAAGCCCTACAAAGACTTCCCAATCCACCCAAACCAAACCAAACTCCATATGCTAAGTCAAAAGAAATTTCAAACACACGCCTATTTTGCCGTGTCCGTATCTATGTGCTGTGGGAGACGTTGGCTGATATGATCGTCTTTCGTAGAGGCCACCATGGGCGAGAAAAGGGGGGAGGGGAGCGTTTATCCGAGAAAAGAACCAAAACGCCTGACCGGCCGGCCTTCCTTGGTGTGTCAAATGACATCTTTTGTTATTTTCCTCTCTTTCTCTCTCTTTCTCTCTCTCTCTCTCTCTCTCTCTCTCTTTTTTACCCCCATGCCTTTTCTGTGTCCAAACTTTTCCCACCCGAGATGCTGAGGCCTCAGCAAATAATGGTAATCCGAACGACGCGAGATCGATAAGAAGTTGAGTGGGTTAGAAAAGCGAATTATACAACTATCTGGCCCACCCATTCTATCAGAGACCCACGTCATTTTGCATTCTGCAGAAATGCCATGTGAATGCCCTTGATTGTGCCAAGAAGAAGCGTCTTGTGAGGACCAGGCAGCAGGCCACAAAATGGCCGAGAATAGCCAATAGGTCAGCCATGTCGCAGATATCCGACCATCATTGGAAAGTCAAGCCGCGCCGTCATGTTCGTCAGGTTCGTCAGACAGCTCTTCTGCTGAGTCGGTGAAGGCGTTGACAAAGACAGACTGGCGATGTATACACAAGGGCAAAGTAGACCAACGGAGGGTCTCTGATCGGATCACTGTCGGTCAGCGGGTTTCCACAGCAGCAGATCCCTTGCTGCCGGATGAGGCCTTGCCAGTAACATTGGTGTAGCTCCAGTTAGAGCCAACGCCAAAGCCTCCTGACTGTCGAAGTCTGCTTTTCTCCCGCTGTGCCGCCTCATCGTCGTCTTCCATGCTGAACACGAAGCTTGGATCTTCCTCGTCGATTGGAGTCGTGAACCGTCCGTTGGCGTTGGACCCGATCGAACCGCTGCTGATATGTCGCTCCAGGGCGCGGTTCCTCTCGGTCTCTTTAGAACCGATCGCTCCCAGGCCTGAGGCCATCATACCTGCCGACCTGGTATTGGCGGCACTCGGGTGTAAGTGCGGACTCGTGCCCAGACTGCTGTCGTCATTCAGCCTTATCCGCTGAATCTGCTGCGTCAGCGCGGAGAGTGATTCTGTGCCACTGCCAGTCCTGCTCCCGGCCAGGCTGGGCCTGCTGCTCGAACCATTCTGTCCAACGAGGTCGATCCCTGAGGCCAGACTCGAGTTGCGCAGCGGGCTGCCCACGTGTCCGAATGCGCTCGTGCCCTTTAGGCTCCTGCCCAGCGCACCCGGACCAGACGACTGCTCCTCCTTCTGCCGCTCGAATAGCGTGTTCCACCGACTAGGGCTGCCGGCGCCGAAAGGACTGCCGTACTTGGTGCTACTCTCGCCCGATGCGCTCTGCTCATTTCCGTCCGGCACCCGCACGCTACCCCTTCTCGCCTTCTCCGCCGGCGTGAGCAGGTCGTTGGCCAGTTCGCCCGGGACATAGTCCTCCTCGAGGAACAGGAAGTTGTCGTCCCAGTCCCTGTCCACCTTGGGCGCGCTGGAGCTCAGCAGCCTCGGCTTGGCGTACCTGCTGCTGCTGCTGTGCATCACGCGCCGGGTGTAGACCTCCTCGCCGATGGGCTGTTGGGGCGGACTACTGCCCATGTTCTCGGCATCACCTCCCAGCTGTGACGGAGACAGGTGTTCATTGGAGCCAAAGGCTGAGGTGTGCAGCATCTTGAGGGTCTCGGAGGTCCTCGAGTCCTTGGCATTGCTCAGCGACGGGGACGGGGATTCGATGCCGAACTTATTAGGGACGGAGGCGGGCCAAGGTCCGTACCGGGCTGCATGGGAGATGCCGTTGGAGTCGAAGGAGGCCGGAAGGGGTGCATCGAGCACGGACAGTCCCTTGACGGCTGAGACGGGCGACAGGCCGAAGCCACCACGGTTTGTCTCTTCCGCGCCGCCATGGGGTGAGCCATAGGGCGAGGTCGGGCCGCTGTACTGCGTGTCGATGGTGGGCAGGCCGCCGTCCATGCTTGGCTGCCTGCCCAGCCCGTGGTTATATCGGTCATCGGTTGCATTCGCGTAGGACGTGTACGGCGGAACAGCCTCGGCGCGCATGAAAGAGTTGGTCAGGGCAGAATTAGAGGAGTGTCCATACGCAAGGGGGTTCAGTCGGTTCCCGAAGTTGATGGGCGTGACGGTCACGCCATTCTTGCCATAGTTGATGCGTCGGCCGTCGGGCAGGACGTGAATGTTGGCGCACTTGGGACCGAATTTGCAGTTGCCCTATATAGAGGTGGTCCGTCAGTGCCTGATTGTGAAGCTGTTCATATAGACTAGATGTAGACGCCGTGCCGCTGTTGTGCAAGGCAACACACGAAACGCCTCTTCAAGGTCGTGAGGGGTGGGGGATGTGGGGGGTTGGGGGTTTTCTTTGTGCGGGTTACAGCCACAACCGCTCTCCGTCAGCCAGCCAAGCGGTTGTGGTATCACCGGAAGAGCGAGAGGCCAAGGTAAGCAAGCGGTAGCATGTGGTACCTACCTTTGCAAAGTATTTGCAGACGGTCTCGGCTGCCGCCCCGATATCGTGACTAAAAGGACAGGCTGACCCGGCCTGACATGCGCCCTGACGGAAGAATTTGCAGGGTACATGTGCGGTGTCTGTACAAAGTCGTGCGAGTCAGCGCTAGGCCTTGTAAACCATAGAGGTTGAAACGACATGCTGCGTCAGAGAAGGGAGGAAAAGGAGTAGAAGCTGGGAGGAAACAGGTCCTGCAGGTCAAGGCAAGACACAAAACAGGTGGGTTGGCAGGATCATCAGGTGAATTAAAGGGTGCATGGGCTGGTTGGTGGGAATGTGAGAGGAGGATACGCCAGCAAGGCGGGGTATCTGCCGAGCCAGTACTCGATGACATCCATATCTCGGTGTACTGGAGGGGCGAAGACGCAAGATGTCAAGGCGGCAGAGAGATACAGAGAACGGGTGACATTCTCGTTCGAGGGCAGGGCAGTTGATGCGAATATATTTCGAGGTGGTTGGGTGGATCGACACTCACTCGGAGGGCTTCTTGGGCCGTCGAACCTGGCGCCAGGGGGCGCAGGTGCAGTATTTCCAGGCGCAGACCCAGCTGCGACCGCATTGGACGAGGCCATTGCTGTGTTCGTGATCGACCCTTTTGAGCCTCCTCCTCCGTTACCGTTGGCGTTGCTGATGCTGTTCCCGCTGAGTGTAGTGTTGTTGCCGTAGCCTACCGCGCGCGGGCTGTTGTTGGAGACGACGCTGGCACCGTTCGTCTTGGTACGGCTCAATGGTTGCTGCTGCTGCTGCTGTTGTTGCTGGTGGTGTTGCTGGCGGTACTCGGAGAGGTTTTGCGCCGCCGGGCACCCGCCTTAGCTTGTGGGGAGGGAGGGGAGGGTGGGGGAGGGATTGCGAGTACGAACTCGAGCTGGCGAGCGAGTTCAGGCTGGGGTTCGAATGGTTCGTATGTGTGTAGGAGGACGGTGTGCTGTAGCCGTGGTGGGTATTGATGGCCTGCACAGCGTTGAGGTGAAGAGACCGCGGGGCGTTGTCGGCGGAAGAAAGAGGTGAAGGTTTTAATTGCTGCGGGTGCTGGTGTTGGTGCTGGTGCTGGTGCGGGTGAACGGTCAGAGGCGAGGGGTGCCCCGCGCTGGACAGCATGGTTGGGGGTCCTATCCTCGCTCACTCACTCACTCTCCCCTTAGGCCTTTTGGAGGGGCCTATGGGGGGAGGGAGGGGGGAAGGGGGGGTGGTCTGCTAATGATTTCCCCTCTGCAGGGCCCTAAGTCGGTGGGAGGCGGCAGGGCTCTAGGGCCTGGGGTGTGCTAGGCGGTGAGGCGGATCGGATTGCAGGAGCGCCAAAATGAGGGGTCGATAGGCTGCTGATAAGGCCTGTAACTTGCTGTAGGAAGGGGTATCCTCCCCCCAATCTCTTTTGAATGCGATAGCCGCCGTTGACGACGGGATTTCTCGAAAGGTGCTGAAACAAGGTAGGAATGAAAATGAAGTTACAACCCCAGCAAGAAGGAAAGCAACAACAAGAAGAAGAAAATGAATGAGGATGAAGAGGAGGAAGAGGAGGAGAAGTAGGCAAAGGCAACCAAGAGAGAAAATATTCTCGATTCTCAGCAGAATGTAAGATCCGACGATAACCTCGCCTTCAAATTAAGCCCGAAAGTCGACGACGCAATGCAAGCACCGCTCCGAGGGTTTTCGTTATCGGTGGGTGGGGTTGAGTATTTCCGTCGTTTATTTCCTCAATGTTTTCTGTCCCTCGTTCCCTTCCCTTTCGTCTTTATTATTCTTCCTTTGTTTTGTTTTTTTTCTTTGGTTTTTGTTCAGTTACCACTTCCGTCTCTTTTCTTTTGTCAAATGAGTTGGTGTGCTGATCTTGCTGCTGCGGCAGAAGGAGGAGGAGGAGGACTCGAGTCAAGCAGTGATCAATCTCAAGCGTTCTCCAGAATGGTATCCGTGTGTCTGCCTTGTTCTTCTCTTCCTTGCTGAGCAAATGATGCTGTTGTGTCTTGTCCGGTAGATTGGATCCACACGATTGGTTGTTTTGGGGGTTCCTTCAATTTCTCTTCGCTCCCTACTTCGGAGAGACTTTGAGAGACCTGCGACTGCCTCTCGTCTCAACAACGTCAAGCCAATCTAGATCTCTTTCTCTTCTCTCCACCTTCAGGATGATGCCCACTGCTTTGTGTGCTCGGACCACGCAACAGGAAGTTGCCGACAGGCTGGATCGGCCCCGGTGGATACTAAGGAATCCGGCAGGGGTGGGGTGAGTGTCCGTGTGTCTAGGATGTGTGATAAAGTAGGATGGATTTGGGTCCAGAACGGTTCAGGGAGAGGTATGTGTGCTGGAGGATGCACAGCTGCCGCCGAGAACCTGCCAATGAGGCCCCTTCTTGTGTATGCGTGACGGGACGAGGCGAGACTTGCTTGAGTCTGAGATCCGACTACCGATCAGGTCAGGTTCGAGAGGGCAAAGAAACATGAGGAGTGTGAGAGTGTCTAAGCCGCTGCACAAGGAGGCAGAGGAGCAGCAGAAAGAGGAGAGGGAGGGAAGCGGTGAATGGAGAAGATATCAAAAAAGAAGTGTAAGTGGAATATAGATATAAATGTGGTGGGCAAGCAGGCGAGTAGGCAACCAGTCAGTCTTATTATTGCTACTATGGCACGTGCGGTAAAACGCGGATACTTCGTAGACCAGACCAGGGAGCGCAGTTCCCATCTCTGACCAATCGAAGAAGGAAGAGAAACAGAGAGAGTGAAAGAGTGAGAGAAGAGTGAGAGATGGGAGGCTTTAGAGGGGGGCCCAATCACGCATGTATGTATTTAGGTACCGCATTGGTATGGGATGGCATTAACAAGAGGAGGGACAGAAGGGGGGGGGGGGGCAATAGAGAAAGGGGACCTTGGAACTCGATGTTACTCGATGTTACTCAAGCAGGAGGGGGAGGACGCTGGGCAGCAATTAATCACATTGTCCATGTACCTAAAGTACCAGACATGTCCTCTCTTCTTTTTCCTTAGTTCTTCCCTTTTTTTTCTCTTTTTCTTCCATCCTCTCCAGCCGACTCATCGCCTGTTTTACCTTTTGCCTTGTTTCCACAGGGGAGAGGCTGAGGACGAGTCTGCCTTGAGCATAGCAGCATGCAATGTATTGCTGCCCAGCTCCAACTCGTGCGCCTGGAGAGACGTGGGGCGACGAGAAGGGGGGCCAGGGGTGGAGGGGGCCGTTGCTGTTCCTCCATTCATCATCCTACATCTCATTCCCTCTTCTTTCAACAAGCCACACGATCGCGGCAGGCATAATTAAGCTCAGCACACAACAGTAACGAGGCAGTGTTGCCAAAATATTACACTCGGGCAGACGACATGCGCTTGACTCGACGGCGTGACAGCCCCCGGCGATACTTACTTATACATGTTACTTGTGTAAGAAACACGAAACCTGGGGGTTCCTGGCTGTCAGTGTGAGATGAGGTACATCAAAAGCACACATAGATACATGGGGACCAATCTAACATGGGGGACAACCTAGCATGGGGACGCATGTGGGGGTCTCGGATGGCAAGTGTCTCGTGGCTTGTCGATGGTGTCTCTCCCGGGCGGCTGATGACTCTGGCCTGCGGTCACAACGTGTGGCCTGTCGAGTACAGAAGTACAGTACAGTACAATACAGTGAGAAGACACCGCAGATATGGTCGTCAGGTCTGAAGAAGAGGAAAAGGAAAGGTGTGGGTCGTGATCGTAAACTCTCTCGTACCTGGGGAGGGTGTCGAGACATGCCCGCTGGACGCTTGGAAGTTGTGGCAGTGATTGTAGGCAGAAAGTTGGATGGCTGGTTTAATTGGAACCATTATCTTCTTTCCTTTTTTTTTCCCTCTTCTCTTCTTTTCTTTCTTTTTTTCTCGGTTCGTACCAAGTGACCTCGGGAGTCCTACACAGCCTCTTCGAACCCATTGTCAATTTGTGAGGAATAATAAAGACAAAAAAAAAAACAATATTGACGCGTGGCCATTCGTCACATCCGTAGGACTTACACAACATGCCTTCGAATAACAAATCACAAGCTACCTGCACGCGCATTCCCCTTAGCAAGCCTTGTGAAGGCTCGACGAGGCGGCGACATCTGAGCAGTCAGCTACCCAGCCAACCAGCCAGAAACTAACAGTTGCCAAATGGACCCCTCGTCTCCACGAGGCCAAGCCCCCGTTGGGCGTGGTGGACCTGGATGGGGTCGGGCCCGCCTGCAATGGCTCAACGTGAGGGCTTACGCCTCAGTGACCCTGAACCCAGTCCATTCCTCAATCTCAAAGACCCGCTAGATTAAGTATAGCAGGTTGATGATGCCATTATCGACGGTACCCCGCGCAAGCGGTGAACGATTTCGTGTGAATCTGCCAGAAGCACGAGAGACATGCTTGTGCTGTTCATAAAATTTTACACTTCAACCAGAACCAAATGCAGGATCATCGGTTGTCAGAGTGCGTGTGTGTTTTTTTTTCCATGGCCAGCAAGCCCTGAGCTGTATTTGCTCAGGTGTAGGGCGCCCTTGATGAATCACCAGCCGAGACTGGTGCAGTATTTAGAACATGTATTGGAGAGAAATCCGTCCTGGGTCCCTCCACCACGACGGGGAAACAAGAGCTGCATCTTCGACCCAGCTGCACAGGCCCGGTCCCTCTAGGGGCCACTCCCGAGGTTCGGCCGGTTGTTCTACCGGCGGGTGTGGAGGAGGGGTTCTTGATATGAGCTTGGACATTTGCTCTCCAGCTAAGTGCTGCGATCTTCATCACGACCATTGCCCTATCAGGAGCGCTGCATGGTCTATCACTGTATTACATGGTCCTGGTTCTGCAATCCAGGTCAACGACCATAAATTTGGGGGAGGGGGTGGGGAAGCAATAGCTGCCTTCGGAACCAGAGATGCCATGCAGGTTCAATCTATGGCCTGATCGAAACGAAGATGAGACGCGACCAGGCAGAATAGAATTTGTTTTTCGCCCCAGCCAGTTACACGTCCCGTTTTCACGCAAGTGGTCTTGATGCAGGACTCGACCGGGGGCACATCGTTCTCTCGGCATATGTCCTCGGACAAAAAGAGCCCGTACTTAGGATCGACCTCTCGGCGCAGGTTAAAAACCTCGGGTTGCCCCCAAGGGCAGTGAGACCGCAGGCTGCATGCTGCCCTCCAACTCAACAGGGTGCTTACCGTTGCATTGTCAAGTCGGCGCATGCTCGCAAAACCAACCGCAGCCCCGAGACACACAGGGTCGGTACCGTACCCACTCGGCTGGACACACCCGCCATACATAGTACCCTTCTAGGCAAGATTGTTCGGTTCTCTGGCTGCTGCTATGTACCATGTATGTCATGCGGGAATGCGTCGTTGTGGGTGCAGACGATCAGATGCAGAAATGGGGTCTTCGAGGTCATACGTACTATGCTACCTTGGGAGACAGACAGAACGCACAAGCTGTCTTCGCTTACAAGCACACACACACACAGAAAGAGAGACACACACACAGAAACGTGGCGGCCTCAAATCCGGATCCGAGATGGTTTCCGGTCC